CGTGCAATAAAAAGAAATTTATTGATTTTAGATGGTCGATTTAAGTTTAATCGACAGACTTAGAGTTTGAAGTTTCATGTTTCAAATTAAAATCATGTTTTGAAGCTTGGAGATTTGCCAATGATGTTCCTTTCGTTTTCTCTAATTCCCCGAAAGCGCGTGGAAGTAATTGCTACAATAAATATACATTACACTAAACAAACGCCGTGAGGCGAAGGCTGGGGCAAATGTATTGAAGTGGAAAGTAACAAATTTCATGTTTCAAATAAAATTGTGATCCGCCTTTTTCGAATCAATCCTAATCCTGCGCGCCTCAGCATTGGGAAGCTTTAACATTTTTTCATAATTTTTTCTTCTTGCCAAAGTTTCTCCTAAAAACCCGTGAAAATATAGCCCACACTAATTCACACCTCACTAGTGGGCGGACGGGCCTTGACGTACCTAAAATACGTAAAATATTTGGCGTGATAAGCCGGGCCGACGACAGCAATCTTTGAAGAATTTCAAAGGGGGCTTATCACTTGCCCCTGGCGGCGTTAAGCCATCAATGATCACACAAAATTTCGCACATAATCGCACGGCTTACGGAATTATAAGATGCTATTGCGAAGCGGATTTAAGAATTTTTATGTTGCACGTTTTACCGTAGTTCCCCGCAACCATTTCTTGTGAATCCGATCTTCTGTTCCGATCGCGAATTTTTGCTGAAGTATGCTTACCGTAAAGTGTTTTTACTCAAGTTGGAGTTTCGATTCGGTACCAGGTGCATCTTGTGCAGAATTTTTTGCTGATTTCGACTCCGTTTTCCAAATTTTCTGCGGATTTTTATTTTCAAAGTTATAAGGCAATTATGGTAGTGCTTTGCACCAAAATCTAGGTATCGTTGTCGTTTTTGTTTTTCTTGATCAATCTCCACCTCAAATTGGCTAGAAATTGGCTAGACAAGCATCTTAGACGTCGAAACAAGCTTTTTGAAGGCTTTTTTGGGTGTTTTGCAAAAAGCAAAAGAGTGAGGCAGGGCGGGAGTTCGAACCGCCGCCCCGCGCTTCGCAAGCGAGGACTTTGCCAATGCATCATTGTGCCAACTGCGCAGCGAGCTGTGAGAGCGTACTTGACGACAGTCCAGAATGCGAGCACCAAGCAGTGATTAGTGGGCCAGAATCTGAATTTTTGCCTTTTTTAAGCTTAATCTGCGCCAAAAATGGCTTTTGAAATATGTCCGCAGCAAATTTGGAAAACGGAGTCTGAATCAGCGAAAAATTCTGCACAAGATGCACTTGTGCCGAATCGAAACTCCAACTTGAGTAAAAACACTTTACAGTTAGTGGGGATTAGGAAGGCACAGGAAAATTAGTATAAAATGGGCTTTAGTTAAACCTCCTCTGCTACATCCCGTATCGCCCCACTCTCAACCGTTTTTTTTTGCATTTTTCTGGCTACGCCCCTGGATATGTTAATGCATAATTAATCCTTTTTTTCTCCTAATATTTTTAAATCTTATTAATAGGGAGTTAATGATCGTGAATACGGTATTAGTTTTTTTTATTTTATCAAGAAGAAGAAGTTTTTTTATCAAGAAGTCTACCACGAAGGAACAACGATAATTAAACTTGTGAATCTAGGCAAGCTAGGCAACATTTTGGAACATATTATTCTCGACTAGGCTTCGCGATTTAGCTTACTGTGAATTTTTTTTGCCATGGATACCTAATGAATTTCCGTAACGCTACACGCAACGGTCACCCCGATTCGACACTTTAAATAGGTGGTAATCAATTACGCTTTAGAAAAGCCACGTGTCGCGGCTGCGGCAAAATCCATAGGCCGACGAGAACCTACAAAATTGATAGCGTGCACTCTACTATAGTAGGCTCGGGACTTTTTAGTTTTAAGAAACGACCGGTTAAAGCGCACGTTCAGGGAGGGACTGTGTACTCGTCCCAACGTGTACACCCTATGGACGTAGGGACAGCGCGCGCTGCCTGCCCGTGCTGTGACAAGCCATTCCCCTCCTTTGCGGCGTGGGGCGCCCCTCGCCCCCTCGTTATGTTGTAGCTGTGGCTAACTGGTATGCGACCGCGTCTCCCGATCGGGAGGCCCGGGTTCGACCCCCAGCCGCGGCAAAAATCTTTGCTTTTTTTCCAAAAAACGTCCCTGAACGTGCCCTTTAAAGCTTGGCTATCCTCCCATCCGGAAAGTTGTATTCTAAATGCTGCGCAGGTACCGTACACATTAGCGGCGGCTCGGAAAACCTAAATGATATGTTTCCAGGTTCCTTAAATTAAAAATACGCGTAACTCCCGGAATTGTAGGCAGCCGTTGAGAGACGGGCTTAAGAATTTCTTATGTTGCATCTTTTCTCAAGGCTGACTGCAACTTTTTCTAGTGAATCGGATCACCGTTTTTTTTGGTTTCTGAAAGTTTTCTGAGTTTTCCTTCAAGGGTTAGCAACGGCATAAGTAATCGATTTCTGCGCCAGGAAAAGCAGATGTGAAAATTCGGAAACGAAAAAGAAGATACTTCTATTCTAGCAATTCTGCAGTTAGCGGATACAGGGTGTCCCAATAAAAAAACCCCTCTAACTCGACGCAGAAGCATCGGATCGGAATCATAGTTACACCATTTTAAGTTGTTGTGAGTAGTAAGCGGCGTGTTGCAACAATTTTCACACCATATTTTTATTTAAATCCGCCGTTATACATGGCCCTTAAATTCGTTAAGGAATGGCCTACAATTAACGGCCATTGCAGGCCATTTTGCTTAGAGGAATTGAGGCAAATTAGCTCGTAGGCAACCTCGAGAAACCGCAAGATTTTGAAAAATCGACGCGGGAGCGCCGGCAGCCGGACATTAGAAATTTATAGATAGTAGATTCTTTGCTCCGACGAATATAACCAAGCCGTGTCTATCATTGCTAAGTCCTAACCTGGGTGCTTTCTCGAAAAATACACGTTTCAATTCATCTGCGATTTAGAGACGCGCTTGGGAAATTCTCACGTTGCACCGTTTCTGGTATTCACTGCAACCATTGATTGATTTCGAAACTGGAAATATCTTGTTGAATTTTGAATTTTGCTGCAAAAAATTTGTATCCTGAACTGATTTTCACGTTAGATTGATTTTATTGTTTTCAAAATTTTTTGACGATTTTATTTTTTTTCGTGAACGAAAAGTTTTCGCAGTGTCGTAGGGTGTTGGGAAATTTCGCAAAGGGCGAAAATCATGTTTTTCTTTATTCTGTGGTATAATGGAACCATAGAGTTTTTCTGCTGAAATCTACTGTAAATTTCAAAAAGCAAAATTTTTCCGCATTGAGGGGAAAAATTAGGTGTTTCTGAATGAAAGCTGATACGCCTGTCTGGCACCGTCATTAACGATTGTCAATAAAATCCACTTTTCACGAATTATAAAGCATGGTTTTCAAATTACGCCTTTTTAATCCCAAAAAATATATTTCAGAAAAGAGCCCTATGCCCAAAATTCAAACAGCTGCCTGGGGATGATACGCGAGAATCCGTTGGCCCGATTTGTGGCAAGTAAATGGCGGCATTTGGTGGGTTCATAAATAATAAAAACGTGACAATGCTTTAATTTAGACAATTTTAACAATGCTTCTCTGCGCCCTTCTCTCAATGCATGCTATTGCCAAGCTGAAATTCATGAAAGGTCATCGATTCCCGGTACGCCTGGATACGCGTGACGCCAAGCAGGTCGGTATTTTTTTTTGTGATTACGCATATACACTGGATTCTCAATACTTATAATTTTCGCGTAGGTAAAAAAATTGCGTGTGCTTATTTATTTGGGTTTGATAGGATCTATCAAACATATTTTCTTCACAATCGAAAAATCTTCCAAAAATATAAACACAGCCGAAAACGTTTTTCCGTTTTTTTTTTTGGATAATTTACCGGTGGCTTTTGAATTAGACCAACTGGATTTGACAATAAATAATGGAGCCTCGATAAATTTAGCCAAAAAAATAGTTTGTTTCGGCGAAATTCTTTGAAGAGTTGTGTTTTTTATTCTATTGGTTTCAAAACAATAAATTAGATTAGTTTATTGGGCTTACAAGGCTAGGAAGTTTAATCTTACGTAATTGAACCAAATACTTGTATATTGTCTCTAAAGAATTTTGAGACGCCTGAGAAAATAATGTTTTATCAAGCCTTCCTATTGGAAAATGCTTTTTCCGATTAATTAATACCCGACATAAATTTGCGAACAATTCGTATTCCCGTTGTAAAATAATTTGGTTCTTTAGGATTCCCGGGCGGGGGGGGGGACCAATCTTTTTCCTGGTGGTCCCGGTTGACCTAGTAATCAAATATAAAGTGTTTTCGAATTGTTTTTAGTAAGTTTGAACTATATTTAAAGCAAAATGACTTTCAGAACAATTTAGAAAAATGTTTGAGAAAGTCGAAAATTTGGTCATTTTGGGTCATTTCCGCCCCCCCCCCCCCGCGAATCCTAAAGGTTCTATAGGATTGTTCGACCTAATTTTTAATTTTTTACATTTTTTTTGGTTAAAATGTGTGTAGTTTTTATGCACAGGAATAGTTGAAAACAATTTAAAAACGCATCCGCAATTTATAAAAAAATCTAGGCTTGTGCCGAAAAAAAATTAGTCCGTAAACTCGGGCACTGGTTTCCTCGAAACAGATTAAACATTGAATAAAGGTGTTTCTTTAACTCCCTGAAAGCAAAATGTTGATTCTTAACGAATAATGATTGCCTCCGTCTTTTTATTCAAATCACTTACAAAAATTAACATTAAATTTCATTTTTTTATTATTTCATTTTTCAATGCATTAAACTGAAAGAATTAAAAAGCCACGCTAAATAATCGAAATTTTATTGGATTCCAGATCGATTTCGGGGAATTCCCGGTCAGCCACCCGGCCGCAGCTCATCTAATAACGCCGGAGCGCTACGGGAACTTTTGCGTCTACGCGAATGTACTCGGAACGGAGAGCAAAGATAAGGAAAATCGAATCCTGATGGCACTACACTCATCCCTCACCTACATCGATGACGGCTTCATCAAAACGGTACGTTAACTTTCTTTTAGAATTGAATGTTTTAACATAAAGTTACTTAAATTTTCCCGGTCCGGGGATAATTCAGTGACAAACTTTCTCCGAATAAAAACACTCCCTTCTTTGATTTTTCGAAGTCCTAATTTTTGAAAAACTTGGAAAATAGAAATTATAAATGCTGATGTTTCAACACAAATCTATCAAAAAAAGAAAACGACTATGGACAATTTTGCGACTTTTATCGAGGCAAGCTTAACGAATCAAAAGCAAATAAATTTTTTCTAGAAATGAATTTATAAATTTAATATATGAAAATGTTGGTTAAAATCCAATTTTTTTATTAATTAAAAACTTGAAATATATCGTAGGAACAGGTGAACTTTTTAGGCCAACAGCTGGGAGGGCCTGATTTCGATTTCGATTTTTGCCGAGGAAATTGTCGACGAGCAATTTCCGTTGATTTTGAAATGGGTAGGCTATATTTTATTAGTTCTTCAATAACATTTAAAAAAACTTAGGTCTACGTTACTTTTTACAAAAAAGTTTTAACGGTTTAGCTTTAAACACGAATTTTTAATTTATGGCTAGTTTAAATTCATTTGACACGATTTTAGATCTTCAATTGAAGTATTAAGTTACTTTCATATGCAAATGAAAATGTATGAATTTTAGCTGCTCCACTTTCAAGGAAAATTGAAACGACCCGAAGATGTTTTTTGGCAGCTGTTCTTCCAGATTGATGGCCAGGAATGCGAGGTTTATCAAGTCGACAGTGAGTAAATGATTTTGGGGCTTTGATAGCTTAACTTAACTTGATAACCTTTTAGTAATTTATTTATTAGAATTAATTCACGAAATTAAGCTTTAAGGTGCTGAAGTTTCGAAACAAAGTTTTAGATTTTGAAACTGCCAAATGGGTGTGTTTGTAATGTTAAATGCCAAATTTTCAAAAAAACCGTGATCTGGATGAAAAATTCGGCTAAAGTCGGTAAACTAGTATATTGAGATGTCGGGAAAACCATTTTTGGGATGAAACCTACATTTTTCTTTGTTTTCGGCAGACCCTTTGGACGCTAAATCCACTGGCGGTTTAGCTAAAAGCCTGGGTTAGATAAAATCACGATTGAATGTGCAAACGCCGATCATACAACGAGTGGACTGCCCACGATTGCAAACTGCAATCTGGTTGGCTTTGGAGTCGGGGATGCGGATCGCGTATTTCCATTGTATCTCGGTTTTAGTTCGGAGAAAATGCAAACTAAAGAATGCAGGGTGCCCCAAACCCCCCCCCCCCCCTAGCCGGCCGCAGACCTATCCTATTTTTACTATTTAGGTATCTATTGAAAGCTCTCGGAAAGGCGAGTCCCGCACGTCTTGCCAGTTTTCGAAAAGTCGGAATTTTTTGCTGGATTTTCGGCATTTTTCATGCTAAAAGGACAGGCTTCCTTGTCCAAAACGCAACTTAACCGGATTAAGCGCTGTCCAAGCTGTGTTTTCGCAAACCGTTTCCAAAAAGCTGTCGTTGGGTTGCTAGAAAAGGCATAAAAATTCTTAAATTGCGATTTTTGTAAAAAACCCCTTGGTCAGAAAAACATCAGAAAATCCGCCCGTTTTGCAAAAACATTAGTAAATGCTAGAAAAATTTCAAAATTATGAAAATCAAAAAGGCGTGCTGGACTCGCCTTTCCGAGAGCTTTCGATAGATACCTAAATCGCAAAAATCGGACACGTCTGCGGCCGGCTAGGGGGGGGGGGGGGATTTTTTTTGGGACACCCTGTGCATTCGATTAGCCCATTTCACATTTCACAAATAACTTAATAGTCGTGAAACATCACGATTTCCGTGGAGAAAACCTTGCTTCCACTTTTTAGTTCCAAAACCCTATGACGAATTTGGAATGTTTAATAGCTTTGAAAGAGCGCTTTTAGAGATCCTGTACCCGCTGAAGGAAAGCCCATTTGCCGCCACGTCATTCAACCCCGAATTCTACCCCATTAATGTGGCCCGGAATTTGGCTCGGAAATTCGGGCCGCCACATCGGTATATCCTGGTTGCGGATATGGAACAGGTAATTATAATGATTTAATCCTTCTTAGTTTGATTTATTTGGGCTTTTGCCTTGCTTAGAACTAGCCAAAACAAAGCTTCAAAAATACATTAAAAATATTAATATTCGATTAATAGCCTTAAAAATAAATAAAATCAAGCGCAAATTCGTGGCAGCTACTTCCATTCAGGAGTACTCGCTCCAAGCCGAACAACGCCTCCGATTTTTGGCGGAAAGTCGTGATATTGAGACGAACCGAGAGCTGCTGGTTGTGAGAAGATTTGAGCATCGCACTGGCACAAAGTGAGCATTAATAGAACTTTAATGGAAATTAGAACATTAATAGAACAGTTAATAGAATAAAAGAAGTTTCTAAGCATAAAACCAAAACTTTACGGTATCATCAAAATTTGTTATTACATTCGTGTGCTCAAACAAAATAACGACAAGAGCATTAAATCAAAAATTTGGTTGCAGAAAAAATTGTTTCATCCAAGGGCATTGTTTTGCAATTACTAAAAGGCTGTATTCATATCATCAATTTCGGTGCAGTTTTGTTTTAGCAACGCTCGAAAATCAGTATTACAGGAAAACCCTGACGGTTTAGAAATTAAGATTAATTGATTAGATTAGAAGAATTAAGATTAGAAAAAAATGGAAAAATAGAAAACCAGGCTGGCCTAAATTTAAACTATGCAGGTTAAGCTAATTCCTAAGAAAATAATGACTGCAAAAACTTTCAGAGCTCCACAATCGTTCGACGAGTTGCGGAATGGCATCTACCGAGACGTCTTCGAATTCCACTACCATTACTTTGCTGTCGGCCACCGGATCTACAGCATCAAGAAGTGGTTGCAGCGCGGCGAAAATACGACACATGTTTGTTTTTCTAGGAAGAGAGGGTACTGGGCTGTTAGCGGGGGGGGGGGGGGGAAGAGGTGATCTTAGCGGGATCGACTCAAAATAATGGAATACACACCGGTATCTAGCTTGCTTGGCCATTTCTACGCAAAGAAAATTTAAAAAACTTATGAAAATTTATAAATAGGGTTTTTAGACGAAGAATTCGTAGTTTTAAAATGGCTAATTTTGATTTAATTTTTAATTTTAATAATAAAAAATAATGAAAAAAAGGATAACAAAAGGAAAAACGTTTTTATCAGTTTTTAGCAATAATAAACCACTAAAGTTGTTAAAAATAATGTATACAACAATCATTCAGGTTCAAGAAGTACGAAAACCGAGCAAACACTGGGAGCCAATGTTCGTTGCGTCAGCGAGTATCCCCTACCACGACGAGGGGCTCATCTACCAGTATATGAATCATCTGGCCATGGTATCGTTTGTTCGTGTGGTTTTGTCTTTCAGTTCACTCATATTTTTTGTATTTTTGTATCCCGTATTTTTGTAAACTCGACTTAATGAAAATATGATTGAGAGAGAAAACGAAAACTATATTCTAAATTCCGAAAAAATGTTTCTAAGATTTGGCTGTTTACGATCAAAACGACAAATCCAATAGACTTTCGGAATTACTGCCAAAAAGTTATCTTCAAAATTGCCGTCAAAATGATATTCCAGCGCTGGGACCTGTGCGCGATGCAGTACAAATTCATGGTGGCTGACGGCGTGTTCAACACCCATGAGGGGATCAAGGAGTTACGGCTGGTGGGAGGGTATAAATGGCAATCAAAGGTTAGTGTTAGAATGGGCTTGAGTGCAAGTAGGACAACTCAAGGAAATAACGTCTCACAGTCACGAATTTTGATAGCTAAGGGTTTTGCCGGTTGACTAATGTCATAAACATCATACATAGCGGTAGTAGTTGGGTTTGTAAAAGTTAAGTTCCCTATTAATGTTAATGCGAATTTTCCAATGCTAATTTACAAACACAAGTTTAACACACACTTAACCTTTTTGCCCCGCTCTCACGAGGGGGCTCCAAAAATTGGGTAATACTCATAATTGTTCGTCTGCACGGAAATCTTTAGTAAAAGGCGAAAGATTTTCTCGGTCAAATGCAGACGAACCAGAGGCAAGGAAGGTAGGGAGAGAAGTGGTAATCCATGCGGCTAGTGGGCCAGGTGGGGGGCGCGTTGCGCAGCCTTTGGTAGATGACTGGCCACAAACAAATGTTTCTATTGAACATCATTTTGGCTTTATATTTTCTAGCAATGCCGTCCGAGTTTCATAGAGAAAAAGCAAAATATAAGAAATCCCTTTTCAGAAGCAGTACAAGGAGGGCAAGGCGGCCGCCGAACGGCACAAGGCGCGCCTCATCGAAATGTACCCACTCACCGCCCCGGCATGCATTGGAGACAAACCGAAGAACGAAACGGCGACTAGCTGAGATCTTTTCGGGTTAAATTACATTTTAATTTTAATTTTTTTATTTAATTTAATTCAATTTAAATTTGTTGATTTGCTATTTTCCATGTTTGTGAAATCCTTCTGTTATGTATCACAACTTTCAAAATATATACTTCTGATCTCAGGTTATGCTTTTTGGGTTCGCACATATCGTTTTTTGTGATGTTGCAGATTTTCCTCCGGATAAACGATTACTTTCTGGCGGATTGTACTGACGGGGTGAGCTGTTTCCGAACTTTAGGAGTGCTCGTTGATGGCTCATCCGACGCGAAAACGCTTGAAGCAAGCGATTCCGATCATTATTGGTGGTTTATATTAAACGATTAAACCGGGAAACGCGGAGATCACTAAATTGGCTACCTACCAGAACATTACGACATGTAAAGCCCGAGTGTCCAAAAACGTGATTTATCGCGCAACCATTCGATTTTTTAAAATATTTTGCGCTTTTTCAACGAAATAAATTTGCTGACGCTTGTAGGGACTACCCTTCATTTTTTTTGGTTCGTAGCTTCGTCAGCACACCACATTTTGACTCCTTGGGCCCCTTAAAACGGCTCGCGCGTTACAGCAAGCGCAGATCCCAGGTATCGTGACAGAAGTTTGAAACTGACTTAAAGGACTGAAACTGCGCGTCGAACCAAGGATTACGGCATATATTCATCTTGCCGGCATTTGTTGGCATTTCAATAATTTTTTCGCCTTGATTTATCAACTCAAACATTTTGCCAATGAAATTTCAGGGGATTGAAATTTCGCTAAAATGAAATTACTTTTTCGATTTCGATTCGCCAATTTCGATCTTATTTCGACAAGATAGGATTTCGAAAAATGCAATTTTATAGCAAATCAGAACTGGCATCGGCCATCCCAATTCCTGCGAAAAAATAATAACTCCAAACGGAAGTATTGGTACATCGTGAAACCCTTGACTAACCAAATTTTCTGCCGTTTTTTTCAGGCTTATACTAGAAACATATTAATTTGGCCGCCGTCTGCAAGCTGATCGGCCCTGAAGAATGTTTGCGACTTAAATTAAATGACAAATTTCTGCCGATCCCTAAACACTTCAAGTAGAAACATACCAATTCCTCCCCCGACTCCAAGCCGATCACGCCCTGAAAAGTGCTACGACTTAAATTAATCGCCGTCCCCCGTTTGCTGACGGGCAACGCGAAATTCGGAGGTGATAAGCGAAACGACGGCTACACCGTTGTGTGACTTGGCGATGGGCGCTTTTGGTGCTTATCGTAACCCGCCGGGGGGAGAAGGCCAAGGAGTGCAGAGCGTCAAAAAGCACTTCAATCCGGCGCTTTATTCCCGGGCTTATGGATTAGCGTACAACTTTTGAGGGTACCCCTGAAAACTGTATCTGAAAGTTTTGATGTTTCGGATTTTTTGCCTGACTGTAAGAACCAGAGGAACGCAATTGGGTACCGGTTTACACATCTATACAATTTTGTCGTGTCACTTGAAAATATTGTCACCTTGAATAAATAATTTGAATTTCTGAAACTCCGGGGCATTCGGGCAACATTTGTTAAATTGTATTTTATTTACTAAATCGATTAGTTTGAAACTGTTCAGATTGCCCCTCAAAATCGTACTTGAAAATTTTGATGTTTCGCATTTTTGTGGCGGACTCTGGGAATCAGAGGATCTTAATGGCGCCTCGTTGTTCGAGCAAATTAATATCTTAAAGCATCACTTGAAATATTGTCAGCTCAGAATAGAAAATCTGAATTTCTAGAAATTCCATACCTTCGGGGGATTAAGACACGATTTATGAAATTTTAATAAATTTATTAAATGGATTAGCAAAGAACTTTTGGAGGTGCCTCTTGAAAGCATACTTGAAAATTTTCGTTTTCTAGAAATTCCATATTCATTCGTTTTTTCAGTCCAAAATGGTCGCCGAAAAATCAAGGAGAATCGCTTGCCTTTTTTTGGTAAAAAATTGTTTTAGAACTTCCCTAGTTTTCCTTCTTTTCCAGGTCCTAATGGTGTTGCTCCAACTTAGCGTCTTATTACGGCGACGCTACGGTGATTGTGATGGAATCCGAAGACATTTCGAAGTGGCAAAATACGGGAATTACACCGTGTTCCCAAATGTCGTCAAATCAAGTGTGGAGATTGATACGGTCGTCTTGATGTTGCACACGAGTTTTCCGTTTCCGGCGCCAGCTTTTAGAGCTATGGTGAGGGATAAAGAATATTGAAAAGAAGAAGAAGAAGTCATTGAAAATCGAGGAAAAAACAGTATTTATACAACATCTAAAAAAATTTGTTATAACTTGGTTATAACTAGCTGCTATAATTTTTATAAATCATGTTTCGAGAACTACTGTAGGTACGGGGCTGTAAGTCACGGTTGTTGTCAATTAGGTAGATTACCGGCGCCGCCGATTTGCGCCAAAGCCGGCGCCTTAGTAAATGGAAAACAACAAATTGGCCTTTCTCTCGCTAACTAGCGTAACAGGTTGTAAGAATCAGTTCGGACAGCTAACGATCCCGATGGCTTGAGTAGTTGATAACGGTTAACGACCTCCCCGGACCCAGACAGTTGGTAACAACCCATAGATAGCCCAGGGATCACTCAACTTCTCACGACTAAAGACAAAAATATTTTTCAAGTTTCCGCGAGCAGGGCATTGCCAAATTTGCGACACTGTATTTCCGCTTCGCACGAATAGTCTATTTAGTTAACCGCATGGAATTCGCGGGTCTCAATCGCTGTTTATCTACAGGTTGTCGAGGATCTGGCGATGCTCTATCATTTGGTAAGCGTTTACTTTACGCCCTTCCCTGGCGCTATGGGCTTTATTTCTGGCTTTCCGATTTTATGGATGTATCAGGCGTGATCTTCCTTCGAATTTCAGCTCGAACCCATGGCTGACGAGCCATTTTTCCGAAACATTTCCTTGCATGCCTACTACGCATCGGTGCATCCACCGCCCGGATTGTTGTATCCAGCGAACACGGGCCGGAATTTGGCTCGGAAATTCGCTCCTCGGCATCGATACTTTATGACGGCAGATATGGATCAGGTGAGTGGGAGATAGAGAGCGATAGAGAGAGAGAGAGAGAGAGAGAGAGAGAGGGTGAGTGAGAGAGAGAGACAGAAAGAGATAGAGCGAGAGAAAGAAAGAGTTAGAGCGAGAGAGAGTGAGTGAGAGAGTGAGCGCGAGAGAGTGAGAGAGCGAGCGAGAAAGAGTGAGAGAGCGAGACAGAGAGAGCGAGAGAGAGTGGGTGAGAGAGGGAAGCAGAGAGCGAGAGCGAGTCCAACGGGGGCAGAAATCAACGGGAAGCCGTTTAAGCAGCTTATAGCAGCCGCACAAAAAGTTCGGCGGCCAGATTTTTGTCGGAATCTTTGCGTAAGAGCCTTTTCCAGGCCTGCTGTAATCCGATTACGGGTATTTGAAGACCTCGCCAGCTCTCAAGAAGAAATTCTTTCAAAAAACCGAAACTTGAAGCCATAGAAATTTTTTTACCTTTACAGCTCTATTCAGCGGATGCCGAGCGCACGCTTTATGCGTTGGCCGAAGCGGAGAATCTGGATGAAGTTGATGCACTTTTGGTGGTTCGCCGGTTTGAGCATCAAGAGGGCACTAGGTTCGTTAGAAGGATAGATTCGAAGCTGGTGTTGAAATAAAATGTTTCGAACTTTTTTAAAGCTGCGCGTCATTTTTCTGAGCATTCTTGATGGGTTGCCGATTACAATAATGACGGGGTTTGGGATGCTCTAACGTGGCTTTGAAGCTTCAAAGGGGCAAGGTCGCCAGAAATCAATCGTTTGCGCGGGGTTACTTTTCAAAAGATGCCTCCTTATCTCTTTAAGCATCTGAGTCTCTGGTCAAGCGGCTAAAAACTAAGTTTTAGGCTTTCAGTTTATTCAGTGTACAAAAATTAAGTTTCACGCAAAAGCCATGTTTTCCAAAACCCAAAATAATCGATTTCCCGCTCGTTTGTTAGGTTAATTAAGATCCCAAAATTGCAAAAATTGCCATTATAACTTGTAATAATCTTTCAGTGCCCCAAGCAACATGGCCGAGCTGGCGGGGCGTCTGAATCGGGATGTCTTCGAATTTCACAAAAAGAGCTTCGCCGTCGGCCACGTTATTCCGGGGATCGGCAGGTGGCTGGATAATGTTGGACCTCCGAAGGTGAGCGGAAAAATTTTTAAAAATACGATTAAAGTAGCCATCTCTATAAAAAGCACTTAATACACAAATATACAACTTACAGTACCTTTTTCAAATTCTCATATTAAAAAATTGCGTTTCACTAGTTAGCACGATAACTGTGAATGAAAAATTGACAATAAGTTTTCCGAGTCTGTTGCATCGAAAACAAAAATGACAAATACAGTTTCCTCAGTGCGTTGACCGCAAATTTTAAAATTTTACCTTACAAAAAGCCAGCACCCTTGGCGAAAGACAAATATCGATCTTAACCATGGGTCTCTGGATCAACCTAACGTTCAGTAATTTCTATATATCGTAAAGAAAAAAGCAAAATGGTCACCTTGAGAGACTCGAAATAAAAACATGGGAATTACGGTAGCCAGCTCCGCTGAAAAACGTTTCCTACAATATCCTGGTCCCGAAGCTTAAAACCAAAACTTTTACTTTGATTAAAAATGGAAGTTTCAATAAATCGCACCGTTAACACAGGAAAAAATGCGATAATTCCCGTTCATCTGCGGTCAACCTCAATTAAAGTATGTAACTGAATCGGAGGTATCTAATCTGAAATTATGAGAATTACAACAGGGACCCAGAAATTATAATAATTACAATAGGCACCTCTGAAGAAAAATGATTACTACAGTATCCCGATCAACCTAAGCCTAAAGCCAAGAATAATTAGAGTTACATTAGTTAGCGCCGGAAAAGATAAATGAAAACTTGACAACAAAACCCCTCTTACTCTGCGAAATCACAAAAAAATGACAAATGCCGTATTCCGTGTGACAGCACAAAAAAAACCAAAAACGTAGGTTACAGGAGATAACAGGGCCAACACAAAATAAAATGTCACAGTAACAAAAATACTGGCGGAAAATAGAAAATAGCAGGAAAAATTCAAACCAAGATAATGGGCTTCCACCCGAAGAGGGGTAAAAAATTGCCTTAAAGAGGCGTTACTATCACCAAATAAAAAGAAAAAATCAAATTACGGCGTTTTAGTTTAAAAAAAATCGGTTGCATTCGTTTCGGCAGTAGGTCCGGGTCAGAAATGGATAATTCCGGGTGTATGCAATCAGAATTCCTTAAACCAACGTCAAAAATGAAAATTAGCGCACCTAAAGCGGTTTTCTTGAAAAATGAAAAATCACAATTACCGTACCTTCTAAATATTTTTAGGCAACGCCCTTAACCTACAAAAATTGGCATTGGGAGCCGATGTTTGCGGCGCCCGCTCGGATACCGTATCACAATGAAGACGTGCTCTACGGCCACAAAGACCACGCGAGTCTCGTGGGTTTTTAGGACATTAAAATAGCTTTAATATTCCAACATTGGTTCTAAAACGCTATGCAGCTCTTTTTTTAATCTTCCGTAGCAAGAAAACTTTACAAAACGTCATTAAAGAGATGAGGACGGCATCTGTTGAACCCCCCTTGGGGAGGGGGGGTTCAACAGGTCCCAGCACGACCGGCGGCGAGAGAGGGCGCCCAGGGGAGAGGCGCAGAGACATTTTCTTTCCCGCGCGTAATCGATTTACCTATGCCGCCCCTATCCCTTTAAAAACATTTCAAAAAGATCGATTTTCCATCAAAAAGGCCATTTTTGACCAAAATTTCGGTCGTTTCAAAACTTTTATAAAATTCTTAGATAGTTTTCTAGTTGAAACATAGTTTTATTCGCGCTATTGACTATCTACTATATATAAATTTCTAATGTCCGTACGCCCGCCGCCGGGAATTCAACCAAATTTTGCATTCAAATCCCAAATTCAACTTGTGGGGGGAGGGCCAGCGCTGAACCACCGCGTAGCGGGGGGTCAGCGCTGGTATAATAAGTAACTTCCAAACGCCTTAGTCTTCCGTGTTTATGAAACATGAAGTTTCAAAAATATTTATGTTTCCATGTTTGCAATATTATTCCGGGGAGTCGTTGAATCATAGGTACACATAGGATAACGGGGGGGGAATAAAATAACGGGGGGGCACTCATTATTATGAAATTTGCAATTACTTTGGGATTTTGCGAGTGCCATTCGATAGAGCGTCGAAAAATATACTAAGAGAATTAATTTCAGCCCGAAATAATGTAATAGAAATTTTTTATTGAATAAACAAAAATTGAGGAAAATCTATGGGCAGCACATAGGATAACGGGGGGGGAAAGTCAAATTTTCGAAATTTTTGAAATTTTCGGTATTTTGAAAACGTCATTCGATAAAGCGTCGAAAACTGCCCTAGGAAAATTAATTTCAGCCCGAAATAATGTAAATGAAATTTTTTATCGAATAAACAAAAATTGATCAAAATCCATGGGCAGCACATAGGATAGCGGGGGGGGAAAGCCAAATTTTTGAGATTTTCGATATTTTGAAAACGCGAATCGATAGAACATCAAAAAATATACTAAGAGATTTTTTTACAACGCGAAAAAATGTATTATAAAAGTTTTATAGCCTAAAAACTATTTTTGAAAACTATGGGCAGCACATAGGATAACAGGGGGGGAAAAAATTTTTCGGCGTTTTGAATATTTTCGAAATTTTGAAAATGCCATTCGATAGAGGACCGAAAAATATACTAAGAGTTTTTTTTACAGCCCGAAAAAAGCTTATTTAAAAATACTTTTATCATATAAAAAGTTTGAGTGCCCCCCGTTATTTTCCCCCCCGTTATCCTATGTGTACCGAATCATAAACGTCAAGATTACCACCATTTGACACCCCGAAATTCCGATATTCTGTAAAAGAAACTTCATTATTAACATCACTATATCCTGAAAATCGGGGATTGACCTAACGAAACGATATTGCGAAATTTCGGCATTCTGAAGCGTCGGTATTGTCAGTTTCGAACCCTGAATGTTGACGTTTTGAATCTCGAATATCGACTATCCCAACCCCACGTAACTAAAATTTCGACAAAAGGTTCACATCTTGAGTTTCGACATTACGAATTTTGGTAATGAAAAAGCCGTATTGACTGGTCCGTCCCCTTTGCTACTTTTTACGCCTGTTTATCTCATCCCGATGCGAAACATTGTGCTTCGTTCGGCTCGAGTCCCTCCAAAATTCCTGTTATCACCGCTTTAAGGAGCCAACGCTCGCAGGGCTGTAAAATTGCCTGCCGATCCGTCAAAATTTACAGTAAATGGGGATGTGCCGGAATTTCGCGAGGTGCTTTTCCAGCTGATAAGGCCGGTGGAGTGCAAATTTTGATGCCTGACTGTTCTGGGCAAAATGATTGAGAGAATGTTTCATTCAAAATATAGCAGGGATAAGAAATTCTATCCAGAATACCTTGAGGAAAAATCCTGATCTTGGTTTTGAAAAATGTCGAAGAGACAATAAAAAGCATTAGAAAGTAGATAGATACTAAACAGGCAAATCGTACTTTTCATACCTACCTTACTATACTACTTTATTCAACCACTACCATTTTTTTAAACTTTGCAATGTCAAAATAAAGACAAGAAAATGCTCTGGCTAAATGTCGCCGCTAATACGGCTCGGAAAGATGAGAATTTGTTTTAACTTGATTTTCAAAGAAATTTTATGTTTCACTTAACTTGAACACTTCTCAAGAATCAATGTTTCAATGAATTTATTAATGGACTTAATTTCAGTAATTTGAATATCCAATTTAGAATTTTGGCGATAAAAGAAAGCTTACAATCCGGAAAATATTGTTCCAAAGTAAAATCATGTTTCGACCCAACTAGCTGTTCTAGAATTTCGAGAATTCACAATAAAACGGGGACGATTACGGAAATCATACGAAGGGTAATCATCGGGTTTACAAATTACCGACCATTTCCCATGCATTCTATAAAAAAAAATCGTTTATCCATGCGACAATACCAACGCATCTTTAAGGGGAAATTGGCTTTTCCGGGAGTACGGGGACTAAATATATTAATCAAAAAACAGTGGCCAAAAACGAAAAAGAATGTTTCAGCAAAATGAGTGAACTAGAGGTCCATATAATTCACAATTTAGCAACGAGTATTCTTCGACAATATGTTGTTTATGTATGACCGCTTTTGCATTATCGGGGGGGGGGGGGGGGGGGGGGGGTGGGGACTTTGGTCGAATCAACCCTTTTTGGCGAGAAATCGATATTTCCTGTATTTTTACTCCAAATTCTTAAAGGCTTGCGCTTTAAACGAGCAAAGCAATAGTGCAAAAACTTCGTATATTTTTATCACAAAAACCTAGATACTAAATAAAAAGTTGCTTCTCCTACACAGACAATGCTAAAACACCCTTGAGGGACATTCTGTGCTCAAATTACCAAAGCTTGCTTTCTAAATGTTTTTCCAGTGCTGGCTGCTCTGCGCGACGAAGTACAAATTTCTGCTGGCCGACGGTGTGTTCAGCAGCCATCCAGGAATTCGGGAACCCGGTGGCAAAAAACGGCAAATACCGGTGAGGCAATACACAATTTTTGAGAACATCAAATGATTTTTTTGTGCGTAATAAACGAAGTTCTACTTCCAGTTAAAATTTAATAGTGATTAATTTAATTTATGATTAAATTTAATGGTCTGTATAGTTTCTTTAGCTCTTCAGAAGATGATTCATTCAAAAGTTTGCAAAAAAAAATCGGAATTTCTTTGACGTATTGCCCGGAATTGGCATGTTGTCGAAAACCCTAGCGAAAAAAGAACCTCATGTTTCATTTTTTTTCTAAAATCAGAAAGCTCCTTTGGTTGGTAATCGGCGGTTTGATTGCATCGAAAAAATCGGAATGCAAATGCAATCTTTAAATTGCCCTACCGAGGCTGCGATTAGATATATTCTTTCGCTTTACCGGAAAATAAAATTATGCACTATTATTATCTTCCAATTGTAATTTTAATGGCCTTTAGCCCTAACTGTAAAGTGTTTTTACTCAACTTGGAGTTTCGATTCGGGACCAAGTGCATCTTGTACAGAATTTTTCGCTGATTCCGAATATGTTTTCCAAATTTGCTACGGACCGTTATTCTGAAAGTTATACGGCAATTCTAACCCTAGTTTTCACCAAAATGAAGGTATCGTTATAGTTTTCGATTTCTTCATTATTTCAACGTTAAAATTGACTGGACGTTGGCCCGACAAGCATCCTACAGCTCAAAACAAGCATTTTAGCTAAAAAAATGAGATTTTTGTGCAAAAAGCAAAAGAAATGATGCAGGGCGGGGGTTCGAACCGCCGCCCTGCGCTTGGCAAGCGAGTACTTTCTCAATGCACCATGGCGCCAACTGGGTAGGGTGCTGTCAGAGGGTACTTCAGGGCCCCTTGCAACCATAGCCCCAAACAAGGAATAGTGGGCCAGCGTCTGAATTTTTGGCATTTTTCGGCCTAATTGTTACCAAAAATGATTTTTTAAATAACAGTCCGTAGCAAATTTGGAAAACATATTCGGAATCAGCGAAAAATTTTGCACAAGATGTGCTTGGTCCTGAATCGAAACTCCAAGTTGAGTAAAAACACTTTACAGTAAGTAGCTAATTAATGATTGCGGAATGTAATGAGTTAATTCACTTTTTAATAAATCGTTTTAGAAGATAGCCATCACCAACGGCGAGAACTACCGAAATCAGCTGAAGAAAAAGTACGGGGCCAAGAATCGGTGCTTATAATAATTGGATTGTATAATTTTATTTTTATGTAAATATTCCCATGTATTTTCTAACCACGGGTCGGCTTAAAATATTGCGAGGATGCTTGCTTCGTTAATAATGCTCATGCGACGTTTTTATTCTGGACCTTTTCCGAAACATTTTTATCGGTATTTTTATAAAATATTGATTTAACGCAACCCGTAGGACACCCGCAATGAGCAACATTACCACTGAAATAAAGTCTATGCCTTGTTTTTCAGGGGTATAAACGGTCGAATTTCGTCGATTCGGATCTCTTCAAAATTAGACGTATCGTGCATTCTAAACGACCAGTAAGCGATAACAACGATAAAATAAGTGTAGTACCTTAACGGAACCCAATCCGGAAGAAAAAATTCCGAAGGTATCAGTTGCTTTTCAAGGCCGCCACCAGGCTTTGCGTAGGTCTGTAAAGAACGGTACATCATCTACCAGCGTTGAGGAGGTTCTTTCGCTAACTTTACGATTATTTTTGCCCCGCTCTCACGAGGGGGCTGCAAAAATTGGGTAATACTCATAATTGTTCGTCTGCACGGAAATCTTTAGTAAAAGGCGAAAGATTTTCTCGGTCAAATGCAAACCAACCAGAGACAGGAAACGAGGGAGGGAAGGGGTATTCCATGCCGCTAGTGGGCCAGGTGGGGGGCGCGGGGGGGCGGGAAAGCGTACAGACGAGTAGGCACCCATGGAGAAATTTCTGATCGATTTTAAAGTTGACTCGCTATTTAATACTCTAGTGCCACAGGTGTAATACAATTTTCATAACCTCACTTTTTATATCATAAATTACCTCCGAAAAATGAACCTTCCCGGTCCCATTTGCCGCCAAAAATCCCATGAACCAAGCGAATGTCGAGGGTGGGGCTGAAAATGTTTGTTTTAACAAAGATTGAGCGTAGATTCGTATGGACGTCGATAATAAATTTCACCAGTTAAAAATAAAATTCTATTTTTAAATAAGTTGCACGGTTTCTTACCGGTTATTAACACTCGATTGCAATAAAAATGCGCCAGGACAAGGGTGACAAAATTGGATTTTGTATCAGGAAATATATAGCGTAACGAGGAAGTTTTGTAGCCATTACTGATCCTGAAATAAAAAATGTTTTAATGAAAATGGGTAAAAAGGAACCTATTCTGAGCTGAGTTTTTTCTTTTTTTTTAAAAAAGCCAATAAACCCGAAAACATCTAACGAACCTATTCGCGCCGTGAAATACGGCCGAAAACGTCGAATTCAACCACCCGGGATCATTCGAAAATAAGAAAACGGTGCCAATTTTATCTGCTTGTCCATCTAAAATCTGAAAGGTTCTAATATTGTCTATTAACACTATATTTTAAAAGCTAAATAGCAATATAGAAACTAAACAAATTCAAAACCGATTAAAACTTTTCAGGACTCCTTTTCCTGATGAATTTATTTTAGTTTAATATCTTCAAAAATTTTGGCTTGAATTTAATAGACCTTGAATTTTAGGTTCATTTATAACTTTTTGAGAACTAAACAATTTAGATCTTGTAAAGGTTAAAAAATGTTACAAAATTTTCCTTCGGCTGCATGCATCGTACTGTATTTATCAAAATCTCTCCGATTTTGATAATTTGAAACCTATTTTGTTAAATAAAGTTGTTAAGTAGGGCCCAGGGAAATCCTTTTCTATAGCATTTAATTTGAAACCCACATTTCTTCAGTATCCATTCGGTGGCAAAGCGCGTGAAATTTGCATCGGATGCCTGGGGAAATTTCTCACGGATGAAATCCCCGCGTCTAGCATGCACGCATAGGCTTAAAGGTGTCGATGAGGTTATTTTATAGGGGTATTTTGTACTTGTCGAAAATTAAAATGTCGAAATGTCGGCGTTTCAAGTTTCTACTGCTTTCGGATGAATAAATTTTTAACAAAATGAATTTCGACGGAATTGTTTTAGTAACCATTTTTCCAGCAGACACGGATTAACGGTGAAATATATGTTGATTTAATACAAGCACTACTGCGAGGTATCCAAAATCACCATCTCGACTTATCGCAAATTAATGGACGTTACATGTAATTGCCGAGCATTAATGCACTAAAACTTACACATTCCCCGAAACATCCCTTTTCCTAAGCACTTTTTCCGCTTCTGCAGTAACATTTTTCGACGGCTGCATCCATTTCAAAATCTCCGTTCTCAGGTGCGAAAAGTAAAGGTGACTCTGGAAAAAGTAATAAAATTTTAATTCCATTCACTCAAGAAGAACTATTACAGGAATTCTATGTTTTTCGACTTTAAACATCCACGAAACATTTTTATTCCACCAAAAAGTACCTGAAAATATCTCCCAGTTCCCAGCAGCGCCGTCTCGTTCCTTCCCATTAGCGCACCGAGGGAGGAGAAGCGGCAGCAGCCTTTTTCGTGAAGCTTTATGGTCGGCATTTGGGGCTAAATTTAATGAATTCAAAAGAGCGAATTTGACAGCAATAATTTTATGTGTCTCACAATATATCGCCGTGGAAACGTGGTGCGTAAAAATCCATTTCGATACGAATGGTTTAGTCAAAATTCCAAAAAATTATATAAAAAGTAAACGTGAATAAAAGTGACTGTAAAGGGACATGTAAGGCATTCCTACTGTGTCTTTTTTTTTCTATATGAATCGCCTCTAGATTTATGGTGCTGCTGTACGGGTTATTCAGAACCTACACTGTCCATTGTGTACTGGATCCTAGAAATAAGCCCCGGAAAAGTGGTCCTAATTGCGAGAAGACGGTCGAAAAGCCTGGTGCTGTCGAGGTGGAGGAGAGGCGCTCTGAATTCCGAATTACAAATTTCTAACCTAGCTAAAATTAGTTTTGAATTGAGGAATTAAAGAATTCTGTTTTGTTGATGTCTTAATATGAAATAGCAATAATTCAGATACTTTATTGGTAAACATCGACGGCTAAAGTTATGTTTCACGGAGATTTAGATTAGAAATATCGAGTGACAGATATAATTTCCAGAACTGCATACATAAAAATTTCAGAATTTAAAAAATATATGCTTCATCGATGTTTAGATAAAAAAAATACTTAGTGGTAACCGTAATATCCAACGTTCATCGATCTTCGGTCTAATCGAATTCCCTGTCGGCTATCTAACTAAAATTACTCACAAAAATGTCAAATAAAAACAATATGTTTCACTAAGGTTTGAATAACAACGTTGTCGAAAAGAGCCAATCTCCCAGAGCTACGCTGTCGACTATCAAATGCTTACCGATTTGTGAGGTCGGCAATTCCCAGTAAAGCCAAAATCTCGAACAGCTGATTCCCAAGTCCGGAGGGGCCTCTCGTGGCCGATAGGCTCAGGGAAAGCGTTCCTAAAATTCGCATGTTTCAAAGATCCCTAATTACAAATTTTTTTATTCTTTACCAGTGTACCGTCTGCCTTTTGCCTCATTTTGCCGTTGTTTCATTTAGCGAACTTCAAAAATTTAATGTTGTGTGAAAGTCTCAAAAATTAAAAATGGTGGCGGCTATGCAAAAATGTTTTATGAAAAATCCCTGTCGGTACAACGTTACGCAAACCATTCATCGCTCTTTAAGATTGTATTTTACCAATTTGAGAATATAAAAATTTGCCTACCGTACCTGTTTTCTTAGTTTCTTGGCGGTCCGGCGAGCTTCTTCCGTTCATTGTTGTGCTTTGGAAAAGCAGCAAAACTTAAAAAAATTTAGAAATTCTGGTTTTTTCGCATTATCGCTGGGAATCTTATTTTTCGATGATAACAAAAATGCCTAATACCGCAATGGTCAGTGTTTTAAAGTGTTTTAGTAAAATTTAACCGTCTTTAAGTGGAAAAACTATCTAAAAAAAGGAAAGTTTAGAAAACAGATTTTTTGTTTGAAAATGGGTAATTTTCCTTCGGACAATCCATTTTTGGATTTTTAATGAAAAGTAGAAAGTTAGTAAAAAGTAAGAAAACAGTAGGATCGTTTTTTCTATCAGTACTAAAAAAATTCGCCCCCTCCGATATTATGAAAGCTCCAAGTCTCTAAAAATATGTGTTTTTTCATAAGCAAGTACCAATAACTCACGGCATAGTAATAAAACAGCCAATAACGCCCATCTAACGACTTTCTTGCCCGGCATTGCAGTAACCAAAAATGCAATAAAACGAGCGCCGAATATTAGCCGGTACGAAAAGAGCCATAAAGCGGAGAAGAGAGGCCGAAAATGCTGATAACGGATAGCAGTTGTCTCTGCGCTGGGCGGGGTTGTTGAAACTTTGGACCAAATCGGGGGCGAAGTTATAAATGTTTCAGAAAATCGGCCACTATGGGGATCTATAAATGGATGTCAATGTCGATGACTTTTCTTCCCAAATAAAAGGCCTAAACTATACATGTTTCAAAGATCTGTATCGCCATGCCAAGTTAGGAACAATCGATTCAAGCAAGTGTCCCCCAATATTCGTAAATTCAAAAATGGGTTTAAAGCACGAGACGATCGATACCTTGCGCTAGCTAGGCTGGCTGGCTGGCTGGCCAGCAGCTGAAAAAGATAAATTTTACCTATTTTTAGGAATCTGATGCGCTTAAAAAGCTCCGGTGCCAGTCGTTGTTTAAAAAAGATACATTTTTTTTAAAAAAAAAAAATAAAATTTAAATTTTTTTTTTTTTTTTTTTTTTTAAAATTTTTTTTTTTTTTTTTTTTTTTTTTTATTTTTATAGGTTCGATTTTGCTCCGCGGCGCGCGACTACCGTAACCCTGTTTGCTATCCCGCGGACGGTTACCCAGACAACCCTTCGGATTTTCGTAGCTCTGTAAAAAACGGTAATAATCTATCATCCATTCACAAAGTACTTGCGACACCTGTCAAATATTTTTGCCCCGCTCTCACGAGGGGGCTCCAAAAATTAAGTGATACTCATAATTGTTCGTCTGCACGGAAATCTTTAGTAAAAGGCGAAAGATTTTCTCGGTCAAATGCAGACGAACCAGAGGTCAGAAACGTGGGGGAATGAGGGTGATCAGGGGCACTAGTAGGCCAGGTGGGGGGCGCGTCGCATACGTCTCATCAACGCTTGCGCAAGGAATTGATTGACACATCAAAAAAAACTTGATGAGGCTATCAGTGTATTTTCGAACGTCTTTGCTCGGCAATGACTGATACTGATTGACCCGTAATTTATTCAGCTCATCATCACCGATTATGAAACAAGTATTTACATTTAACACTCGACATTAAACTTGGCAATAGTCCAATGCGACATCCAAATACCCGTCACCCCCATTAACGGCCCTTAAAATGGCATATATCGTCGATCTGATCTCTTCGAAATCCGGTCGGTCGTCTGCGCCGAACGACCAGCACCGCTTCATTAGCGATTTTCTGAAAAAGTTAAATTTATGCGTTTCAACAATTAAACCATACAAAGAAAATCTAGCTCTAGTTAATCAAGCTCTTTGCTGTTTCTCCACTTGCATCTTTACAGCTCGACAGTTTTCATAGCGAAACTCACATAATAACCGGACATTCGGGCACCACCAACCGGCCGCCCTGCTTCAAAAAGTTGAGCATCTCCTCGGGTTCCTGGGCAAAGTACGGGCTCATCCCCACGAGTACAACTCGTACAGCAGCACGCCGTAGGACCAGCTGAAATTTGCGGAATTAGACCGGTTTCCAAAAAAATTAGGCGTCAAATTTGATCCAATCACAAGTCGAAAACATCGGTAGTTGCCAAAAAAATTGGTTTCAAAAAATTGGAGGATTCGGAAAAATTGTCTACTAGTACTACTGCACTAGTTCTGCATTCTAATTGGTCATCGATCTATTTCGAGCAAACGTTAAAAAATGAGGCGCATCAAAATAGCGAAATTTTGTTTGAAAACATTTTACAGTGAGTTTTTAGCTAGGCTTCGCTACGAAAAAAAGGGAGAAAAGCCAGTTTCAAAAAAATTTGAGGGGCCGAAAAACTGCAAACATTAATTCTGCCAAGTCTTCATACTTTATCTGAGAAAATCTAATAAAGAAGACGAATAAAATTGAGGAATTGTACGATTTATACGATTTTGCAATTTTCTTGGAGCGCCTTCACAACGGATTAGACCAAGATAAAAAATTAGTTTAGAAAACTGTAGAGAACCCATAATAATGGAAAGGGTTGATTGATCGAGTTGTGTATTTCGAGAAAAAGCCTATTTTCGAAAATATAGACAATAAATTTGCCGAATTGTGTGTTTTGCCAGATGAATAAGTTTTGCCTAGCCTTTTTCGACACGGCTTCAAGACATGGTTAAAAATTTAGTTTCAAAAAAATTCAGGAAAGAAGCAAGATTGAAAGCAATCATCTCGCAAGATCATCGCTTCAGAAAATTTGCAACAAAACCATTAATTATAATCAAGGAATTCTGCGTTTTGCCCACTATTAAATCACATGTTAGTTTTTTCAAAATGAGTTTAAGACACTGCGAAAAAATAGAAACAAATTCAAGCGGGAGACGGGGACTTGAAGGTTAAAATAAAATGTTTCAAAAATCGTAGTTGCAAGGCAAACCCCGCTTTTCGGAATATGTATGTAATCGTCTCCTTTAACAATAAGCCAAATTTTTTCGATGCTTACCGCTTAATTAGCTTGATTTTTGTCATTTTTTCAGCTTGATAATTTCCCGTATTGAAGCACTTACACATCAGTTTTTGTCGAAAACTGGGCGAATTCCAGGGATTCCGAGGCCATCCATTTGATCGGCAATCTTCCACCCCTCGTCGTGTAGAGGAATGTATCGTTGAAGCGGCACAGTCCGAAATCGGACAGCTGCAAAGGAAGTGAAAAATGTTTCTTTGCATGCCTGAAAAGGCTGTCATCTTTTTAATGATTCCTTGTGTGATCCTTCAGTGATATGGTTGAAAAATTGCTTCTAAAGAAGCAGTACCTACACCCCCGATAAAAGAAAAGCGCCAAAATGTCCTTTTTTTATTGAATTTTTTATTCTATTCATTGAACATACGCGAAAAATGCTTAAATATATTTTAAACAGGAACGATACCTTTACAACCTTATTCTCAGTGACCAGCACGTTACGAGCGGCCACGTCGCGGTGAATGATGTTTTTGGCGGCCAAGTATACCTAAGCTTCCGTTTTAAAAACTAGCAATAAAATCGGGCATTATCCAGCCATTAAAATTAGTGAATACGCTTTAAGAAAAAAAATGGAAAACCAGCAAATAGTATTTTCCATTTTTATTTATCTTGTTGTTATTTTCTAACTGATATTTCCGAAATACGTAATTTCAAAGGATCACTATAAAAATGCACTCCAGCCTCGGGCGTAATGCACGGAAAGAGTTGCGATGTACTGGGCACAATGTTGAAACCTATAGTTTTTAATCGCACATCGATTCCTACTTCCTGGATTCGATACTCTAAAGGGATGGGAAAGTTATTAATATCCATTTGTCAATTTTTCCGCACCAAAAAGAGGCAAAGCGCCGCCCCGCTTTCCATTGCGTAACGAGTCATGGATAAGGTGTTTCATCGCAAATCCAAATAAAAATTTTTTAATCACGATTAATGCGATTGCGGAGCCAAAGCCTATTACAACCAGCTTATTAATTAATAACAAATAGCCTTAACAAGCGCTGGAAATTTACGTATAAATTTTGAAAGGGAACTAAAATAGAAAAAGCAAATGTTCTTCGCATTACCGGCGACGCATTTTTTCCTATAAGTCCAGAAATGCCTAATAACGTAATAGTAAGTTTTTTAATAGTGTTTTAGTAAAATATTTTGCTATATTTTAAGTGAAAAAACAATGATATAAACTTGAAAGAATTTTTAGGTGAAATTTTTGTCGAAAATCGGCCATTTTTAGCCGCGGAATCGATTTTTTTTTTGAATTTGTAGCGAAAATGTTGAAGTTTTTATGTTTATAACTATCGAAAAACTTCTATGAAATCCTTAGAAAAAAGCGACCCACCGTCCCCGCGAAAAAGGCGAAAGAACCGAACCAAGAAATAAGCCATAAAAGCGAGCCATTTCTGGCACTTTTTTTTGTAAAAATTATGAGTTTCAAAAAAACTTTAAATTCTTCATGGAATTTCCGGTCCTAATCCCTCTTGTCGCATGGAAAATATACCCCAGAAATCCTCACCAGTGCATCGCTAATTTGCCATGATATGTTCAGGAAGTCGTCGATGGTTAGGAAATTCTAAAGCTGTTGTCCAAGTTAAAGGGCTGCCGACGGCATGTGTCGATCCCCCCATCAACAAATTGGCAAGTAGCCAACAGAGCAGAGAGCGCGCCCGGGGGAGAGGCGCAGAGACATTTTCTTTTTCCGCGCGTAACCGATTGACTATGCCGTCGGCATCCCTTTAAGCTTTTTGATGGAAAAATCGTACTTTCAATAATCAATAAACTCAATAAATTAATATAGTTAACTTAAATTACAAGAAAAAATTTAATATTAAACATACCGTTTCTTCTTTAACCTCTGATCGTAATAAGCCGAGCAAATCTCCGCGCTCGCAGATTTCCGTTACGATACATGGTTGCAGTGGATCTAAAGAGGATACGTAAGGAATCGTGGCCTTAATAATATTCATTTCCAAACTTTTTATATTAAAATTTAAACAAAAAAAACATTTTTTTAGATCACGGTTTTTCCCGAGAGTGATCTACACATTTTATTAGTTGATTCTGATTGATAGAATTGTTGATAGAAAGGTAGAAGTTGCCCACCAGCGAATTATTTTCGATTCGTTTATACGATCTTACATGATTTTACGGATAACGACGACTTCAAGGAGTTCAACAAAAGATCACAGCAAGGACAAGTTAACTAGGTCCTTCCCAAATTTTTAATACTCCCGATTTGGCAAAACTTTTTTACCATTATCGAATTCGTTTCCTACTGTTGTCTGCGTCTTAATACGATCGATTCTCAATTTTCATAACTGAAATTTTACGAAACATGTTCTGAAGCACGGTTTTTCGCTCGAATTTTGGTCGATTCGGCTGTTTTTAATTAATGAAATTTATTATTTTTTTAGCCTGGGAAAGCAACAAACTACAGCTTATTAAATTCAGACCAGGGTTGAAAAGCCGCTTCGCGACTTTTCAACCCTGGCCCCGTCTAACTTGATGAAATTCTTCACTCTGCATACTTCTCTCGAGATCCTATGAGGGAAAAATGAGGAATTCCACTCTCTCAGGTTATATATAGGCTTCCGCCACTTCCGGCGTATGCTAATTATTTCCTAACAAAGAAGGCTGCCGGATTTTTTCAACAAAAACTCAATTTTAATGTCGAAAATAGCATAATTTGCAAAATCTGATATCCGTGCAGTCATCTCGGTGACGTTACGCACCTAATGACGTATCATACGTAGCCTAACGCCCTTCCCCTCTTGAGATATCCTCCGGACACGGTGACGGAAGTTGCATTCAAATGCACACACACACACACACACACAGGAACTATTTTTTTATATATAGTAGGATAATTTGGTATGTAGAAATCATCTCAGATCAAAATTGAGATTCTGAACATCTTGGGAACCGTTCAATTTTTGAAACACCTGTCTGGCAGCCGAGAAGTGATGCCAAATGCGGGTGATAGCCAAGGGATTTCATGAAGGCAATCTCCTGCTGGAATTCGGCTCTAAAACTACCGTACTTGTGTTAAACTATAAACTCGATTAATTACATTAAACTGTACATAAAGATACCGATTTTTTAACAACTATTTTGAAAATCTTTCTAAAAATATGTTCTAAAACCGAGACTCGAGACCGAGCTCTAAAAAAATTCTGCTATACTAATTTTCAGATTATGTTTCTTTGTTGCCAAGTTTTCAATTGATCGAGCCGAAACACCTTTTTTTGACTACGTTGCGACAACGGAATCCTTTAAAATGCCACAAATCCATGCCATTCAGTTATTTTATAAAAACGTCTTCTGCCATTTAAAAATATTCAAAAAATTCAAAAATGGCAAGGGCGCCGTAAAAATTTTTAACCAAATTAGAAACAATCATTTTGGGGAAATTTTGCGTAATTTTACACCTTTATGAGAAAAAATTTGAAAACGTTGAAAACTCACAAATCGGTATTCGACGCATGGGCATGTGCCATTTTCACAGCAACCACGTTTTCGTTGGCGTTTAATGAGATGGATAACTGAAACATTTTCTTTGGCTATACCGCGAAGACTAAAATAGGAGAGCAGCCACGTAATTTCTCTAGCCATAATTGATAAATATGAGACCTGATTCAAATTTAATAATTTTTACTACAATTTCAATAAAATGTAATAATTCAAATTTAATAAGTTAAACAAAGGTTCCCCAATAACGGAAAATTTTTCGTGTCGGTCTGCGTCAAGTTACATTATGCAAAATCATCAATTCACAGAATGGCGTGTGCTTGAAACATTTAATATTTCGTTTCGTCGCCTCAAAGACAAGTTGTCTTAGACGACCATTGGCCCTACTATAGCTGACCTGTATACTCGGGGCAACCTTTAGAATTGGGGGTATGCCCCTCAGAATTCCGCGATACACCACCGCATACGCACCGGAGCCCAAGCGATCAGCGCTGATTTCAAGGGAATATGGTCCGATTTCCCAGTGGTCTGGGGGAGGGTTTCTGAAAAAGTGTTTTGATTGTAAACAGGGTAGGACATCTTGCTGGTTTAATGATGTTTGAAGTTGTGAACGCTGCAAAACTTCCAAAAACGACCTTTCAAATTGAATGGTTTTGATATTAATTTAGAACGCTAAACTGGGCAAAATCATTTTAACGAAAAATGCGATATTCCGAAAAACGGCTTTCTTTTCTCTTTTCTTTTCTTTTTCTCTTTTTCTTTAAAGATATTTCCGTTTCTTTAGGCAGTATCATCGCGACCGATTCTGGGGTTTGGGGGAAAGTTTTAACATTTTTTTGAAAAATTTACTATTTTTAGCATGCTATTCAAGACGAATAATTCCTCTAAAACGCCAGGCTAACTCAAAGGGAATATGGTCCGATTTCCGAGCCGTCTGGGGGCTGGTTTGGGAAAAAGCGTTTCGATTATAAACCACGCGAACATCGACAGCTAGTCTGATAATTAATGCGTATCCTAATGCGCATCACTGCTATTGTCGAAACATTATATCAAAAATTCATGTTTTAAACTTGTTAATAATTGCTTAAGAAAGTTGTTACGCAACGAACCAAGAAGTGGATTACGTTCGCGATGGTTGCATCTCTTAATAATATTCGGAAACATAAATTGAACTATGGCACTCCACCAACGAATTGGTATCGACAATTATTATCGTTATTTTGAAAAGATGAAACACGTTTTTGATTTGACCACCACCTAGATTTTTTCTGCTCTATAAAATTATGAAATTCAAACAACAAACCTTAAATTTTGATTTAATTCTTGCTTTTTCAAGTTCAATATTAATTTGAGGGTTTCAATTTAAGCGATTGGTGTCTTTTTGGCGCATTTTCTCACATTGGCTCCAAATTCTTGGCACTTGGCGAGCTGGAGTAGTAGTTTGGCGCGGCGGCCTCGAGCTTGTCCAATTCTTCCAGGTGGGTGTTGATGCTAAAATCGGTATTTAAAGTTGTAAATTATAGAAATAAATAATGACAGTCCCAACATTGAAACAGGAGGTCGAAAACTAAGATATTTAAATACCAAAACGGAAATCCAAAAATTCAGAGGTTTCAAAACTACTTTGTGGTAACACCTAGGCAAAAGAGATTAGTGGAGAAGGGAGATGGCCTTCGAATAACATAACCGAATAAAATCGATTTAATAATCGTGATACCGCGTGCTAGGCCCTATCATGAATGCGCGATCTTATAGCACCCACCTAGTGAATAATTTATATAATGCTGTAATTAAAGAACCGTGCAAGGCTTAAATATCGATCTGGTTGGCTATGGATTCATTATGGATTTTACTCATTACCGCGGCACGCAACGCAAAAGAAAAAGCTATGAAATATTTCTTCTTTTAAAATGTTTGTAAAAATCCTTTAAAATATTAAGCTTACCAGCAACACATCCGAGGACAAAATTTCCGCATACAAATCCCGATCACAATCGATGCCGTCATGAAAACGACGACCACCACGGCGATCATCCACCACGGGAAGATGTCCTTTTTTGAGGCATCTGATAATCTAATCGTTAGTTCCAGTCGCTTCAAAATGTTGAATGTGAGTGTTCCACTCATTGACCGGTAGAAAAAATCCGAAACATAGACATTTTTTTCCATGGAAATCCAAAAAACGTCCGCATCGGCATTTCACTGCATTACATCCCATCGCTCTCAAAATTTTCCGAAGGTGTATCGGATTCTAAATAACAACAATTTCGAAATATAGCCCGACAGCTACAGTAGTTGGCCAACCAGAAAATAAACATTATTTTACGTTTTTAATAGGATTTCTGGAGGAGCGACCCTCGAAATATTAAGCGAAAAGATGCGGCTACTTTTTTTGCGCCTGGAAATTTTTTTAACGAATATCACCCAGGAATACGGTAATGTCAATTTATTCGCAATGCAAATGGAGCATCTTATTTAGGGTTCGACGATCCTGGAGTACAATTTTGGAACCGATCGGATGTAAGGCGGCGAAATGTCAGATGGCGCCTTTTTTCGAACACCCTGTGTATTTTGGAAATCCACACTCATTGTAAATCCTGTAGCAATTAATTACTTTTAAATAGGTTTAGAGCCTGTTTTGATATTTTAAAAGAAAATTTCAAATAAAAAAAATCAGTCATGTGGGAGAAAATATTTTGCTCGATGATAGAGAAAATTATGTTTCGGAGAAGTGAGGCCGAGAATTAATAGATTCTTTTGCAGTCAGACGTAGCATCCATCGATAATGATTTACTGTTTAATTTCCAAGGCGCTATCCTTGGTTTTTTAGCACTTCCAACCAACCTTTCGCCTCTTCGCAAAGCCCGTAATTTTCTGCATAACTCGCCATGTCTGCGTTGTACGGCACGAATTTGATGAAATCTTCAAATCCCGGGGGTAGCGTCAAATTCTGGAGATACGGTAGACACGTGTCAAATGTGTTTTGCTGAAATGGGTACTCGAGCAAAGTCAATGTATCAGAATGCAGAGACGATACACGTCGGAATTTTTTTATTTTAAGCTTTAGCTTTCACCCTAGGCCTAGGCCTAGGCCTAGGCCCAGACATAGGATTAGACTTGAGCTAGGCTCAGGCACAGTCTTAGGCTTTAGTTAGGCACAGGCTTAGGTTAAGCTCAGGCTTAGGCTTGGCTGGGCTTGCTCTTAGGCCTAGGCTTAGTTTTAGGCTTAGTTGAAGCTTAGCTTAGGCTTAGTATTAGGTTTAGACCTAGCCTTACTTATGCTTAAGCTAGCTTAGCTTAGGCTTAGCTTAGACTGAGCTTAGGCTTAGCTTAGACTGAGCTTAGGCTTAGCTTAGGCTTAGCTTAGGCTTAGCTTAGGCTTAGCTTAGGCTTAGCTTAGGCTTGGCTTAGGCTTAGCTTAGGCTTAGCTTAGGCTTAGCTTAGGCCTAGCTTAGGCTTGGCTTAGGCTAGGCTCAGGCTCAGGCTTAGGCGTAGGGCTAGGCTTAGGCTTAGGCTTGTGCCGAGGCTTAGGACTAGGCTCAGGCTTATGCGTAGTTTTAAGTTTAGCCTCAGTTCTACTCGAAGGCACTTTTTCTCGGCTTTTGTATTAAAGGGATCTGCAAGGCATCCCAATGGATTTTTTTTGGTTACGGTTCGCGACGCAACAAGCAACGTGCCACGTACGTACGCGTACGCGCTGCCCCATCATTTAGAGAACGTAATCGATTACGCAATAAAATCAGTAGCGGCTCCGTTGCGTGTCGCTGTGACGAAAAAACATTTATTGAATCCTGGTATCCATCAAAGAATTGGCAAAATTCACGCATAATTGCTGCTGTCTCTAACATGACACATTTTTATTTTCAAATTTCTTTTTCCGGGTCTTTTTGGAGGTTTTTGGGCATTGAAGAATAGTCTGTCTTTGTAAAGCTTTGTATTACTTTGAAAAGCCGAAAAAATCCGATCGCCAACCTTTAGCCAAAATAGCCGAAACGGGATGCCATCACTCAAAAGTGTTCGTATCGGCCCATCGGTGGCAAAGACTATAAAAATAAAGTGTTATGGGCAAAAATGGATAGTAAGCAGCAATTTTTTTGAGCAATCCACACACAGCCGCCCATGGCCTCGGTCCAGATGGTTCAAGGGAAAGGGCGTAATGTACGTGTTTTTCGCGCGTTGCGCGCGGGTGCGCGGAATAACAACCGGTTTCGCAATTGCGCGACGCGTCTATCGCACGCGTTGCGGTCGTCGGTGTTTCCAAAGCTACCGGTCGTTTTCTTAGGAGCCGGGCCGCTGTGCACACCGTTTTCCGCATGCTGAGATGATTATGAAAGGGAAATTGAAGTGTGGATTAGACGGCTATTGGAGTTTCCGAAATATTTTTTGCGCGAAACACTTTATCGCACACGTTTGCCCCCAGCAGGTCCCAACTTTCATCACTGTCCCTCTGTGATATATAGATTTAGAGTATCTCAAATATTAGAATACATGAAATTTTAGACGAAAAATAGCGGAAAATAAAAATATTTGATTTAGCAAAGGTGTCTTGACTGGAGTGTGGGGGCGCCGGTAAACTAGCCTTTGCCAATGGAATCCCGATTTTCAAATTTTACTGGAAATATCATTTTCTTGTTCAACTTAGCTTTAAAATTCCAAACGCACCTTCCAGTAGTTTACTCATAAAGGTGTACTCTGGGTCGTTGCACGGAATATCCGTGAAAAAGTAGACTACCTTGCCGCGTTTGTCCTATAAATAGCAATTTTTGCCTTAAAATCATATTCTATTGCTATTATTTATGACTCAAAAATTTGCGTTAACATTAGTAAAGTATGGTTAAATTAAATTATCATAGCCTAATATACAAAGATTACCGTAACCAGCGATTGCCATTGCTCCAAAATCACATAAACCAGCGTCAAGTCGGTTAGCATCGTTGATAGCAGAGTAGAGCTGAAAAATCAATATAATTAAAGCTTAATTTGTATAGTTAAACATGTTCCTAATTAAGCTAACAATGGTTCGTTTTTATAAAATTAAATGTTGCATCAAAATTTCTAATCGCGGGCCTTTTAGCACGTTTAATTTAGGCTACATTTGCTTGTTGAAATATCAGAAGATATGGATTCTAAGCGTTTGAAAAATTAGTTCAATTTATTTAATTATTCAAATTATCAATTTAATTTAATTATTTAATTAAATTGAGTTAAATCGTTTATGTCAAATTTAATGTTGCATCAAAATTTATAAATGCGGCTTTTTTGCGCGTCTAATTTCAAGTCAAACTAGCCTAAATATTGCAACAGCAAGAAAAACGGTTCTATAGTATTTGCTAAAAATAAAAATAAAAAAGAATATAGGTAAGGTTAATATAATCATAATATAACGGAAAAACAAATAAATAACCATATAAGGAAAGAAACAACGAATAAAATTTCAGATAAAAGTGTTTCTATGAAAAACCGCGAGGTCGATGGTTATTGTGCCACTAATTTGGTTTCCAACTTAAGTGCGATATTTTGTAGAAAATCTTGGTATTATAACTTTAAAGAATTAATGAAAATTCGGTATCCACTTACTTTGCATCAAAGTGATAGCGATCGAGCCGTACCGGACTGTACGCTTCCTGATAGTCGATCCGGATACGAGTATACGTCGAGTCGCCCACATCAATTGGGACAAGGTAGCTAGAAATTAGGGGGGAAAAGCCGAAATGCCGACACCATAATCCCGACACCCAAAATACCGACAGCCAAAATATAATCAAGTGAAAATATCGACATGAAAAATACCGACAGTTTAAATCTTGACAGCCAAGGTCCCGGTATCCAAAATCCCGACAGACAAGGTATCGATAACCAAAAGCCCCTATATATTTTTGAGGCTAATTTGAATACCATGTCTTTTTAACCAGCTATTTTGTTTGTCGGCATTTTCTTGTCGGTATTTTTGTGATTATGACTGTCGCGATTATGGCGGCGGGATTTTGATTGTCGGGATTACGATTATCGGGATTCTGGCTATCGGGCTTGTTACCGTCGATGTTTTGGCTTTCGATATTTTTGCATGTCGGGATTACGATTATCGGGATTTTGGCTGTCGATATTTTGTCCTGCCGGGATTTCGTTCCTTTAAAGCCGAAAAATTTGCATGATACCTCAAGCTCAAATTGTCCCTCTCCCTCGGCGCTTGGACATCGCGACAAGGGTCAGTTATCGTATCCAAAATATCCTCCAGGGTATGCTGATCAGCGGCCGGTCTGAATTGGCCAAAAATGCAGTTGTAAGGGCATTCTTTTTATGCAAATTATTTGGTCTGCTGCAAGCTATGTCCTAACCAAAGGTGAAACTATCTTTCCCTCGATGCAGAAAAATTCGAAAAAAATTTTTTGAAAAAGAAATATTTATAAGCCTTCCTATTGGGAGGGAATTAATATATTTTTTTAATCGATTAAGGGCAAGGTTGCAGAAATCCTTGCGGAACATAATTTGTAAAAAAGTTACGATAAAGCTTCGTCATGCATTACCGGTTGCCACGTCAGGTAAACCCTACGACCAACCGAAACCTAATTTTTTTAATTCGGCTGAAATGCGGCAACGTTTTTACAAGTGAGTTTTTAAAGATTTGATCTGGATAAGATTATTGAGTTTTTAAACTCACTTCCAATCATTAAAAATATGGGTTTTTTGTAAAGGGAATATCTTTATTTCTTTACGCCAATTTAAAACAAGTCGGTTTGAGATCTTTGTTGCGTAGCCGTAAAAATGGATATTTTCGAAGATCTAATTTTCGGAGGGCTTCCTATAAACGTCCGAACTTACGTCCTGCGCGTCAAAATGCCATAAATTCCAAGATCCCAGCTGTCGCAAAATGACTTCGTCTTGGAACCCGTACTAACTAAAAAGGAAAACCTAGCAACACTTTGAAAGGACCGAAAACATCTTTTTCTCCAAGCAAAGTTTGCGATTTTTGTAAGTTATTTATCGTATCTATTTGAGATAAAAATTACTACACCTTTGTGAAGGACAAATTAAGGAGCTATTAATTTGCTAAAGAACACTGTTTTTTGAAACACACTTCTAATCAGTAAAATAGAGATTTTCGAAAGCAAAATATCTTTATTTCTCTACAATATTCCGAAATGCATTATTTTTAAAGCATGGTTCAGGCGGAAAATAAAATTTATATGAAACCCATTATTTTTAGGATCTTTATATCATTTTAATGGAACTTAAAAGAATAATTTGGGGGGAGCGACCTGAAGCTGAAGACAAAATATGTATTTTAAGGTTTATTTTTCCTGCTATAGATAGAAAAATAATGTTTTATATCAAAACTACTACGAAAAATATAAAGGTTAGTTTAATAAATATCGCATTGTAGTCTTTATTTGCGTTTAATATGCCGAGTTTTGAAGTCTTTGCTTCACAATCATAGCCTTACCGTCAAAGCAAATATCTTCCGGATTCGGATACGCGCTTGTAGTTGTGCTTTCCGGAAGTACAACGGAGTGCAATAAGATTCCGACCACCAAAAACCGGAAGAAAAGACGATGGAGCGCCATTAGGTGTCGTTCGGCTGGCACTAGCTCTGCCATGCGCCAGCGAAATTCAGCAAGACGATAAGCCGATTGAAGCTTATCAAAACTAACCGTTAGGCGGAAGAGGACTTGGGTGATGAGTGTTTTTTTTAGAGTGTAGTGCATGTGGGTGGGCCAGGTGACGTGTGACTTGGCTGAAACATACTTATACTTAAGGGGCACGTAAGTCTGATCCACGCCCCTAGTGTGGATTCCTGGCAAATAGCCAGATGCGGCCGCAACGTGGCCGCGTCACATCCCTTTAGTCCTAGTTTCGATGCGAAAATGTCTGAATTTGAAAATTGTGACGTGTTTTCTGGAATCCTCACCGAATTTTGATCATTCTAGGCGTTTTTATTAGGAAAATTGAGCAGAGCATCACCGATATCGCTGATTTGGGTGCTTTAAAAGGAATTACGACACGTAATCGCTACGCACTCCAAAAATTCTTTTCGTCCCGAGAACGTTTCGGTTTTACTCAAATATTTTACGTTTTTCCCATTTTCGAACATTTTACCTTCCTCGTGCTTTAAAAGGCATTACGACATGCAAAGCCCGCCCGTCCAAAAACGCCGAAATTTAGCGCCTAAACATTTCTTGTCTTTCCAAATACTTCGCGTTTGTTCGCAACGCAATAAATTTCGTGATACTTGTCGGGGGGGGGGGGGGATCCTTTTTTGTCTTGTAGGTTCGATCCCCCGAGCAGACGAATTTTGACTTCCTGGCCCCTTTAAAGGAGCTGCGAGCTAGCCGTACCAATAAATTTAGGCTATCAAGGTTGACGGGGAATTAGTACGGTATCAGCTACGAACAACCAATTTTTTTAATGGCGAAGCTGTTTCAAAATTTGGAGATTGGGGACGAAAGGTACTACCGGTTCTAACCTAGATAACAAGCCGAAAAAATCTGAAACATGGTTTTGGTTTTGACGGAAATACGCCAGATTTCAGAAAAAAAAATTAAAAATTAATTTGGAAATCAACAATTTGACCGTACGAAAATGGGATTTTAGATCAGGTCGATCGAGTTTTTTTGCAGATTCATTTCGAGGCTTCTCGATGCCGGAAGTGAATAATATCGATACCAGAACCCATGAAAATTTATTCCGAAAAAATGGGGGACAGCACAAGGCGCGAGTTTAATTTAATTTTTAATACTTTATTAAATAATTTAAAATTAAATAATACGCGAGTTCACTAATAAATTTAATATGAGCTACGCCCAAAACAACGCCATTTCCGCTTTTTCACACATCGCACCTTCAGCACTTGCTTCACCTGGTCGTTTCACAGCTTCTACAAAGCGCGTTTAATCCGCGAAATTCGGCACACGCTAGGCTTAATGCCATTTCGAAAATACGACGTCACAAAAAAAACTCCTTAGAAGATATTGGATCAAGCACTCAACAAAATTTTTTTGCAGTTTTTCCGAGGCTTATTGATTCCAGATGTCAATAATGCCAATACCAGAACCCATCAAAATTTATTCCGGAAAAATGGGGCAGCACAAGGCACGAGTACACGACACTACACGAGACAATACAATCACAGCACAGGCACAAATACAGGTTAACGGGGAGCAATTTGTTTTTTGATTCTTCGTTGTTGATTCGTTGTTTTCTTGAGGATGGTAATGGCGTGGAGGGGTGGGGGCGGGGCTTCACGATCCGGGATGAGAAGGGCGGCGGACACGGGTCGAATGGTTCTGACGATGTCCCGAGGCACCGGGACGGGGACGCGGCCTCGGCTTCATCGACATCGACGTCTCGCCCGGGTCGGTTGGCTGAAAAGGAAATAAAAATGAAATCAGTAAATCTGCAGCAAAAAGTAAAAAGTTTGGCACTGCCGGGGTTCGAACCCTCGACCATTGGATTGGTAGTCTGGAGCTCTACCGACTGCGCTACCTGGTCTCTGGTCTCCTAAAGGGTTCTGCTAGCCTGCCTTGCCTCATGAATCCCTGCTAGCATGTGATTCCCCAACGATCTTTGCTAGCCTGCCCCCTTTCCGTACCTTCGTCATCATGGAAGCGCCGACCAGCTTCTTCGACATCAAGAGGGCCTTCTCGATTCGTCTGAAAAATAGGAATCCGGTTTTTTTATAATCACCAACTTGAAGCTCATGCGATCCTTCGGCTCCTGCAGCCAGCACCGCTGGATGATCTTCGTGATGTGCTTCGGGAACTGAAATGGAGAAGTAGATATCGTATCCCGTGTCCTCCTACCGTAGCGGGAATCGGCCACCGCTGGTCCTTTCCCTCCAGCAACATCTTGCGGACGGCCTTGTTGCCCATTCCCGGATAGGGGTCGCCGCCATCTGTGTACACCTCGCACATCATCACACCGAACGCCCACACATCACTCTTCACCGAGAACTTGAAGCTCTTCAGAACCTGTAAAGAGGGGTTTGAAACAGAGAGAGAGAGAGAGAGAGAGAGAGAGAGAGAGAGCTAGTGAGAGTGAGTGAGCGAGAGGAAGAGAGCGAGGAAGAGAGCGACGAGGAAGAGAGCGAGAAAGAGCGAGAGAGAGAGAGAGTGATAAAGAGAAAAGGAGAGAGAGAGAGAGAACGATAGAGATAGAGATAGAGAGAGAGAGAGAGAAATCGAGAGGTATAGAGCGCGAGATAGAGTGAGGGTGAGAGATATCTAGAAAGAGAGCGCGATAGCTAGCTAGAGAGAGAGATAAAAAGAAAGAGCGAGATAGGGAGAGCGAGAGAGAGAGCGAGAGAGAGAGAGAGTGAGAGAGACCCACTTCCGGTGCGAGCCACTTGGTCGGCAAGGGCACCGGCTCGAGCTTCTTGCTGTGCTTGAGCGCCTTCTCCTCCATCGACAGTCCAAAGTCGCTGATCTTCACCGTCAGATCGCCGTTCATCAGCAGATTTCGGGCCGCGATGTCGCGGTGCACCTGCAAAAAATAATTTTACACATTCGATTACGCCACCAAAAATGAAACAAAAATTCAAGGCTATCCGATTACGACACGAAAATACAGCGGCTTACAATGGCCGCATCCTCCAAGTGGGCCATCCCGGCGGCGGCTCCCTGCATGAAGGCGAGCTTCTGGTCGTCGGTTGTCGCGTTCTTCTTCAGGTACTAAACACAACACCGTACAGTAGTCCGGATCGTCTATAGGAGCGTAGCGTATCGTACAGTGCTACCGTACCGATTTGAGCGATCCGTTGGGCATCCACTCGAGCACAATGTACAGCGGGCTGCGCATCGTGCAGATCCCGTGGATTTGCGTCACGTTTTTGTGCTGGCTGAAAAATCGGGGGTGCTTTGGCAGTATCGGAGGGGGGTCGTATTCGGGGTACTGGACTGTTAGCGGGGGGTTATAGGGCTTAAATATTTTTGGAATCCTAGAAAGTTACAAAAATCTAGTAAAAATTTGAAAATCTGGATGTTTGACCTCAGTTTTATGCCCCCCCGTTAACAGTCCAGTACCGAGAAAAATAGTCAGCCTGCTTGATGTCCGAATCCCTAAGAATCTCTGCTAGCCTGCTCCTTCAATTCCCCAAGATTCACTGCTAACATGTCCTGTTAACTTCCCCAAGAATCTCTGCTAGCCTGCCCTCCAATTCCTCAACGCTCTCTGCTAGCTAGTCCTCGTCCTCACGTGATCTTCATCATGATGTAGGCTTCCTGGAGGAACTTCTGTTTCTTGGTCGGATCCTTGGCCAGCAAGTCCTTCAGCACCTTCACCGCCACCGTGATCGGCTCGCCTTGTGTCTGGAAAATCAGGGTTTTGGACAGATTGGCCCTAAACGTAAGTCTAATCGGTCTCAGGTTAAGCCCAAATCCAAGCTTAAGCCTAAGCCTAGAAACGATACCATAAAGGCCGCGGCGTGGACAGCTCCAAATTCGCCGGATCCGACCTGCTCGCGCATCTCGATGCTCTCGTGGGGGATGATTTGGACCTGAAGACAAAGATATGGGAGAGAGAGAGAAAGAGAGGAGAGAGAGAGAGAGAGAGAGAGAGCGAGCGAGAGAGAGAACAAAGCATACCGGTCGGGGAATCGATCGCAGGAGCCTGAACACCTCGGAGGTGTCCTGGGCCGGCAGCTGCTCGCCCGAGTTGTGGAACTGGCTGACGATGTCGGCTGAAAACGGGGTAGGCTAGCAGAGACTATTTGATGGGACCCACTGATGCTGTCGAAGCCTCGGTTGCCAAGGTAGAACTGCTTGTTGCGGTGGATGACGATGGTGAAGTAGACGATGTCGGTCGGGCCGCGGAGAGCGATGCAGAGCAACTGAAAAAGGATTACGATCTTACAAGAAAAATTCGACCCCCCCCGCTAAGGGAAAAGCACCTGTTTTCACAGATTTTTTATCAGATTTTACTTCATAACTCGGTAATGCACTCCGGCTCATACCTCGACCATCTTGTCCTTGGCGAGCGTGCGGTAGACCTTGCAGACGAGGAACTCGCCGACCTGCTTCAGCTGCTCCTCGATGTACTGCGGCTCGGCGTAGCCGTGGTAGTACAGCGAGTTGTAGATGCCGCGGTCCGGCTCTTGCACCCTGCAATTGGGCGCGTTAATGAAACATTTTCGAATTTTCAAAATTTTGAAAAATATGTTTTAAAAAATTTAATGTTTCTTGAAATAATAACCTAAATAAATAATTGAAAAATAATTGAAAATATAATTAAATAATTTGAATAAAGTTCAATTTTTAAAAATTTTAAAAATAAAAAATTTTAAAATTTAAAAAACTTTTTGACAATCAATACTAAAAGCACACTAAAGACACCAAACCGCAACTTCCACCCACAAGTGATTGTAGCTGGCCTGCAGACGATCCCGGAACGCCGCCATCCTCTCCAGATCGTTCTGCGGCGGCGGCTTGACCTCGTCCCGCTCCTTCAGCTTGTGCGCCACGCGGTCCACCGATTTCTAAAAGGCGCAAACTAGCAGTGACCATTTGCGCACAGCGATACCGTGCTCTTCTTGTTCTTCTTGTCGGGCGACTCGGCCACCATGTCGATGCCCCTTCCGGATGTCGAGACGGCCGCCTCGTCGTCGTCGCGCCGCTTGCTCTTCTTCTTCTTTTTCTTCTTCTTCTTCTCTTTCTTGTCGTCGCCCTGGAAAGACGAGAGTTGAGTGTGTTCAAGGTGCCGTCAAGTTCAAGGGGTTCAAGGGGGGAGGATAGCAGAGAACCAAAAAAAGGCAAGATTTTACCTTCCCGCGATCCTCCTCCTTCCCGCTGACGCGATCCCTGCTGATCCTCCTGGCCTTCTTCTTCTTCCCCGACTGATCGGGCCCGCCCTGCTTGTCCTCGTCGTTCTCCTTTTCCTTCTTCCGCTTCTGCCGCTCACTCCCAGATCCATCGCTTTTCGGCTGCTAAAAAGACCGAAACATTTTTCTAGTTCGTAAATCGATACCTTGTCCATCTTCTCGGGCTCCTTGTCCTTGCCCTCCTCGCCCTCCTTGACGACGGCGATCGGGGGCGGCACGTCGACACCTTCGGGCAGGGCAACTTCCTGAAATTCGGAGATTATGGAAGCTAGCAGAGTTTTTTGAGGCAAGGGAGGCTAGCAGAGATTTTTTGCGGAAATTGAGCTTCGAGGCAGGCTAGCAGCGATTCTTTGAAAATCAAAAAAAGTGCGCCGAGGCCTAATTTCAATGCAAAAACCTCTAAAAACCGACCATCACTCCGCCGGGTTTCTTCGACTTGCGCGCCTTCGGTAGCTTGAGGTCGGCCTCGGTCGGCTCTTCAGCCGATTCCTCCGACGAGTCCGAGCAGGTCTTCTCGTGCGTCTCCGTCGCCGATGGGCCACCGTCTTCCTTCTCGGCCATGTTGTTGCGAGTGTAAATATGTTTTGTTCCCTCCCTCTCTTTTTATACCCGGAAAATTGTATGCTAATTTGAAAGTTCCGAATTGTAATTCAAAATTCCCGGATGTTTATGGTAATTTAATGTTATAAACGGTTCACAAGTTTTAATGACAAGGTTTCGAGAGAAGAATTTAGCGAGAATTTGTTTGTATAAGTCTATAAACGCCTAGTAACGTAATAGGAAGCATTTTAATAATGTTTTTACTAAACTAAAACTACATTTCATCTAGAAAAACTATCTACAAGCTTTTAAAAAAACGAAAATTTGGTTAAAAATGCCCATTTTTCGTCGAAAAGCTATATATTGTTGGAATTTCGTAATAAAAATAATAATAAAAATATATACTAACTTTTAATAAACAGTAAAATACAATACAAACACTACAAAACACAATTCCTTCGATTCTCGCGCTTCAAAGCCCCCATTAAAACGTATTATCAGTACAGTACAGTGACAACTGAGGAGTACCATCCATTTTCGGGGTATTCAAAGCACGACCCAATTTGTTTAGACGGCATCGCCCTTTTCAAAGACCGACTCGAGGCCCAAGATTAAAAAGACGTTACCCTCTAAAATGTGGCCCACCCCTCGCCACATCTGGACCATGACCGGTTTGGTACTTTTGCGGTCCGGTCAGCGCTCGGTAAAAATAAACAACTGCCCGACACTTGCGCCGATCCACTAGCATATGCAGATTTTCGAATTAGATATTTTCTCTTTTTCCAGGATATCATTTTTGGAATATAAATAGTGGCAGTGTTTATAAATGGTCTTTTACTAGTCCTAAACGTCAAGCTTACAATTTTTTTATGAAGAAGTAGAAAACATATCGATTTTTCGACTAAAATGGCCCTTTTACCAACAGTTCGACGTTTTGAAAGTTTTAGGTAAATTTTCTAGATAAATATGGTTTTATTTGGCGCTATTTCAGTTTATCGGCCCCACTTATATATGGCCAAAATGACGTTTTTCTGGGTCATTTTTTTTGCGCTGGTTACGAAAAAAGACACCCCAGCTCGTAAAATGCGATTTAGAAAAACAATTTAATTGGAATGTTGGGAAAATTCGATTTTACGGCGGTCGCGTAAAAGGAGTATTTTTGTGGTTTTTTAATTAAATAATGGCCAAAACGGGTTTATCATGAATGAAGTAAGCCAGTAGCATTGTCAGGCAAGGCGGGCCGTCGCTTCGGATGGGCTGCCGCTCCACTCTTTCGAAATAGGGGCGCCTGGCCGCTTCGCGCGCCTCGGGCGCCCCTATTTCGAAACCCCGTACGAGCTCGCGCCCATCCGAAGCGACTAGGCCCCGGGGTGGCACGAAGCCTTATTTTTAGGAAAAAAAGTGGATGCAATCGCTCAGCCTTCTTGGAAAAAACTTTTCCACTGATTTACAGGCCTCCCGCATCAAAACCCCTTTAAAGGGATACGGACGGCATAGTCAATCGGTTACGCGCTGGAAAGAAATTGTCTCTGTGCCTCTCCCCAGGGCGCGCTCTCTGCCCTGTTGGCTACTTGTCAATTTGTTGATGGGGGGGATCGACACATGCCGTCGGCAGCCCTTTAAAAACCGAAAATTAAGTGTTTTCTCCCCTCAAAATTCACGGTTTGGCGTTCTAGATTTTGGTATAAAAGTAAATTTTTTCTCATTAGATTGCATTTTTACGAGATGGGGTGTCTTTTTTCGTAACCAGCGCAAAAAACTGACCCAGAAAACTGTCATTTTGGCGATATATAAGTGGGGCCGGTAAACTGAAATAGCGCCTTTTATTTTACTAAAGACACTACTAATTCGATCAATTCGGATTACAAGACCCATATCGGTAATCCTAAAAAGCGCCCCCTCGCCTGCCGGGTTTAGCCCGCGATGGAGCAGCCAATGGGCCTTTGTTTACCCGTCCCCCCGATCATCCACCCCTCAAAGAAAGGCATGTTTCGATACGCCTTCCTTTTCCGGGCCCTCGAGCAAAAAAACGTTTTTGTTTTCACGTTTTTCCTAGACTTCCTGCAAAATCCCTGCAAAATCGCTTTCTAACCAAGTCAATAGCAACACAAATAAGTGCCAATTATCTGAACTCTTCAAATTGAGCTTAAAATTATTTAGATTTGCAGAAAATAACCTTTTTTTAGAAAAACTATTTGAAAAACGCGCCGGCAGCGCTAAAACGCTTCTGAATTCTATTTTGTGGTTCCGCATAAGGCTACCGTAAACGGGTTCCGCGACTTTCCACCGTACGCCGACTTGTAAGGTAGTGGGAACGTACTAAGATTTCTCGAACTTTCCGAATCGATATTTTCAACAAAATGGTTTTTTTTACAAAATTGATTTTATCGGGGATCAATTGGCGTTTTTTGTTGTCTTTTTATCCTATCCAGCCTTCTTTTCCGCCGTTTATTTTCACAAAATTATTTTCTTTACGATCAATTCATATTTCTCCTACTTTTTTCTTTCATTAGCCATTCACCCTCATTTTTTCTGGTCGTTTATTTTCCGAGCGTCTTGTATCGGGGCGGGGTCATTCGATGGGTCGTCGGCGACTGTCTATGGCCAGCCGCAACCAAAACATTCGCGCTATCCAAACCCTAGCCCCCAGCCTCATCCTCCGGCATATCTTCCTTCAGATCTTATTCAAAATGCTTACCCGATTTCCTGGCGGCGACGCGAAAGCTGATGTTTCTTGGCTCTTTAGCTTTTTCGTTTTGTTTGATACAACCAAAATTCGCGAGGCCTTTTTGCCGTCCTTCTTGTGCCGAGATCGCGCCAATTCTTTAATGCTAATTCTTTTCCTAGTCTTCCATAGGTTCGGAACGCGGCTTTCTTCAGAGTCTTTGTATCTAAAATCGTCCTGTACTTACTATTTGCTTTCAAATTCAGCAACAATTCCAAGCTTTTGAACGGAAACTATGGTACTTTCGTGGGTCTATCTGGCTTCTTTTTTCTTTCCTTCTTTCAATCTGATAAGGCCTTCACGAAATCGCAGAACCTATTGTAATTGTTACGAAACCCGGATACGAAAGGCTGTTCCCCGTTCCGACACGTCTGCCAAGGGTCACGTGCGTTACTTTTCTCGATCTGTTAGTGCTTTTGCGTTTTACAACCCGCGTTTGTTTAATTCCCGGGGTTTGATCAAAGTGACGTTTCAAAATCGATTGACTTTCATAGCTAATGTCGATTTCTGTCTCATCTCGCCGCTCACCTTCCTACTTTCTTCCGCTCTCGATTTTCTTTCGATTTTCAAATTCATTCCATTTCAGCCAGGCCCATCCACAAATCAGTGAACCTGGTCGAAGCCCCATTTGCCATTCTCGAACCCGCGAGCCACAATGGGTCGAAGGGCGGAGATAAAGCGCGCCAATGCCAAGGTACCGTTTCTAGGCTTTTCACTGGTTTTGCTTTTTAGGAAAAGGATCGGGATCACCATCCAAACAACCACCACATCAACCATCACCATCATTCGCGACACGGCGAGCCCGAACCGCACACCGGTTGCCCGATACCCGATCCCGTGGTTTGCAAGGGTACGTTTGAAAACTTGAAAAGAAATTATTGGCTTTCTGGGAAATATTCAGGAGGATGTAGAAAGTTCATAAATTTTTTCTGAAAAGTGGATTTTTGGTGAAAAAGTAGCGCTCATTTGGATTTACTCAAGTTTTTTGTGACGTTTTAGTAAACGCTAGCAATTTTGCTACGTAAGCTCTTTTCCGGTACCGTTAGGAATTCCCCGTCTAATACGCCATAACGAACCTATTGAGACGAGGGACCCGCAAAACTTAGTTTTGTTTTCAGTGCCAGTGCCCGAGGGAGAGGAAGGCAGAAGATTTACATGCACCAACAATGTATGCCCATACTCGAAACAACTGGTCCACGACAAGTGCTTCGACGAATACGAGGATCACCTCGTCAAGGTCCTTTCAAATTCAGGTGCTTTTCCCCCTTTTCTCAACCTTCATTACCTTTTTTTAGGCTCTGCAAGGGGCTGGACGGACAATCAGCGTCGGCAAAATCTTTGGGAAAAGAAGGGCCAGGCGCTTGTAGGAAAAGTCTGCAGGTACTTTCTGCATTTTAGAACCGTGCATTCCCTTGTTTTCAGATGTCGATGCGGGCTCGGACTCGTTTTACGTGACGAGGCCCACGATGTTCTGCGCGAGGTGTGAATTGTTTGCAATCTGAAGTTTTTGTTCTAGAAGCGCGAAAAAGCTGCTCGAGGAACAGCTGAACGCCGTGCAGAAGTGCAAGAAGAAGAAAAAGGAGAACGCTTTACCGCGGCTCAACCATGCCATCAAAGGGCAGACGCTGTTTCCGGAGCCGAAGGAAAGGTGATTGCATTTTTGAATTCTGAGCTGTATGTATTGTGACGGTCTCGATTCTACGTTAAATTTTGTATTTAGGAAACGTCGCGATCGCAACTATTCCGATGCCGAATCGGACTCATCGTACGCCAGCGAATCCTCGCCGGTATTCACAGCCCGATTTATCAAGTACTTTTCTAATTTCAGTACCTCTACACTCGTCGCGAATCGCAAGACGTTCCCGCAACTCCAGCCGCCCCGGAGCCGTCGATATGGGCGACCCCGGTGACACGGGAAAGAAACCGTATGACCTCTTCACATAAAGTATTACTTTTTTAGAGTCTTCTCGGCTTTTCTCCGAATCGTGTTACGAATCTGGGTCGGAAGCTGCTTTTGAGGAGGTATGTGTTTTCGGATTGTTCAGAATAGTTTTTAGGCTTTGCAACGCAAATATGAGCCTGCTCCCCCCGCCGGCCCCGCTCAAGAAGTCATTCGCTGCGGCGGCTTGTCGTCGTGGCGCCAATGGTTAGCCGCATGCGTTAATTCTATCTATGTTTTTGTTTAGGGAAAAAGACGCCTACCTCGCGCACTTCGCCAATATTCCCCAGCCCGCCGCCAAGTCAGCCCAAGACGCGGCCCCCGTCGGCTCCACATTCGCCCAAGTCGCGCCCGGATTCAGCGGTATTTTTTTGTTGAAATCGGGAAAACAATAATGCCTTTCCTCTAAATTCTGAGGAAAAATGCTTTTTTTAGCTGCTGGAGCTCGGATCAGCATCATCGTTTGTTTCATAGCTCGCAAACTAATTTTTCTGGGCAATTATTGCCTTTGATCTTGACTATTTTTCATTTTGCACTAGATTTTTTTCTTTGGGCTACCCCGGCTTGCAGTTTGCGCTATTTTATTTATTTTTCTACCATTTCTACCATACGAATTTTGCTGTTTTAGGCTGCCAGCCGCCGCTTTGTGGCGGCCAGTCTCAACACCCTTGCCGGCGGCATTGACAGGACGGACAACACCAAGGGCCTCAGCCCGTGCTCGACACCAACTCCGACCCCGACGGCGGCTTCGATGCCTCCGGAGCAGTTCACCAAGCTATTGGTAATATTTTGATGAGATTTTTTGTTTCTATCTACGAGTCGTTCTCGGGGCCGGCTGCGGTGCTGTTAGCAAAAAATTCCCATTGTTTTCGCGTGACTCATCTGACTGTCCAGATTAGAAAATGTCGTATTCATCAACAATTGAGCGTTCGGAAAATATCGGTATAACTGAAAACCTAGGATAAAAAAAGGATTATTCTTGTCGGCATTGTATTCGGCTATTTGCTATCTTAAGTTCGAAATTCATAAGGTCCATATTTCATGATATAGAAATTCATAATGTCGAATTTCTCTGATTCCTGGGGTTTGAATTTTCGACATTTTTAAATTAATGTATGTATCATCTAGTCTACTTTAGTTTCCTACTCGTTTTCAGGGCGACAAGCTGGAGCAGTACAGCGCCCAGGTGGCGATGAGCCAATGGGAGCTGACATCTACTCAACAGCCATCGAGCACACTTCCCCCGCTGCCACCTCTTGCTCCGTTGCCGCCGCTGCTACCGCCAACAATCACCCAGGCGCCGCCGCCCAAATCGACCGCACCCGCGCGTTCCGCGGTGCCCAAGTCTCCGGCGAAGAGCTATCGCGTCCAGCTGCACGGCGATCCCGATGAGGTGGATAGTTGGGAAGAGGTTTTTCTATCTTCACCTCGCAAAAATAACTCGCTTTTAGTATGTGCACGAGTGCGAGACGTCCGTCAACAGCAGTGGCATCAACTATGAGACGCCGCTGGTGTCGCCGATGCTGCCGCCACTTGCTGCACCGAAGGTACACTATGAAGCTGGTTTTTTTCGTGGAGAACTGTCCTATTTTTGGAGCACAAAAAACTTTCGAAAAACAGAATTTCGCAAGATTTGCTTTGCTTTTTTCTGGCCTTCTGTGGCCCTCTACTGTAGTTGGACGCAAAATTTTTGAAATTCTGTTCTTAAAAAAAGTTATTGGACAATATCCTCTTTGAAAACACGACTTCTAAAAATTTAATAGAATGTTTTTTACAGGTGACCGGCCCGTTCACGGTGCTGCCGAAAATCGCTACACCGCCGCCACAAAAGGACCAACAACTCGCGGCTTTCCCGATGGCTTCTCTCCAGAAACCCGCGGCGCCGATGATCCAGCTGGACGACTACCGCCCGTTCGGTTGCGGCACGCCGCCCGGTTTCAACTCGTTGCCCAAGAAAACTACCGAGTATGTGCCGAGGGCTGTCAAGCAATCGCCGGTGACGAACGTATTCCCGCCTGGACTAAGCCATCCGCCGGTCGTCTCGCTGTCGATGCCTGAGCCGCCAAAGGACGACATCTACAGCCAGGTTCTAGCCATGCCCTGGCCAACGCCAAGCGGTCCATCACCAGGGATTGAGGTGCGTTTTGTTGGAATTCTGGGTTCTGGCCAGTTAGCGGGGGTGGAAACTCGCTTAATTTTCTTATATAATATCTTACTAACAAATTTTTTTTATAGACGATAGAAAAAGTTCTTTTTTACCGCCCCCCCGCTAAGAGTCCAGAACCGAATTCCGACTTTTTTGTTTCAGTTCCAGCCGATCTTTCCGCCAACGCGCTCCGAGCTGCTCAGCGATTGGCCGAAGTTCCTCCCAGACATTCATCGGTATGTGGAGAAATTTCTGTTTTCAATTTTTCAATTTAGGCCCCACTTCAACTTCTCGGAAACGGCGGCCGACGCACGGAGCCGCATAGATGTGCCGAATCTTTACATGCCGGAGCCGACGGTGGAACCGAGGGCCACCGCGCCACCGCCAATTAAGGTTGGTTTCGAGAGTTTCGATATAATTTTTCGGTTTCGTGGGAATATGGGTATATTTTGAAGTTGATTTCGGGCTTTTTTACTCATAAAATGTCGCGGTTAGTTGCCGGTTCAGCGCTTTTGAAGTGGGGCAAAAAATTATGATAATTTTCGGTGTTTTTTTTGGCGTAGGCTTACTTAGCTTCGATTGGGATTGGTTGTGCTTATCTCGCGTTTCCGCCGACTTAGCTTTGTGACCGCTGAACTTAACAGCCAGCCTCGGCTGGGCTTAGAATCTCCCATAATTTCTAATACCACAGGATGGACCGCCAAAACCCTACCAGAGTGACCTAAAATGATTATCAAAACAGTTGCCGGCCCCTTTCTGCGTGTTCTTAAATTTTTTTGTGGGGTTTTTTGAGGTTTTTATTTGCACACACTAACTTCTTTTTCAGCCACTCGGGAAGCTGCTGACCGCGCAGCCGTATCAGCTGTTCAGCGGCCCGTCGCTGCTCATCGGCGAGACGCTCATGGCCAACCGAAATTTGCCCAACAAATTCTAAGGTGCGTCCGATTTCGCGTCGCTCAAATATTTTGTTCAGGTTCTGCAACGTCGTCAAGGGGTCCAAGGAGTCTTCACAATTCAACAACAACGCTAAATGCGACATCTGCGACGACGTTCGGCCGGCTTCTTGTCGTTCCCCAACCAAAAAACAACCCTATGTAATTCGTCTCCGTGGCCCCCGTTTCTATCCGTCCTCTCCCTCATTTACGATGCAACGACACACAAATAATGCATACATATAAGCACTTGTGGGTACACTCGCGTACACCGGGGTGTTCTTTTCGGAGTGGATGTGTGTGCATGGGTGCGTGTCTTTTCGTTGTTTTACCACCAACACCATCCGCTCCGTTCAGATACCCCGGCTTCTTCTATTCTCTGCATGCTCCGTGTTTTGTTTTGTTTTTTCTGGATTTGTAGTGGCACCCCTCTCCCCCTTTCCCCTGTTCCCTCCGGGTTTCTGATGATCATCGCGTGGGTGTATGTGTGCATTTGCTGGCACTTTTTCTCGGCTTTCACGGTAATGTGTAAGATCCCCCGCGGGCAGTTTTTACAAGATTCCCGTTTCCTTCTTGGGTCTTCCGAAGTGTGATGCTTGGCCGAGGGGCGGAGCGGAGGAGCCGAATTGGCGGACCCCGCCAAACCCCGCGGCCGGCTCGCCTTTACTTGGTCGGTTCCCCGCTTATTTGACTGTAATAAACATGAAAATCTTTGCGTTCAAGATCAATGCCATTGGAAGCAGGTTTCCCAGGTCTATTTATGTTTTTAAATTTGGCGTACAATTAAAGTAAGCACACTTCCATTTTTATTCGTAACGGTTCAAGTAAGAAAAATAGTATGCGCTTGGGGCAATAAAAACAAGGCAGTTAGCGAATCTTGCACGTTTGTATTCTATGGGAATAGAAATACTATTTATTAATTTATTTGGCTGAAAAAACGGTCGAAACGCTCGTAAATTTTTTTCTCTTGTAATCCGGTATTTGATAATTTATTTGGCTCGAACAAAGACGATCGAAACGATCGTGAATTTATTTCTTGTAATACATTATTTCCGAAATATATGTTACTCGAAAAAACACGATAAAATATATCCGAAATATTTATTGCAGATTTGTCACTTCGAGATTCCGGTCATAAATTTCGATATCCGACAATTTGGCCTCGGCGCCGGGCCCCTCATTTTGGTTGAATGGGCGCTGGTTGGGGCCCGGGGGCTGGGCCCTGATTCCACCGAGGGCTATATTTTGGCCCTCCAGCTGAAATCAATCTCCCCCTCCCTGGCCTTCGAGACCGTAACCACGGGATTAGAGGCCCGGCGGCCAGCCGGACACATTTTAGACTACATTTCGCCCCGCCATTCGTCGGATCAGATTTTGGAATGGCGGAGATCTCTGCTGTAACGGAAGATTCATTTTCTGAACTTCAATCGGGTTTTCTTAGGGGAGAATTGGCAGAAACAGATTGTTTCTAAAATACTTGGCATAGAAACGTTGCTTTCGGCACTAGTACTCCGCGCGTTCGTACGTGACTATGTCTGTTCCATTCGAGGTACACATAATATAACGGGGGGGGGCACTCAAAGTTTTCTATAATAAAATTATTTTTTTTTATAACTATTTTAAAATATGGTTTTCTCGGGCGATAGATTTCTCGGGTTTTCGCCCTCTATCAAATGGCATTTTCCAAATATCGAAAATATTCAAAACGCCGAAAATTTGTTCCGCCGCCCGTTATTCTAGGTGCTGGCCATAGTTTTCAACGATAGTTTTTATGCAATAAGACTTTTATATTACGTTTTTCGTGCTGTAAAAAAAATTCTTATTATGGGTTTTGAGGTTCTATCGATTTCGTTTTGAAAATAGCGAAAATCTCAAAAATTTGGCTTTCCCCCGTTATCCTATGTGCTGCTCATGGATTTTGATTGATTTTTCTTTATTCAATAAGAAATTTTCCTTACATTTTTATGAGCTTTTTGGATCGAAAAACTGTGTAAAATGTAAAACATGGCTTTATAGTTTGCCACGAGGTATCTGATTTCCAAAAAAAGAGTTCCATTAAATTGCAACTTTCTGGGCGGTTTAGAAAATGGAATATTGCTTTTCCTCGGCTCCCAAAAAACTGGAAGCCCGGTAATTTCAATTAGTGTCTTGTTCTCCTCATCCACCCGGCTGGCTGGTTGTTGCTGGCTGGCAGGCCAGGGCCCTGGGCCGCCAGTAAAGTGAGAGGAGCGGCTGTCTCGACGCTTTGTAGGCTCCGTTCTCTGCTGCCTCTCCCTGGCACCCACTCTCTCCATCTTTCTCTCTCTCTTCCTTCCTTCCCATGGCCCCCCATCGATCGGCAGCGAGTCCGCGAGGCTCCTCCGCCCCGTCCGCTCTCTCTTTCCCCCTGCCGCAGCTTGTTCCTCCCGCATTGTCTTATTGTTAGTAGCTTTTTTGTGAAATGAAGATTGTTGCATTAAGCCGAGTAAGCGTACCTTAGGTATCAGACCTATGTTAAGCACCATTTAGTGGATAATATGTTTCTTGTCTAACTGTTAGTAGTCTTGGTTCTGTTCTATTTCGCGGGGGGGACAAAACTGTGCGGGGGAAATATGCTTCGCGGAATCTTAGTTTTTCGCTATTTTCTCGGAATTTTTGCAACGCCATTCGATAGAGCATCCAAAAATATACTAAGAGTTTTTGTTTTAGCTAAAAATATTATAATATAAAAAAGTTATAGCAAAAACAAAAAAAACTATTGAAACTGGTTCCGGAATGCTAGTTTTCGGCATTTTCGCCATTTTTTCGATATTTTGAACCTGTCATTCGATAGAGCATCAAAAAATATACTAAGAGTTTTAATTTCATCTAAAAATATTGTTTTATAAAATAGTTATAGCAAAAACAAGGTTTATTCGGTGTTTCCACATGGGATCGTGGAGTCGAAAGTTAGTTTTCGACATTTTCGATAATTTTCAAAAATTTCTTTAATGCCATTCGATAGAACGTCAAAAAATATACTAAGAGTTTCCATTACAACTCAAAATAGCATCATGTAAAAGAGTTATAACAAAACGGAGAAAATTTTCCCCCCGCACAGTTTTCCCCCCGCGAAATAGAACAGAACCGTAGTCTTTTTCATGAAAAGGTTTTTGCTGGGTTGATGATACCATCTTCTCCCTTCATTAGAAGACCTTTTTGCTCCCTTAAACAAATAATTAATACGGCTTATTTCCATTTAGTGGTTTAGTCGAAGGTCATTTTGCGAATTTTGTTTCATTTTTTGGCTATATGGTTAGTATTAATTTTTGCCAATTGGATTCGCTAAAACAATATGACTCGAACATCCTTTTAATATCAGGTTAATAGCTTCCAATGAGTCCTTCAATCCCGAAACATTTTTTCTTTGGGTTTTTTGCCTCTTGTTATAGTTTTTTGATCAATGATTTCAGCCGAATTAGGTATATAGATGGCTGTATCCTTTTAATTGGTAACTATCTTACAACTTTTCAAACAACAAACTGATTTCGCGATCGCTTGTTTTGGTTCTTTCGCATTATCGGGGGGGGGGGACAACTTTTTCGCGCAGAATCAAATTTTTAATATAGATATAGAAAGTGTTTCTAAACAAATTTTTGCTGTTCCTAAACATAAAAACCTGACAAATTTTTACTAAAAAATACAAAAAGTTCATATTTTTCGGCCAAAAAGGCTGATTTGCGATCAAAGTTTCACGTAAAAAATTTTTCCGACTTTTTTTTGAGTGTTTTACTAATTAAATCTAGTTAAATTTTACTCAAATCATCCTTAAAATCCCGCGCATAGAATTCGTAGGTATTGCTGTATTATTCGCGCTGATCCGGTCGGAAAATAGCCACTTTGATAAAACATTTTCTCGCATAAAGGTAAATGAATTTGGTCTGAACTTCCGGCGATTTACCGAAGGTTTCGTTATTTGCAATATTTAACCAAATATTTACTAATGCTAACTACTATCAAATAAACTAGACTGTTGGATAAAACATGTAATTCCCATATTTCCGATTACTTTTCCACGGAAATAATCTCCACAAAATACCGCATTTTCAGAAAGCTTGCCGGAGTTAGACCGAAGTTGCCGATTCTCGCCATTCCAATCCGGAAGTGCTGACTTTCATCTTCTTTTTTTCTAGCCGAAATCCAGGAAATCTTCAAGCAAAATGGTGGGTTTTGAGGATTATTCCTTGCTGATATTGGAAGATCGATATTGCTTCTGAGCCTTGCCCTTGATGAAACATATTATTTAGTATCAAGTATCGGAAATATTTAATTTTTGGGAGCCACGAACATGTTTTTTTGACTGGATTTAAATATTGATTTTTGATCGGATATAGTAGGGCCTCGGAAAATGTTTTAGAATCAGGTTTTCACTAAACTTTTTCGCACTTCAATTTCACGATTAAATTTATGCGTTACACCATTTAGCGCCGTACAGTCAAAAAAATTGGCAATTATTCCGGTGATCTTCAAAAGAATCGCGGGGGCAAACAAGGAAAATAATTAGGTTCCTTGGCGTTATCGGGGGGGGTTATCACTGCTTTACTACCCAAATTTTTCTAATATAAACCAGGGTTGAAAAGCCGCTTCGCGACTTTTCAACCCTGGCCTCGTCTGATCCGATGATATTCTTCATTTTACATATTTGTTCACGACTCCCCATGAAGAAAAATAAAAAACATCCCTTTCTGTTCCTTTATATAGGCTTTCGCCACTTCCGGCGCATGCAAATGTTTCCTAACAAAGAGGCAAGCCCTGATTTTCATAAAAACTTAATTTTAATGTCGAAAATGGCACTTTTGTAAAATCTGCTATGTGTGCAGCCATGTCATGACCATTACGCACCCTTTGGCGTATCAAACATACCCGTAACTTCCTCCCCTATCGAGACACGACTGGAACATAATGACGGAAGTTGCATGCAAAGTGGCACACACACACTCACACACAAACACTATTTTTTTATATATAGTAGGATGGAGTTAACTGTTTCCTTAACTTATAACTTAAAATTTTTTGTTCGATAATCAAAAATCTCGGTTTTTCAATCGGAATTTTGAATTTTTAGAAATTAGCGAGATTTTCAGTCGTTTTCCGCGTTAAATATAGCTAAAGTTGACAAATGACCATTAGAATATTCGCTATTACTTTAATTGTATTTTCGAGGTTGTCTAGAACATCCTAACCCCCCCCCCCACGATAATGCCAAAGAACCGGACTGTTGCTAGGTGCGCTACCCAAAGAAAAAAGTGACGCGAATTCCTAGCCGTTTTATAGCAAGCGGCACATTAAAAAAAGCCGTAAACTGGCCGGTCGGGTAGCAAACAGGCGGCGGATTTCTGAAAATTCAGGGTAGCATTTTTGGCTGCGAGCTGGGCCGGTGTGGAAAATAGATAATTTCTTATCAAATTGGCCACACCCCCTGCCCTTGTCTGAATTGGCTTCCGAAGGAATTATCGATCGATTTTTAGGGCAACGAGAGCAGTCTGCCGATGGAAATGTGCAGCAATTGTGAGTGATTCTTCTTCACGGCTTTCATATTCCGAAAACTTCTAATTTTTGATTCAAATTTTCTAACACTAACAACGGCTTTAATTTGGGTGCCATGCAAAAACCGGAGATTGTAGGTGAGGAAATCCTACCTTATATAATTTTGGCGCGTATGTGTGTGTGTGTGTGTGGATGTCACTTTCGAGGCCCGATTTGAGGGCCTTCCCGTGGATAAAATGCTCTAATTTTCCGTCACCCAGGGGAATCGACCCTCCTGTTTCCGATGGCGTTCTCAGAATTTCGATAAAATACAAGTTTACAAAGTTAAGGCCGGTTTTATTCATTTTTGGGGGTTCCTGAGGGGCTAATTTGCATAATGCGAAAAATACAAATTTCCTCATTCTTGCCAGTTACACTCGCCCGTGTGGTCGGCAGAGGGGAGGGTCCGAAGGACCCGAGTGATCGGAAAGTCAAATTTCTCATGCAAAAACCGCATTCCAGCGCTCAAGGCCCGCGAAGCGGGTTTTGGGCGCTGGTTTCAAAATAAAAAAACAGATGGTAGTGGCACCAATAAATTACCAATAGCAGATTTTTCAGAATGCTATAAATGTTGCAACACACATCTTTTTGTTTCTTGAAATAACATAAGCAATTTAGGCAATCTTATAGTAAAGCCCTTTACAGGGTGTCCCAATAACCCCCCCCCAACTCGACGCAGAAGTAATGGATGGGAATGATAGTTACACCATTCGAAAGCCCTTGAAACGGCCAGTTTGGCCAGCAACTTTCAAAACCATATTTTTATTTAACCCCGCCATTTTACAACGCATTAAGGAACGGCTTCTGCATCTAATTAACGGTCACTTCCGGTCATCTTGTATGGAGAATTTGAGGCAAATTAGCGCGTATGCAACCCTAAAAAGCGGTAAAATTTTACAAATGGCTTGTAAGATGGCTCATTTAAATAAAAACGTGGTTTTGAAGCTTGTTGCAAACTCGCGGTGTCAAGGGCTTTCGAATGGTAGAACTATAATTCCCATCAGATACTTCTGCGTCGAGATGAGAGGGGGGTGTTTTGTTTAGTGGGACATCCTGTATGTTTTCCAAAATTTCCTAACCTTTAAAATGGCTTTAAATTGATCTAATAGGCCATGCAAAAGCCGAAGCTTATAGCTGAGAAAATTTTCGACGCACATAGAAACAACAATTATCAGTGCTAGATTTTTTACCAAAGCTAGAATAGTTGGAACACATCTTTTTGTTCCTTGAAAACGGCGAATTTCAGGCTAAAATCTTTTAATTTTTTATCGAAATTCTAACGCTGAAATTGGCTTTAATTTGATTTAATTGACCATGTAAAAACCGGAGAATGTAGGTGAGAAAATTTTAAAAAAACCCTGATGCGCGAATTATCAGAGCTGGATTTTTCTGAAACACTAGAAAAGTTGAAACACATCAATTGTTTTATAAAAAAGCCTAACGTGAGCAATTTCAATAAAGCCTTTCATATGTTTTGCAAAATTTTTTAACCTTGAAAATCGCTTTAAACTGGTTGAAACTGGTTGAAAAACTTGGAACACCAATTTTTTTTTCTAAAAAGTGAACAATTTATTTAGTTTGTTTAGTAAGTAGTAAGTAGTAGTAAGTAGCTGATTTAGTAGGATTTATTTAGTAAAACCCTTATATTTTTTACCAAAGATTTTCGTATCCGTAAATTGGCTGTAAACGAGTAATTGACCATGCAAAAACCGCAGATTTTAGGTGAGCAATTTTGAAAATAGGATAGCTAGTACCACGAATTTGAAAATCGATTGCATGGCGTGATTCACAGAGCTCGATTTTTCCGGTAGCCCGGAAAAGTTGGAACTCGTTTTTTTCCGGGACCGATGGTACAAATAAATGGAAAGTGGTAAAATGATAAATGCGCATTGCTGAGGGTTTTAACGAGAGAAGGGGGCTCGTCATTGAGAGAAGCCGGATTTGTCACTAGTCGCCAAAATCTCGAACATATTTGTTTGCGAAATTTTTGACTTTTCAAATACCCTTGTACCTGGCAAAAATTGGCCGACTTCAATGGAAATACAAAAAATATAAAAATGATAAACCTATCATAAATTGCTATGTTTTAAACCTACCGCTCAGGACCACGACGAGAAACACATTTTTGTACTGGTTATTCCGGTAAAAACGGTCAAATTCCCTGAATTTTCGCTAGTATACATTTTATCTATTTTTTATTTCTAGTCGATGCCTATGAAATTCGGCGTCTGGCACGCCGATTCAAAAAGCTCGATATCGACGGGTCGGGCTCGTTGTCCGTCGAGGAGTTCATGTCGTTGCCCGAGTTGCAGCAGAACCCGTTAGTACAGGTAAGCCTTAAAGGGGCTCCGAAATCTGGTCCACGGCCCCCTGCGTTGATTCCTGGCAAATTGCCAGATGCCGCCGCAACGCGACCGCGCCACATGACCTTTCGCCCCTGTTTGGACGTGAAAACGCCTCAATTTCAAAATTCTGACGCTATTTCTGGAATCCTCAAAGCATTTTGATCATTCTAGACTTTTAAATTATCAAAATTGATCAGTGAATCACCGAGATCGAGACATTGGGGGTCTTACAAGGCATTACGACATGTAATCGCCGCCCACTCAAAATGTCGTTTTGGCCTCGAAAACATTTCCCTTTTTCTCAAATATTTTACGTTTTTTTTGCGACGAAATCACTTTTCTGGTCCTTCTTGGCAGTAACCCTTTCGTTTTTTGACCAGTAGGTTCAATCCCCGCATGCACGAATTTTGACTTCCGAGCCCCTTTAAGATGCATTTAAATCAATTAAATAAATTTTTATGAAAATTTAATCTTCGAAAAATTCGGAGCTCTAAACTTTAATTGCATTTAATTGTGCAATGAAATTTCGATCTAAATTGGAGTAATTTAAGTTTTTTAGGAGGCAATCATGATTAGCAAGTCGACAAAACAATCATTTTTTAAAAATAGCTAAAACATATTTGCGATCAGAAAAATTTGCACGCATCTTCTTTTGCATTTTTGCTGGAAAAATAGTGATTTTGAATTTCCAATAAAAATTCTTATTTTTTTAGTTTAAAAAAATACAAAAAGGAATAGTAAAAAATGCATAAAAACTGCCTGAATTTTTGGTGGAAAAATTAGATCATAAGGAAAAAAGCGGTACGCCCCCCCCCCCCCGATACTGCAAAACACCTTTAAAGAATAAATCAGAGCTTGCAATCGTCTTCCTGGTGCTTTTAAAGGCTAGCGTTTCCATTTTACGTTGACTATTTACGACACCCACCGATTAGAAATCATCAGAAAAATTTATTTTTCGGGGTGTAGCGTTTTAAAAAACATTTTTTTTTGCAGCGCGTTATCGACATATTTGACGAGGACGGCAACGGAGAGGTCGATTTCCGGGGTAACACACCATTTTTTGAACTTAATGATATCTACTATATATAAATTTCTAATGTCCGTCCGTCCGTGCGACCGGGAATTCAGCCAAATTTTGCATTCAAATTCGAAATGCAAATTGTGGGGGACGGGAGGGCCAGCGCTGAACCCCCGCGTAGCGGGGGGGTCAGCGCTGGTTCTATATAAATTTAGAATTCATCCAGGGCATCTCCCAGTTCAGCGTCAAGGGCGACAAGGGCACCAAATTGAAGTGTAAGCTAGTTTCGCGGCCGAATTCAGCATATAGAAAAATTATATCAAAACTTTTCGATAACCGTATAATATCGCTTTAAAAGGTACCCTTTTATACAATCAAATGTTGAAATTTAGTTTTTTCAGTCGCCTTCCGCATCTACGATATGGACCGGGACGGGTTCATCTCCAATGGTGAACTGTTCCAGGTTGGTGTGGGTGGGAATGAGTTTCAAAAAAATGAAAAGTTACGCGTGAAATTTTAAAAATAATGGGGGTGCTGAAATTGAATTCTGGTCATTGCGCCTAAAATCGATTTCACCTAAAACGAATTTCGCCAAAATTTTTGGCCATTTTCATTTCCTTTTCTGAACTAAAAGTAAAAATGTATGAAAATTTATTTAATTCTTCAACTTTTAAAAACATATTTCTATTTTTAAACATTTCATTTCCTCAAATTCCTAATGCAAATCTTTATGATTCAATAAGTGATCCTTAAAATTTATAAAATTCTTTTTCATAATCAGTGAACGCCTGTAAAAGTGTCAAAAAATGTTGATTTTTTAATCAAAATTGGCGAGTTTTAATAAGTTAAAGGACTACGAAGACTATAATTAGACCAGGATTCCAGGAATGGCGTCAGAATTTCGAAATTCACGCGTTTCCACGTGTAAACGAGGCGAGCGCAAAGAAACTCTGCTCGCCTGCCGTAGTGCAACAACAGGAAATCTATATCTCTCAAAATTTTGAGATATCCTCAAGAATCTCTGCTAGCCTCCCAATTTTGCAGCCCTGCAAAAATAACCACGTTAAATCTTCGGTAAAAAAATAATCACTCATCTAACATGATTTTGAAGAACATATGCAATTCCACTTATTTCCAGGTGCTAAAAATGATGGTGGGCAACAACCTGAAGGATACGCAACTCCAACAAATTGTCGACAAGACGATCCTGTTCCACGATAAGGACGGCGATGGAAAGATCTCATTCCAGGAGTTCTGTGACGTACGTTTTCTTCTGTATAGTATCGCCTAGAAACAATAATATTAAAACCATTTCCAAGTAGGCTTTTACTTTAATAATTACCGAATCTTATTTCAAAACTAAAATTCCTTAAAAGAGTTTATTAAAAAGCGAAAGGGCAAATTAAAATGAATGATTTTTAAGTTGGCCTAATTAACGCTGAAACCTCTTTTACATTAGCAGAAATTCGCACAACTCTGAACTTTTATTAAGCCTCTTTAAAGTATCCAGCACCTTCAATCAAAGTATATAAATTCACCAGCAAGACGTAGATAAATTCTTAAAAACAACATTGTCTAAATCGAGTTTTATCGATTGCAACCGGTTATTCGATTAATTTAGACCTTGTTTGTTATATTTTGGATCGATCAGTCATCAGCAGTCATCATCATCATCAAATGATCGAAATTAGCTTCCCGGTTAAACCATTTTTATGGAACTTCCAAGAACAAATGCATTGTCGAATTTTTCTAGAACTGCGTGGGTTCTATGTTCTGCAACATACTTTTTCAAAAATCACGCGAATTGTTTTGTTTTTAGTAGGTAGCGCCGAAACTGGCTTTAATAATTCGAAACTCGACTTCGCAACTGCCATGATATTCAATTCATCTAGCTAGTCATGTTTTTGAAATGTTTGATTTTAGCGGACTTATATGGGTCTTTTTGCCAGACTGAAAAAGGCAAACACTCCGCAATTCAGACGCCCTATTTCGTGAAAATTAATTGAAACATGAATTTTTCAAAAAATTTCGTGTCTTGTGTGACGGCCCGGGTGCAATTTAGTTCCGAAATTATTTTTTTACCCTGGAACCAGGTGTTTTTCATTATTTCGTAAGATTTCTGCAGAACCCCTGAAATTTGAGAAACACAATTTTTACTCGTTAAACGTTTAAACGTCAACTTTTTAAAGATTTTTAACCCTAACTTGGAAGTCAAGTCCCGTGACGCGCCGTACCCTCTGACATACGTCTAGTGATGTTGTGGTGGCTAAAATATCGTAATCATACTCTGTATTATACGACTCTAACACTGTCGATAGTGTCGATTCGGAATTGTGGAGCTAAACCCTAAAAAATATTTGGTTTTGTCGGGTGCGAAAGTGAAAAATGTTGTGTTTCGACTCAATTTGTTAACCAAAAACTACCATGCTCAATAATGAAATGTCTTTCTCCACAAAATTGGCTTTTGGGAATTCACAAATTCCTGTCAAAAACAAAAATGTCCGTCTCGAGAAAACGGCTATTCTGCACTCCGGACTACCGTACACCTCCTGTTTTTTTCAGGTCGTTGAGCACACCGAAGTGCACAAGAAGATGGTGCTCGAGAATATTTGAGCACGCTCGTCTTCGACAACATGAACAAGCTGTGAAACCCAATTGTGTATATCGTCTCTGTGTTCACTCTCTCTCTCTCTCTCTCTCTCTCTCTCTCTCTCTTCCGCCGTCTATCGCCCATCAATTTATCATGTCCCTAGTCATATACCCAAAAAAATGTTAAAATTTATGTAAAAACACCCTGACCCCACAGCGCCACTTGCCAATGCGCCAATTTTTCTCAAATCGGTAACGCTCCCCGATTATAATGAAAACGGACGTTTTGAATTGCTTGAATTTGGAAACACATTCTCAAATTAAATTGAAAAAAATTTTTTTTTGGTGTTTTCTGAACCCCACAAATGCCTTTTAATTAATAGTTCGGTATTTCTCCTAAAAAAGGCTGAAAATTTGGTGCAAGTCAAATACAATTCAAAAAGTAAAAATTTGCAAAAATATGTTTTGCAAAATTCCCGTTTCGAGACGTCGATTTTCAGTATAATTAATACGAACGACGACTACTTGAAAAACCTTATTCCACCCACCAAAGCGTCCCTTCCCAACCCCCTCTCGACCCTTTCCATTCCAGCTAAATATTGACAGCTGATAGATATCCACTTTAATCACTCGATGTGTAACTTTTGATTTTCGCCGACAGCCCGGGATTTTAGGGAATTTAAACTGAAACGTTTCAAAATTGCAAAAGGTTCCTTCAAATTTTTTAAGTATAATTGGCATCGGTATGTCCTGCTGAAAATAATTTTCGGTGAATCCGGTGATCTTGTAAGTAAAATCAGTTTCAAATATTGCAATCTGTGTTTCGAGCATCGTGAATTAAAAGGTTTGAAATATTTTAAACCCTGGTTAGGAGTTTGCAGTGGTAAGTTAGAAGTCTCACGACGATAGAAAAATGGCGTTTCGAAGATTTTATGGTTCCGAGAATAAACTGAGCATTAATGAGTGGTCCACTAGTTTTTATTAGCTCTAAATAAAAAGTAACTTAATTTGAATAAAATTCACCGTTTTTTAGGGCTTTTTTTCCAGGCGGCGTCAAACATGCGGTGTTATTGACAATGCCATTTTAAAAGCGTTAATTACGAAATTTTACAAACCCTGTATAACTCGAGAAGTAACCCGTCCAGCAATTCCTGAAAATCTTCCCAATTTCTCGAGCTGTCCGCGCGAAAAATCGATATTTCAGAAAACCACCAAATACCAGCTCTTTTTCCCTTATCCACTTTAGCATTGTCGTTTGAGAAACATCTTTTTGAATTTTTCGGATTCTAATTTGGCCCTCCATTTCGCCGCGTCCCCGTGTGATTCTCTCCCCGCCCCCCGTGTTTTGCGTCTCCCCATCATATTTCTTGTCGTCCCGAAATCGCGTTTGCACAAATATATCTATTTTAACGATTTTTATGTATGTGGCTGATAAATGGCTAAACGCATGCAAATTTGTATAATACAGCTGCATCCCGAAATACGGCCATACAAATTTTTCAATTTGTATTTTTTGCCGATAAATGTTTCAAAAAGCCATAAAACTCAAGGTGGTATTTTGGAATTAATTCATTGTCGGAAGAAATGTAAGATAATAAAAAATAATATTACGAAAATTTCGATGCGGAAAAGGCAGACTAGCAAAGAGATTTTAGGAAATGCTTGATGATCTGGTGCAACCAAGCAGACGTTATTTAGGAATGTACTATCGCAAGGTTTAAATTGTACAAAAATTTCGTTCTAAAGTTAATAGAAAAGAGGCACTGAACTTTTAGCGGGGGGGGGGGGGACAGGGGTTTAGTTTTTTCCTACCTTGTAGCTTTTATAAAAACAGTCTTTTATAATACATTTAGTAACTTTTTCTGGCTATGGAGTTATAAAAATATCTTAAAGGTTTTGAATTTTTTTAAAAACAAAGCAATTGGGCAAAAAAATGTCGAAAATTTTTATTTGCTTTTTAGATCTAGAAAAGAAAGGAAAAAATGCTTTGAAAACGTTTTAATTGTCCACATATATGGCCGTAAAAATCCCCCCCCCCGCCAATACCAGACCAGTACCCAATTAAATACTTTGCAAGTAAAATCATTACTCGATTTCCACGACAAGCCAAAAGCATGTTTCTTCAAATTTTAGTTATTGCGGCGCCTAACTAAATTTAATTCCGAGAGCTTTCGAGTCTAAACTATTAAAAATGGCTTTTTCAGGTGGTCGGCACGCTGGATGTGCACGAGAAGATGGTGGTGAAGCCCTGAAAATTGTTATAAAATTTTATTTTTTGATTTTTCTGGTTGAGTTTATGGTTTATCTCCCTTCAAAAGCCAATGCAATTTCCCTGCCCCCAAAACATATCAAGCCTATTTTCTCTGCCCAAAAATGTGTTTTCCTTAAATACCTATAATCCCAAGAACGATTTCTTTGGAGTGAATTATTTTTCAATTTTAATAAATATTCATACCGATAAAACAATTTAAATCCTAGAATCCCGCAACACACAATGCTTCGCGAACCCAATCGTGTACTGGCTCTAAAGATGAAACACCAATTTAGCGCATAGTAGCTTCTGGATTATCTTAACTCGGAAATCGCATTTTAATGTGGAATTACAGGAAACTATTTTTGCGTGGGACTTGGCGAAAAATAGCAAAAATAGCCTATTTCACACCCCGTAATTGGCCGTCTAGTACCCGTAACACGCTAATAGAGTATACCATTGGAACTAGAATAAAATTCTCAACCAGATGGACTACCTATAATAAGCTGGAACATCAAAATCAAAAATCAGAGCACATAAGCAAATGCAGTCTCCTGGGCATAAAAATGTTCTTAAAATAGCTATAACTTTTTAAATCAGGTTAATTAGCAAAAATCGAAAACACATTGCGAATCAACTCGCAACGGCGATGTCACTAAAAAGTGTTCTTGCACGCATTTACCACCGGTGTATTAATCTGCCCTTGGAACACCTTAGCCTACCGTAATTTGAAACACTTTGTCTTAAACGGTCAAAACCTCTATCACGTAGGTAATTTTTACACCCGGTTAATCGCAAATAGCGCTGAACCATGTTTAGTGATGCGCGAAAGGCGTCCGGTCCCGAAAGGCGTCCCGTCCGGCCCCGAAAAGTCACTACCCCGAAAGTCACTACCCCGAAAAGTCACTACCCCGAAAAGTCACTACCCCGAAAAGTCACTACCCCGAAAAGTCACTACCCCGAAAAGTCATTACCCCGAAAAGTCACTACCCCGAAATCGTTTACCCCGAAAAATGATAGCATTGTTTTTCCCGGAAAAATCCAGTTTTCATGCGTTTTACCTATGAAAATCATGCAAATTATTTCGGGGTAATGACTTTTCGGGGTAGTGACTTTTCGGGGTAATGACTTTTCGGGGTAGTGACTTTTCGGGGTAGTGACTTTTCGGGGTAGTGACTTTCGGGGTAGTGACTGTACCCCTGCGCGAAACATGCACACGTGTCCTTGGTCATTTAAAACATGGAAAATGGAAACTGCGGTTCGAAGGTTAATGCGTTTAAATTTTATTTCTAATTCTTCGAAACTCTTCTAATTTAAATTCCAGGAAAATATCTTAATTTTTGCGCTGTCACTTGGCGCGGAAGAGAGAAAGTGAGAGAGCTAGAGAGAGAGAGCGAGAGAGAGAAAGAGAGACTGAGAGAGTGAGAGAGCGAGAAAGAGAGCTAGAGAGAGAGAGAGAGCGAGAAAGAGAGCTAGAGAGAGAGAGAGCGAGAGACTAAGAGAGAGCGAGAGAGAGAGAGCGAAAGAGAGCTAGAGAGTGAGATAGAGAGAGAGCGAGAGAGAGAGAGAGAGAGAGAGAGAGAGAGAGAGAGAGAAAGGGATAAGTAGAGAGATATCCTGGCAAATAGGATTTTTTTTACCTGCGGTCGCCCCGTTTTGACAACGGGCCGGCTATCCATTGTGTTTTTTTATAGAACTCACCGAATTTCTCTCAATTCTCGCTTCCCCCTCTCCCAATCAACTCGGCCATCCCGGGGCTGTCAACTCGGTCACCACGATGCTCCAATCACATGCTGAAACTCATTTTTTCCGATGAAAATCTTATTTTTAGAAACATTTAATGAAATAAATTTGAGGAATTAAAATTTATCCTAATAACGATTTTTACAAATTGACATATCGACGCGACTTTATCGTGTTATTAATGCTTCCACGATCAGAAACCATAAATTTTTTCAGGGGCGTGTTTGGGTTTTTAGGTTGTTCTGTGATTCTTATTGTGTTCTTATTGTGTGGTGAAGTTCATAATTTTCTGCCATTTTGATGTTTCAAAAAAAAAGTTATCAGCATTGGTTTTTCTTTGTGCTAGTAATCTGTATCAATTTTCAGACTAAATGGCTCTGACCACCATCTAAAAAAAGTATTTTAAGACATGTGGAATATGGATCGACAACCTCTCATCTTCACCCCGCTCAAATCGCCGGCAAAATTGGTCGAGATTTCGGGGAAAACGTGAGGAATATTATGGCTTCTCTTGGGATTTTGACCAGGGTTGTTCAGGGACGGACGGACGGTCCCCGTCCCCGATGCAAATTACGGGGATAAAGCAATAGCGCTCAAATCACGCATCGGCTGGGTTTATAATTTCGCAGAGCAAGGTACAAAACGTAGGTAGAAAGTCCTATTAGTTCCTGGATGGCGTGATTACGATGAAGTGCTTATAACCGAGCATGTAGAGTAAGTAATATTAATAAACCAATTGCTTTCTAACTTTAATATCTCGAATTTTTAGGCTCCTTAGCAAATTCCAAAAAATGGTGATTATCTGCAGCGCAGACGCCATCTATAGACCTATAGGTATAACTTCCAGCTTGGCCTGAGCTGCATGTATTTTTGACTCCCCTAAAGAAACGAGAAGGAGACCCGAAATAATTACTGGTAGGAAAACCATTTGCATTTCCGCAATTGCATCGGGGACGGGGTGACGCTGACCGTCCCCCTGTCCCCCGTCTGTCCGTCCGTCCCTTCCCGGACGCGTCCCCCTCCGTCCCCAAATTTTATGCCAATTAGGGTGACGGTCCCGCGTCGACGCAAAATGAACAACCCTGATTTTGACGCAACGCGACCCATTACGCGATGAAATGTCCATAGGCTATGTACGTCGCCCGTCTAGAAAACCGCAAAAGCTATAACGTGTTCTTTTCGCACCTAAAATTGGATCCGTATCTTCCTTCCCGTATTAAGAGTTTTCGAATAACGCAGACGTGGAAAAAGGCTGAAACAAAAATTTTTGTTTTTCTTTATTCTTCCTTTTCATGGTTTCCACATTTTAAAAACATGAAAATGAAAAGTAACAAAGTTGAAGCATGCCTTAAAAAGATTATCTAATTTTTGTAAGTAATGTCTTAAAAATTATCTGTCAAATAGGAGCTCTTATTGCGAGCTTCGTGAACCGTGAAACGTGTCGAATCACAATCGCTTAAATTTTTATGGAAAAAAAGGCATTTTTCGTCATTCTACCTTTTCATCGCTTCCACATTTTTAAGAATTAAAACATTAAAAGCTTGGGCATCGCTAAGAAAGAAAAACGCCTTAAAAAATTATACTTTTTGTGAAAATGTTTCAGAAAATTAAGCTTTTCTTTTTGCATTGCGACCCTTAATTAACGCAAATGAAGCATCAGTTAGATTATAAAAACTAAAAAATTAATTTAGGATTCAAATATTCGTCCTATTTGTCCCGATTGGTTGTCGGATGGATTGGCGATTAGGGCAATCGCTAAATTTCGAATAAGAAAAACATGGGAGATCGAAAAACCAAAAACAACTGAAAGTAATAGGCTTATTTTTCGTTATTCTACGTTTTATCGCTTCCACCGTTTTACGGCATGAAAATTAGAAGCTGTAAATCTTAAACATCGATGGGAAAGAAACGGTCGTAAAACTATATATTTTAAAAAAATGGTTCAAAAACATTATGCATGACTTTAGTCCTTCAAGGCTTTAATGTGCACTGGGATTTCGGATTAAAATTTTGAAAAGCTAAAATCTGATTTAGTCTCAAAAGATTCACTCTATTTCTTCCGGTCGGGGCCCTCATCGCTATATTCCTGGTCGCCGTGGTATTTATGCGAGACGCGGTGGTTGGATACGAATGGGGTTGTAGGGTGAGTCTTTTAAAGGGATCATGACATCCCCCTCCCATGCAAAATCAATAATTTTATAGTGTTTTAGTAGTGATTTCCAAAATTAAAAATTTTTTAATGTGCGTTTTCTTATTCAAAATTGTTAATAATTTGGCATAAGGACGTCGACGTCAATTTTGATTATTAAAGGGCACGTTCAGGGAAGTTTTTTGGAAAAAAGCAAAGATTTTTGCCGCGGCCGGGGGTCGAACCCGGGCCGCCCGCTCGGGAGGCGCGGATGGATATCAGTCAGCCACACCTACAACCTGGCGAGGGGGGGAGGGGCGCCCCACGGCGCAAAGGAGGGGAATGGCCTGTCCCAGCACGGGCAGGCAGTGCGCGCGGTCGCTACGTCCATAGGGTGTACACGTTGGGACGAGTACACGGCCCCTTCCTGAACGTGCGCTTTAAGTTATAAAAAAAATAGACACACTATTTGGATTTTTTTGGATCTATAATTGGACACAGCATTCTTAAATTAAGCTATTCACATATTGTTTTGAAAATCACAACAGATTTTTTGGTTTTCCACTCATTTTAACTGGATTTAGCTCGTCTACCTCCCGGCAATCTCTCGGCTTCTTAACCTACGAGCCACGAGGATTATTTTTGAATTTATTATGGGCCCATTCTTCCTCCTCAGCCCGGGGGTCGTGCTCCTCAATTGTGAGTTGTAGCTAATTTTCGGAAAAAGTGTTTCGCAACATTGCCATCTAGCGCGTGAAGAAGCCAATTTAATGCAGGCTGGACTGATCCTTTTCCCTAAATTATAAATGCCCGGAGCGCGTTGAATAATTATTTAGATATTTAGTCATTTATATAGTGTTTTTTATACGTTAAAAATACATTAATGGCAGGTTCGTCTTTGTTCTTGTTGTAATTTATCCTCGTTCGCTCAAACTTTTATCCATACCTGATTAAAAGTTCATATGCATACTGATTGTAGGGAAAATCATTAAATGTAAAAAGTTTTTATAATTCACACTTAAGGCGGGTTTGTCGCGCTGGCAAGAAAAAAGTTTCGAAAATTTCAAATTAACCAATCCTGAGATTTTAAGTAATTGTCACCTTCTTACTATCTTGCAATAAAAGTTTTCGTGACCTTCAGGTGCAAATTTTATCAAGTTTTACAAATTAAATTTTTACTTTAAAGGGCATTTGTAGCTACTTCAATAAATACCATAATTTCAGATAAACAACTGAGGAATCCAAGAGATAACCACATACGAATTACTACCCTTTGTGTGATGGTCACCTCCGGCATTCTGCAAAACATCTTTTTGCTAGCCCTGACATTCGTCGGGGAGCGTGAGGATGGAAGTGAGTTTTTAAATAAATATTGTTATGGTTCTTTAAGTCAGTAAACCTAAAGTTGGGTCAGCTATACAAGGTGTCCCAGAAAAATTCCCCCTAGCCGGCCGCAGACCTGTCCGATTTTAACGATTTAGTTATCTATGGACAGCTCTCGGAACGGCGAGTCCAGCACGGCTCTTCGATTTTCATAATTTTGACATTTTTCCATCAGCTACTAATGTTTTTGCAAAACGGACGGATTTTCTGGTGTTGTTCTGACCAGGGGGTTTTTTACAAAGATCGCAATTTAAGAATTTTTACGTCTTTCCTGGCAACCCAACGACAGCTTTTCGAAAGCGTTTGCCAAAACACAGCTTGGACAGCGCTTAACCGGTTAAATTGCGTTTTGAACAAAAAAGGCTGTGCTTTTGGCTTGAAAAATGCGGAAAATCGAGCAAAAATTCCGACATTTCGAAAATCGGCAAGACGTGCTGGACTCGCCTTTCCCAGAGCTTTCGATAGATACCTAAATCGTAAAAATCGGACACATCTGCGGCCGGCTAGGGGGGGGGTTTTTGGAACACCCTGTATTCTGTATTGAAAGCCAACCTTAAAAAATAATGTTTCGAAGTTATTGCTTTACTGAGTAGTACACCAGCGTCCTAATTCGCCCTTTTAACGCTCGGTTTCGTCCTATTACTTACTGAAGTTCTAACAACTGGGAGGTTCTTGATTTTCTTTATTCTCTATCAATTTTTAATGATCATTTAATTATCATACTTATATTTCCAGACCTGCACACGATATTCTTCTGCATTTTCATCGTGTCGACCTACCTCTATTTTCTGAGTCAAACGGTGCTGCTGAAAAGTAGTGATTACGCGCGGAAAAACATCGAAAAAGTGAGTTTCATTAAATCTGTGGTCGATATGAATGATCGGAACTACAATTTTTTTTAAATGCAGGTTATGTTAAGTTTTTGAGGTTGCCAATTTTAGATATTCTCTTTTTAGTTTTGTGCCTGCCAATCTACCATTTGGATGTAAGGCCAGCGACAGATCGAGGAATACCTCAGAAATTAATTTTATTTGTGCAAAACGTTGGTATTGTGCTTCTCAAAACGGACCTGGATCTATTTTAATAAAATTTCCACTTAAATGTTTCTGGATAACTTTTTATCAAATTTGCAATTCATAAAAAATGTTTCGTTCCAAGACAAGAGTAGGAATTTTACGCCGCTTTAATTCTTAGGTCGAATTCCGTTTTCGTTCCCGGATGCCAATTTGAAAATTAGGGTTTTTTGTCTTACTGTATTGGGCTTAAATGGGGCACCATTTTCACTGGATTAAATTGGGTTTTAAATGTTCCTTTTCAAAGCCGCCGGTATTTAAAGTTTAGAAAATGTTTCATAACATAGGCGGGTGACAAGTTTCCTAGCATGCTTAATGAGAGGTGTTTTTTCTGATCCTTGAAATTTTCAGGCTCAACAAAATCTCCGGTGGAAGCGACGCCTTCTGGCCGTACTCTCAATTCTGCTGCCCTTCGTCTTCTCCCTGTTCTTTGCCCATTTCCTGCATTGCGTACCTTACAGTAAGTTACCGTAGTCAAACGTACTAGTAGATTCTGTCGATTAAAATATCGACCAATTCAAAGTTAACAAAAAACCATCATAATTGCTTTGTTAGAGTTAGTGATAAATCGACAAATTTTGCAAGCAAGCAAAGTATTTTTTCGCAACACATTTTTTATTTTGATTATTTCTGTTTGAATGGGACGAACAAGGCAAAGCTATGGGGTTTTTGGGACTGGTTTCGTTGGTTTTTTCTACATGTAAATTTTGCTTTGTATAATGGATTATGGTACCTTCTTGGCGCCAGCGCTACGTGCGCGTTGCGTGTCGCGGGCGCGGCTAAATCCATAAGCTTACCTTGCCCAGACCTTTAATAAGTTTTTTCTTCATTTCCTTCGCAAGCCTTTTAGGAAAGAAGACATTTAAAGTCGAAACGAAATTACGTTTTTAATTAGCACAGTTTCGAGCGATTTTTTTAAAATTCAAAGTTCAATGATAACTATGGACGGTATGTAAACGTTTAATTTTATTAAATTATTCAACACCTAATCTTTTAATTTTATTAAACGAGGGTATGTCCTTAGGCGTCGATCTAAAATTACGGGCTGAAGTATTTGAACAAACATGCGCTTCGAATCGCAGAGATTTTGTTGATGCTCATGACCCCCTCTTTTGAAACATATTTTATTTTTTAAATCTTTTGAGGTTACGAGCTGTTCTGCCTCTCCGAATACGCGACCGTCGCCACAATATTTGCATTCCACGTGACCACAGTGGATTTGTTGCAATTTGACGTGCTGCTGGTCCACAGAAACTATAAACCGCATCGGGTTAAGATGTAAAATAATTATGTTTCAATAAATCGACGCTTTTCTCTCTTTGGAATTATGTCAATTGGAAGCACATTCGCTTTTCTATTCCGAATGTTTTTGAAAACTGGGATGGCTGATTTTCCACTGAATTTGCATCTCGTTCAGTTGAAGCTAAGGAAATCTGCCTCTGTCGTTCTCTGTCTCTCTTTGTCTCTCTCACTCCCTAACTGCCTCCCCCTCTCCCTCTCCCTCCCTCTCTCTTTCTTCCTCTCTCCTCTCTCTCTCTCTCCCTCTCTCTCCCCCTCTCCCTCCATCTCTCTCTCACTCTCTCTTACTATCTCTCTCTTTCTCTGTATCTTTTTCTCGATCTCTCTCTGTCTCTGTGTCTCTCTCGCTTTCTCTCTCTCCCTCGCTCTCTCTTTTCTACAGTATCGTTTAGACAGAAAAAATGTTTCAATCAGGTGATACTTCCTAGCAGTATCGCAAAATATAATAAATTGACGTTGTATCAGAAATTTAAATTACTATCGAGATTTTGCTAGTACTTTCTGAAACTCTTAAGTATCTGACTCGCTAGGAAATATCTTTTAATTGGAATTCTTTATGTACATTTGTCAAAATCAAAGAGTATCGTAATTCTTTTGGCATCATGCCAGGCTTTTCGTGGCTCCAAGCTTCACCCTCCCACAGATGCTGCTGCCTTTTCGGCGTTTCGAGTCTGAAAGCGTAATTCTAATTAAAGTTGGAAAAAATTAAATCGCGTCGATAATGGTTGGGGCCGGGGTTTTTCGGTGGTTTTTTGGGGTAAAATCAACGTGTTTCACAGAAAATCGTTACGCCTACGAATTTAAAATCCTGATTCATCGCGGCGTTCACAGTAGTGCTCACTGATTCGCAAAATAACGCCGGATGTTTTCGGTTTAATTAGTTTTAGGTTTTTTAAAGTTTAATAGGTTTTTTTGAAGTTTTCGAAAAATCTCGTTATGGCCTACCTCGCTTTTCGGAGACTTTAGACGCAGCCGGTGAGGTTCGTTGGCGTATTGACATCTGAATTAAAATAAATCTTCATAATTTTCAATAATCTATGCTAGCTAATTTAAAATAAGAAGTTTGATTTTGCATTATTGAACGGGGTTTCCGGAACAAATCTTAGGACAAGTTCCCGAAGCTTTTCTCTGCTAATTTGCCCCCATAATCTGTATTGCCAGTTAATACAAAAACTCATACCTTTCGTGGCCGTGCTATCAAAATTCCAATCTCCATAATTTGGATGACAGCATTGGTGAACATTGCTCTAAATAACTTCAATACGTTTAATCGTTAAAAATACCAGCAAATAATACACAATTGGAAAAAACCACGTTTCAGAAATGAACGATTCACGGCATTAATATTTCTTAGCAATGGGTTTTCGATAGTTGGTAGATGGACACCATCCCGAAAGACACCATCCCGAAAAATTTGCATGCGAAAAGTCAGCTCTACTATAAAAAAGGAGCTATTTTTCTATGCTAATGAAGTTTTCGCATGCAAATTTTTCGGGAGGGTGTCTTTTCGGGATGGTGTCCATAATTCCGATAGTTATTACTCGACTATAAATTTTAATTTTTCATAAAAACGTTGTTTTCATAAAAGTAGTAAAATGAATTATGCAGACGATTTTGCTTGACTTATGCTAAATTTATATTTTGTAACGGTTCATCCGAAATCTTAAGGGACTGAAATAAGACTCCGTTTTTCACGAAGTTTTGCGGAAGCTATGAAAAAATGTTTCAAAAAATTTGATACCGTTAAGCGGGCACCCGCGGCTAATGCATTGTAGAGATTTCGGTAGGTTTTCAGAATTGTTTTGTTGGGGCCAGAAATGTCTAGTAGGTACTATATGCCTGGATAATGCCTATTATAGTGTTTGTACTCAACCTTGTTAGTCAAATTTAACAATATATCACGCGTAAAACTCTAAAAAGCTTCAAAAATGTTAACTTTTAAATTATTTTTATTTCTGGGTTTTTAATAAAAATGTGCAAAGTTTTGACGATTAGTAATAGTAAAACTAGTGTGGAAAAATTTTCTATATTTAGATTAGAAATATTGGTTTAACTTTCCACCGGTTTGCTATCATTTTGTCATCGAAAACTATTTTATCGAAATAAATTTTGTCGAAATTTCGTTTTGTCGAAATTCGAATTTACGAAACTTTTGAGAACATTAATCGAGGCAACAATAAGCATTTCGTCGGCGAGCGTCGAAATGACAGAATGCATTTCGACACAATGAACTTCGACAAATTGAAATTTCGACAAAATGAATTTTCGACAAATTGACTTTTCGGCAAAATGTAAATAGGCTTTTCCAATGTTTCTAGCACAAAAGACCCTAAAAATTCTTTGCATTGAATGTCGGTGTATTCAAATTTCGGTGTAACCGATTGATTCAAAAAAATTTTTGGAAAAGCGTTCGTAATTAAAAAATGTTTCGAAATTCGTTCGGGGTGAAGTAGCCCTGCAAGCCCTTTATATTTGCTACCCGCCCGTTCCGATGCTCCCGTGATTCAGGGCGGGTCAAATTTTTCGGGAGCACCGTTTCGAAAAAAGCTTCCGATTTATGCAAATTACGGGGGCGCGTCACGGGACCGCGACCAATTGTTGACCGATCGGAAGTATGCTCAAAACGACGGGGAATCAAATTTTTAGGGCTAGAAGCCATTAGCGAAGGTTGTTTAGCAATTATGGGCAAGCTAGCAGAGATTTTTTAGGAAATAGGACATGCAAGCAGAGATCTTTTAGGGATTAGGGCATGCTAGCTGGTATTTTTAAGCATTGGGGCATTCTGGCAGGGTTTTTAGGAATTAGAGGCATGCTAGCAGAGGTTTTTGAGGAATTAGGGAGGGCTAGCGCAGACTCTTGGGAATTAACGCATACTAACAGCAATACCAGGCATACCACAGAACAGACCACAGAACCTGGAAATTTTGGTAGTTAATTAGAACGATGAGCATGATCAACAGCCTCAAATTCATTTAAAAAATACGTCGCTAAAACTTTTTTAACTAAAAAAAATCAGTCATTTTGTTGTAATTTTACATCATAAAGCGGTTAGCTCGGATTGTTGAAGGGAGATCGATCCTATCATTCTTTTTATTTCTTATTTAAATGGTCCAGTTATGAAATCGTAAATTTATCCTTGATAGTTTACAGATGCCCTCCGAACACTGTTGAGATTGGCTTCATGAAGGACCAGTGCATCCGGGACTTTGGTAAAACATACAAATCTTCCGGAAAATTCATGATTAGAATGAGGTCGTGTGGCAAGCTAGCAGAAGTCCTTGAGGAATTCTGACATCTTATTAATAACACATTATTATAGATTTTTCAGAGAAATCTTTTCAAACTTCATGACTTTCAGCAGGCTACATTGCCAGCATATACTGCTCTTTGTGTACCTCGTTGTATAAAACAATGAATTTATAAAATCGACAAATGTAATGGGATGTTTTTTAAAATAATTAAACAGTCTGAAAAACCATGTAAAGTATCAAAAGTCCAACGTATTAAAATACCGTACAAAAAGGCAATTTAGATGCCATGAATTTTTCAAAGGCTTTTTTAAACGTCACAAGGTTCCGCAGATCCACCAGATTGCGACATGCATATCCGCTTGGACTACCTAATTTTATCAAACACGTAATATTTTGCAGATTGGAAAATAAACATGATTTTGCAAAATATAATGAATTATTCTGTTAAAACCGTGTGAAACAGTATAAGTGTGGCATATTACGGTGTTGTATACCAGAAAAACGCCACCTCAATGACATGAATCTTTAAATACAACTCTAGCTTTTTTCACAACGCTAGGATTGGCATCCAGATCTATCATATTGCCACTCGAATCGGCGCTCGGATTACCGAGTTTTATAAAACACCTAATTTTGCGAATCGGACTTTTGAAAACTCGGTGTAAACTAACTAATCGATGTTTCAGCTTTAAATAACGCTGTTTGAAAAATGTAGATCTCAATTCGGCCTCCGGCTAAGTTTGTCAGTCTTACAGGCCTCTAAAAATGCAAAAAATTGGAAAACTATAAAAGTAAAAAAGTTGTTTTCACACGATTATTTTCCCTACCGTACCATCTCGATACGGTAGGTACCGGTCTTGTACTAGCGTCTTCATGTTTACGCGGGTACCAGGTGCAAAACAGGAGCTTGGGTATACCCCCGGACTGGAAAAACTGACAAAAACTAGTGTATACCTTGGCTCCCTTACAATAGAAAATTTCCATAGCGGCAACTAGACAGAGGAAGGCGTAAGCTGGATCGTAGCGTCCTGCCCAAAGAAAGAACAATACGTACCCGATAAAACAAAAGGGGGAAAACGACGAGGTGCGTAAAAAAACAGTCCCAACTCCGGTATACTTTTCTTCTTCAGGTTCTCCCAGACTTTTTTAAATATTAAAACTTTTTAAACTTTTTAAGCTTTTTTTGCCTCAGAAACTATTTTCGAAATAAAACATACAATTTGAATAATAGCTAAACCGAATTTCGGGGGGATAATGCAGCACTGTTATATATAATGCGAAATAGCCATCGGTTTATACCTCCAGCCCTAATTCAATACAAAGGCTACGATACTGAAAGCATCGAAATATTCTTGAGTAAAAAAAATGTTTCCACCATGTATTGCGTCGGCGTAAACGGCTTCGTGGCAATACATTCTTTTTCTCTTTCTTAGGACTTTTTCCATGTTTCACTTTTTTATCAAAAAAAAAACATTAGATCATTAAGAGGTAGCATAGTCGGAAAAAATTAGTTCCTTTTTTAAGAGCGAAGAATTTTTTTTAAAGTCCTTTTCAGCCATTCGTTCATTTAAAACGTTTCCGCGCGGATTTCGTGGATTTCCGATTCGTGGATTCGTCGGTAGCGTGATCAATTTTTTATATTTTAGTCCCTCTTAAACTATACAATTTACTCAAAAAAACGTTCAAATCTGATTCAAAATCTGTGTCGCGAGTTTTACACCCCCAGGTTGGGATGGCGCCAAGTCTGTGTTTATTCAATCGGCCCGGTGGTAGGGATGTTCCCACTATTCTGCGCCTCTCCCCTACCGTACTCCCTCCCCTGCCCTACCCCCTCGGGTAAATTCCCGCACACTCCACTCAACCCCCTCCGGCGAACACATTCGCGCCCGGATGCGATTTCAAGCCCTGGGGGGATGGCTGCTACATTCCTGCAAAGTGGGCGGGGCCTAGCTTTTGGAGGTCGTGCAAAATCCGTAACATTTCATGGCGTTTTGAGGCAAAAATAATTTTCTGAACTTTTATATATGTTTCACTGAATGAAATAACAGACCTGGTTAAAAGCTTCATAATACGTCGCCAATCCGTAGAAAAGAGAAACCAATAGTGCCTGCTCTTTTGCAAAGAACCGAACGAGGTTAAAAGCTCGCGCTCAACCTGGCCTAGCGCCATCCTGAAGTATCGGTGCTGAGCTGTTAGCAGGGGCTGGGGTGTAGCGGCAGAGCCTAATTTTTCGAACGAAAGATAACTTCCTGTCTATATAATTTTACACATTTTTTGTATATAAAAAGCTCATAAAAATTATTAATATTTCGTCTTGTTGATCAAAAATTTACACAAAAACCGGCCAAAAAAACTCTAAATTTTCGATTTGCAAAAATTATTGATCCTTTTTCTTTTCTAGCGCGAAAAACGACGATTCAGTCACTATAGAAATACGCGGTATGTGATATCAGCAGGCGGAAAAGCAAAAAATACCCCCCGCCCCCAACCCCTAACAGTCCAGTACCAAATGTTGTAGGGCCAAGTCGACTCACCACGCTGACATTATGACCTAACCATAAAAATGTTCCAACCAGCATCACTTTTGAACTGACAAGGAGTGCTTTTTTTGAGTCATCGGCAAAACCTTACGAGACTTAGCTCATTCGATAGAGAATTCGATTCTGAACAATACCCCGTTGTTCTTTTTTGCAGAATGGCTCTCCCTGATTTTATAAAATTTTAAAACTGCACTCAAAAGCCTCTCTTTTGGCTCGAAAGGCACTCATGGTAAGAGACGGTCACTAGTATTTTAATTTTATAAAATCAGGGATAGCCATTCTACAAAAAAGAACAACGGGGTTTTGTTCAGAATCGAATTCTCTATCGAATGAGCTAGGTCTCGTAATGTTTTGCAGATGACTCAAAAAAAGCACTCCTTGTGAGATAATGATCGTCAATATGCTATGGGGCCGTGTCAGTATTAGTGGTACTCTACGAATGAAAGCGACAACTCGGGGCGATGGCAATGGTCTCGAAAAACGTCCGTTAATGGGCCCTACATCATTTCGGTCCGAAAATTGAGGCCATGACTTGAAAGCCTGAATTTTGGTGTTCCAAAAATAAGGCTCAACGAAGGAGACCTGCAAACTGGACACCACACTTGCTCGATAATAAGCAAATTTACTGAAACATATTGAACTTCGAAAATTTTGATTAAGTTTCATGATCAATTGCGACAAGTTTTTCAATACTTACATAGAGATAGACCTTGACATTGGTACATTTTATAAAGAATTTTTTCCGAAAAAGATGCACTGGCTGGTTTTTTTCTAAAACCTATTCTGAAGCCTTTTATGCCCATCGAAACTAGCTGATTCGTTACGTTTTGGGTTTAAATGGTTCATAACTTTCAATAAATGACTAGTCCACAAAAATCGTTAAAAATACGAGATTCGGATTCAGCGTAAAATTCTGCACTAGATAGGCTTGGTCCCGTATGGAAACCCGTTCGTCACTAAAAACCGTTACTTGCAAGACTTTAAAAGCAAAAGTAGATGTTTCAACTAAAAAGCTCCTAGATTTTAGCTAAAATTACGGATTAATAGCACGTATCGCCATCATTCTCTCTATCACTCTCTCCCTCTCTATCTCGCCCTCTCTCTCCCTCTCTATCCATCACCTTCGCTCTCTCCCTCTTCTCTCTCGCTTTCGCTCTAGCTCTAGCTCTCTTTATCATGCTCTCTCGCTCTCTCTCCGTCTCTCTCACCCTCTCGCTCTATCTATCTCTCTCACTCTCTCTTTCTCTTTCTCTCTCTCTCTACCAGACGATGATTCGTCCCCTCCAGAACTCTTCCACGTCCACTTTTTGTCTTCGCTGGTCACTTTTTCCTACCATGCCCGTGAGTGTGTATGCCACTGTCCTTCTACGGCATTCTCTTGAATAGATGGTTGTTGGGGGGTGTATTCAAGTGTCCACCTTCAACGTGTGTCCCTTCTCCATGTAGCGGGTTTTCGGGGTTGCGTGGCCCTATTGTCTACCCCTTCACACCCTCTCACCCTCCGCCCGAAACAAACGCAAAATCCACACCCCACCCATGGACAGTCAGACAGACATTGTCACTGTCACTTCTACACAACACGCTTGCCTTTCCACGCTTCCGATCGGCTGCTTGGTTTTTGTTTGCTGAAACCAGCTACGGTTTACGTTACCCGACCCCCAGCCGGCAGGTTTTAGCAATAACTTATTGATTTGACATTATTGTGGGCTCAAATTAACACTGTTAGTATATTTTTCCCGCTCTATCGAATGGCGTCGCGAAAATCCCGAAAAAATAAGCGAAAATACCGAAAACTTTGAGACCCAAGAGCTGTGGGGGGAAGTAAACTCTTACCCTAAAACGTTATGACTTCCGTTGATTTTTCATCGTTCTTTCCTACAGGGTGTCCCAAAAAACCCACCCCCTCTAGCAGGGCGGATTTCTACGTTTTAGGTATCTATCGAAAGCTCTAAAAAAGGTCGAATCCCGCACGTCATTCCGATTTCCGAATTCTAGGAATTTTTTTGCGCACACTTTTTGTCAAAAGCCTGATCTAACCGGTTTAAGCGCCATCCAAGCTGCGTTTTCTCAAATGCCTTCCGAAAAGCTGTCATTCGGCTACCAGGAAAGATGTAAAAATTGGGAAAATGGGGGTTAAGAACACACGCATGGGAAAAGCAGCGAAAAATCGGCCAAATTCGCAAAAATGTTAGTAAATGTTATAAAAACCCGCGAATTTCAAAAATCGTAGAAAACATAGCCCTCAGCTCTCCGAGAGCTTTCGATAGATACCTAATTCGTAAAAATCGGACATACTGCCGACCGCCAAAAGGGGGTCTTTTTTGGGGCAGGCATAATGCTCATCTAGCGAACTGTGACGTATTATTAAGGCCTGGGCGGGAATACTTTTGTACATTCTTCTGAAACATACTTTTTTTCTCGCTCCTTTCTATCCATATTTTTTGTAGGTTTATCTAAGGGGACAGATTCTTGTCCTTTTATTTGCTTTTGATGTTGTCAAACACAAAAAAAGTGCCGTATTATACCAACCCATCAGACATTAAGTCCCGCAGTGCATCTTTGTCTGGTTTCGACTTTGCATAACTTTTATTGTTGTTTTTCCCGAATTTTGAGCATATTCAAACTAGCTGTTTTGCAGGTATAATGCCGATTCTCCTGAAGTCCACGATATTCCGGTTAACGTGCTTAATCTCCACCATAAACGCTTTAAACTACGACACGCTACGCGACCCGATTGTCCTGACCGTCAAGCGGGAAAATGGTATAGAAAATCGATTTTCCTTTTCGTAATTTTTAAATTTTCTAGCCCAAAAATTTGGCGGCAAGAATTTCTATGCTAGCGACAAGGTAAGCAGCGTTTAATAAATTTTCTATACTTCATTTCTAGCCCTTCAACATGGAGCAGAACCCCTACAAGCAGAACTTTGTGAAGGCGTTCGAGATTAGTGAGTTTTAGCTCCGACTAAAAGGGACAAATTAAGCTGGAATGAAGTCCAATTACCGTAAGGAAAGCATATAATTTGCAATACAAAAAAATTCAGGGTTTGTTAACGGATCAAAAGGCAACAAAAAGTCTCGCGAATTGAAGCAATATTCTACTCTCTAATTTCTACTTCTATTCCCTCTTAAAATGTACTTTTCCCTCTTATTTTCACATTGATTGATTCACCTGCGCCGCCATTCGCCTATTGTCCAAACATCTAGCCGTTCAGAGAACTTGAAATCTGCAACATCTTTTTTACGGAAATTAATGTTTTCACATTATCGGAGTGAGGAAATTAAGTTTTTCATTGAAACCCAATTTTTACGGGATAAACAAAGGAGTGTTCTAAATTGAACTTTACTATTCCTGAACGCAACTTAAGAGCCTTTATTAAAAAAAATGCAAAAACATTGATTTTCGCGCTAAAATGACCGAGAAGCTACAAAATTTCAGATTTAGAAAGTTTGTTAGGGAGTTGGCCACTTTAAATAGAGTCAAATTTTTATTTTAAAACTAAGTGAAAATTTTCACTATTACGCTACTAGGCATTTATGGATTGCTAAGGATGACTGGAACCTGCTGATTGCTCCGTAATATAGCCATTTGGCGACGGTCGGCTTGAAACACTTTTTTGGAAAACGGAAATTAAATTAATTTTCGTATGTCTAATTTCCTAAAAGTTGCAAAGTTTTGATAGGTTTGCCAACAAAACTGCATATCTAATAAGCATTCGATGATCAAGTAACAAAGAAAAAAATTGTTTTCCCCATCTTTAAAATCGCTAAACTTTCAGAGAGCAGCGACCTGAAGCCGTTCAAATATTCGTTTAATTCAGCACAAGAACCCGGTCGGACGATTATCATCCCGCCGCAGCAATTCATCGTGGGAGACCTTTTAATTCGTTACTAAATTATATTATTTTTGTGAACTAAAATTAAAATATTATTATTTGCTATTTTTTTACTTATTCTATTTTTAGCAAAACCTTGCGCAAAGTGTCGTTCAATCTCCCAAAAGCGTGGAGCCAACGAAAAGTACGGTACGCAGCAGCAACAGGATCGAAAAAGTCTTGTGGTATGCTGTTTGATCTGCTCACTGACCCCAAAACATTAGGACACAACCAAGTTCTACGGATATCCGCAATAGCACAAAACATACATTTTTGTACCCTGTTAGGCCAGTCGCGATTTATGGAACACACGAAGCGAGAGAGAAAGAGAGAAAGAGCGAGAGAGAGAGAGAGAGAGAGAGAGAGAGAGAGAGTCAGAGAGGGAGAAAGAGTGGGCCATATCTTTTAAAATCGATTCGACGTTCCTTCTTTGCTCCTTTTCCCCTTCACTGCTCTTCATTCTCTCGAAAAAAGATGAGGTTATTTTCCTCCCTGCAAAAGTAGATGTTTTAAGCTTATCAAATAGGGGTAGCTCTAGAAATTTGTTACTGTTTAGTTGTCATCTTTTCCGCAATAATTTTCCTCGATTTAGAGCCTCGAAGACGACCCATCCCTTTTCACGAACAATTACGTTGGCGCGCAGAAATCGGTCGAGAAAAATGGATGTTGCTTCGAGGCGCAACCACCGGCAAATTCTTATACAGGTAATTCGCGCCCGGAAGATGTTCGCAAAGTTAAGCTCGAATAATTGGTTGCTAAACGAAATAAAAAAAATATTAGTTAATCAATCTTTTCAGGACCAAAATTCCAAAATACACCACCGCAAAGCGCCGAATTCCGTCCGTTCCCAAAGCAGTTCTCAATCCCCATCAAAAGCCTTCAGCAATTCAAGGAGAAGGAGGTAAATTTGAAAAATATGTTTCAATTACAAATGATAGCTTCACCCTAATTTGGAGCCGTACTTCTTCTTTGTGAAATCGTTCTAAACGACAATAAAAAAATAGAAAGCAGCTAATTGATTTAACTTTCGCTGTGCCAGAGTTTTCGGCATTTAAAACGATAAAAACTTGCATACAATTTATTTCGGTTGTGGTGCGCGCAATCAACGTCCCATTAATCATTCCGACTGCCCGCTAATAAAGTAAAATGTTGAAATATGGTTCTTCACTAAAAGAAAAAAGAAATTTCAAAGACTTGTTTAAAAATCTTAATGTTTTAAACGGCAAATAAGAATTTTTTTAATTGAATGACTACACCCAACTCTGCAAAATTCTCTTCTAGAGGGATTATTTAAACGTCGTGGGCTCGCTGCTCGCTCAAAATTAAGGGTTTTTTTGGATGTAACTGGACAACAGGGTTTTCTGTGCTTAAATAGTTTGAATTCAGCGCTGAATTTTTTTATGCTTAGGACTCTATGTTTTTATGTGCACTATCGTAGAGCGGGCAATTCTCATCATTCTAGACGCGACTAATCAAAAATTTGTAGAATGAGTCAACAACGACCAAATTAGGCATTCCTGGCGGTGGCCACCTATTCAAAATGTTGTAACATGTTTTTTAACTAAAACGCAAATTAGGATTTTTGAAAGTCAGGCTGTGGAATGACAATAAATTTTAATGGAAAACTATCGCCAACTTTGCAAAAGCAAAATTTCTAGAACACTAGGCTAACTTTTTGTGTGATTTTTTCTTAATGACTCGGCGTTTTTAGAACCAACCACTAGTCCCCACCTCTCGCGAACAATTACGCCATGTAATCCCCACGCCCAGCAGTACGGTATTGCCGATGCGGATGCGTGTAGACATCATCCCCGACTCACCTCCACCTACCGTAATCCGGGCACCGACGGCCAGCTCGGGATCACAGATGAATCAAAAGGTACGGTTCGCGTTATAGTGAATACCGTAATTTTAAGCGTAATTTATACAGTTTAACAATTTTTTAGAGTAGTTAGGAAGTTTAAAAATTGGCTAAAATAATTCTGGATTCCATATTAGTTTAGCCACTAGGCACGAAAATGACGTCATTCAACGAAAAATATTCCCCGTGATCTTTATAAAATATTTTTTTGGGTTTTTACAGAGAGTTTCGGGGCTTTTTAAAGGACCTGGCAAGTTAAAAATTTGTTTGAAATACAAGTTTCAAAATATTATAAAGGTGGATAAACAAGGAAAACCTGAATGAGCACTGTTTTCGACATAAAGAAGCATTTCATTTTGGAGTCTGTACCGGAAGAAAACGATTAAACGAAACCAACGATTTTTGGAATTGGAAATTTTTGAAATATATATATTTTTAAATTTAAATTTTTTTGGCAATGGTTGATTTCTGATGCCAGATGAATTTTCAATGATTTATTTGTGTTTTTCGTTTTTCAAAACTAAAAAAAAACAGGGAAGAGAGGCTACCAAACCAAACTATAACCAGAAACAACAAAACCAGGACTCATTAAAGCATGCTAACATTCTTTCTCTGGAGGCTATTCTGAAACGTCACGCCTTTATAGCTTTCGCTTTTGCGGGTCAAATTTATTATTTTTCACGTAAAAAAAGAAAGAGCACCCTCTAGCCTAGCAAAAAAATTCAGGCAGATCTCAAAGCCTATACATTAAGGGCAAAAGACATTCTCAGAAAGAAGGTATTTTTCGAAACTCTTAATCGTTATGGTGGGTTATGCCTATATTTTTTAACTCTTAAAGCGCACGTTCAGGCAGGGGCCGTGTACTCGTCCCAACGTGTACACCCTATGGACGTAGGGACCGCGCGCACAGCCTGCCCGTGCTATGACAGGCCATTCCCCTCCTTTGCGGCGTCAGGCGCCCGCCCGTCGACCCCTCGCCAGGTTGCACATGTGGCTGACTGGTATGCATCCGCGCCTCCCAAGCGGGGGGCCCGAGTTCGACCCCCGGCAACGGCAAAAAACTTTGCTTTCTTGCCAAAAACGTCCCTGGACGTGCCCTTTAAGAATAACCAGGAAAAAATCCAGGTCAAGCAGGTCAAGGGTTATGCAGCATTAAACATTGCCTCCCAAACAGCATTTCTGTCAAACGCAAAAGATGCCTTTCGTAAGACGATTTGGTTAAAGGTTTTGACCAGTATAACTTAATTTAATGATAAGCTTTGGAAGACACAACGTCAGAACAATACCATAAAACCCCGTGGCTGGTCCAGCACATTGTCTGAAACATATTTTTCACTTGATTAGCAGGTCAAAAATATTCGACACTCAATAATATTATGTGGAAATAACAGTACGATAAAACAACTCATCATCAATCAAAAATAATGAAAATTACATTAAAAGATTTGAATATTGGTGATAAAATGTTTAGTCCAGTTAGGTTTACCCCGAATGCCATTTCTTCATTAGATGAAAATATTGGTCGCATGTATTCATTGTACTGTGAAGCATATTTTTGGAAACCTTTTAAACATCTTTTCTGTGGCTGCTCAAAACAATGCTAAACTTACGTTTCAGACATCCGCATCCTCTGAAAAATACGTGGTCCTCGATCGTCAGCCGATTACCTACACAAAGGATGTGTTCGACTGGGACCCAAAATCGACGGAAGCCGAATATGTCGCGCCGACCAGGATTGGTAAGCTAGTTTCGGTATTTTTAATAATCTTAATACAAAGTAAATTAGATTTTAAAAAGTACCAAAATATTATATTATGCTAGATTGTATTCTCAATCTGCTGTTTCAAAAATCGAGTTTCATTGATTTTTGCAGATCCTTTTGAGGCGTAAAGATTAATTCCCTCGGCTCCCCGACACATGCACCGCGACACTTGCGCCGCGAGACTTGCGCCGCGACACTTGCGCCGCGACACATGCACCGCGACATTTGCGCCGCGACACATGCGCCGAGACACTTGCGCCGCGACACATGCACCGCAACGCATGCACCCCGACACTTGCGCCGCGGATCGTATATTGATTTAAACTGTAGTGAATTTGGTGTTTCGCGCGAATTTTGTATGTAATTACTGTATTTTGCATGAAAAGCTGACAGAAAGTGAGTAACGCCAATTCGGAGCGTTCCTGAAGCGTCAGGCAAGGTGGGCCGTCGCTTCGGATGGGCTGCCGCTCCACTCTTTCGAAATCGGGGCGCCTGGCTGCCACGCGCGCCTCGGGCGCCCCGATCTCGAAACCCTGTACGAGCTCGCACCCATCCGAAGCGACTAGGCCCCGGGTGGTATGAAGCCTTTTTCTAGTCGCAGAGCGGAAGATAGCAATTACCTTCCCTCCAAATCGAGTGACTCCTAGCGCAAAACATCTTTCTATCGTTTCTTTAACCAGAATACTCCGCGCGAAAAATTGCATCTTCAAGTAGCTGAAACTCGGTATCGCTGCGCAAGTGTCGCGGCGCAAATGTCAGGCGCATGTGTCGCGGCGCAAGTGTCGCGGCGCAAGTGTCGCGGCGCAAGTGTCGCGGTACCATTCTCTCGAGCATGGGGGCTTTTCTATCTCGGCTCGCCTTTAATCTACGTACCCTTAAGTATACAAAAATGTTGGCTTTCCTTTGGAGGACACGAATCCAACACGATTGAGCCAAAAATTTTCGAATGGGCGAATTCACTAACTTCAAGCCCGGAAAGGACGAACCGCCATAGTCACCTTCGGAAACTTGATGTTTCTCTGGTTTTTGCAGATAATTTCGGACCGGCGTAGGCAATTATGTGACACCGTTTGATCATTTTAACACGATTTTCCATTGGGCTACAGGGATTTGGAGTATATCAAAATGTTCCCCTTGAATTGGAGAACAAGAATACAACATATTTGAGCAAAATCGTGGACTAAGGGAATTTACAAAAAGCTCCGGAAAGATCGAACCGTCATGGTCGCCTGCGGAAACTTGTTGTTTCACTGACTTTTGTAGATAATTTTGGAAAAGGACATCTTTTTTATGTAACCAAAATGTTCGCTTTAAATTGGAGAACAATAATACAATTGGGCTGTTTGCGTAAAAATCGTCGAATTTACAATTTAAGCCGGAAACGCCAAACGGTCAATTCGACCTTTCGTAGCCTTGCGGGTCAACTTGATGTTTCACCGATTTTTGCAGATAATTTTGGAGCTCCGTAGGTATCTACGACGAGTCTCGCTTCACTTCCAGTTTATCATGAGTTTCGTTTGAGCCACAGGGATTTCTAGAATACCAAAATCTCACCTTGCATTGGAGAAGATGAATACGACAGATTTGAGCGAAAGGTCGAATAGGCCACAGTATGAATTTCAAGCCCGAATCGCCGATCCAGCTCATTAACATTGCAAAATTCGGCGTTTCATTGATTTTTGCAGATAGTTTTGGAGCGGCGTAGGTAGTTAGAACATCTCCGGTGCAGTATTTTATCACGATTTTCCTTTGAGCTAAAGCGTTATAAAGTATATCAAAATGTTCGCCTTCATTTCGAGAACAAGTATATGACGCATTTGAGCAGAAAAAGATGAATAAAAGAAAATAGATTATTAATGTAAAGTTAGTAAAGTAATTTAGAAAATGATAGAGTAATTGCTCAAATGAGCTAAATTAGTTAAAGTAATTTGGTAAGGCCTGTTTCGACCCTTTGTCCAAGACAGGCAAGACATTCGCTAGGGTCGGGTCTCCTCAGTTGGAAGCCCTAGCGGACACTAAAATAGTAAAATTATGTGGAAAAAGTATCTATAAGAAGGAAAACTGGTTCGGGAATGTTAAGAAATTATATTTTGTATCCGGGGGAGTGGTTTTTCATTTCTTTTCTGCTTGCTACAGCCTAGTCTGCTGATTCATTTACGCTAGGTAAAGGATGGTATAGTAGCGGCGTGTAGTCTACGGGTAAGAATTATGGCAAGAGAGCTAAGAAAAAGTAAAAACGGAAGGAAAAGTAGTAGTGAAAAGGTAAAATGAAGTAGAAAATATGTTAGAATTACAGAAGTAAATGTTGAATATTTTTATGGTCACAGTTGTGTTTAATGCCAAGTGCTGGGTATTTGGTAAAGACTTTTTTGCATAGACTAAGTAGAATAGGTTTGGGATACCCGTTATTTTGTAAGTGCGATATGAGTTGGTTAAGGTGCTTAGTAAAGGAAGTTTGTTCTGAGCACTTACGCGCTATTCTAATAATTTCACCTTCCACGCAACCGTGTTTTATAGAGTATGAGATGTTCGATCGATAGTTTGGAAGGCGTGTAACCTTAAATTTGTAATCGTCAACCTTATTGTAAAGTTCCGTTTGAATTGTATTGTTAATATTGAGGATTTTGAGGTCTAGAAAGTTACCACTTTCATTATTTTGATTAGTTTGTTCTAGAGTTAATTCGGTAGGGTAAATTTCAGACAGCAATTCCTCAATATTAACACCACTTTTATATAAAATGAGTATATCATCCATATATCTATGTCCAATAACATTGTTAGTAGCATTGTCTTTAAGATATATGTATTCGTAATAAGTTAATGTTAGATCTGCAATCATTGGGCTACAGTTTTGCCCTTGTGGTATGCCTTGTTTTTGCTGGAATAATAGTTTTTTATAGGTAACAAAGCTATTATTTAAGATATAATTGACCAAATAAATTATTTCTTTCTTACCATAGATATCATTACCGTTTGACTCATTGGTATAATAACATGACTTGTAGCCTAATTTAATAAAGCTTTTTTGAGCATTGTTGAAACATATTTCTATGATCCCATTAATTGCTCTGGTAACGATATCGTGTGGCAAGTTAGTAAATAGGCTACTAAAGTCTGCTATATAGATATTATTTTTATCTCGATTATCTAGCAAGCTAACTTGGTTAGAATTGTCTATAGACCAATATACTGTTTTGTTAGTATTATTTGCTATAACACTACAATATCTTTGAAAATGTTGTCTAATAAATTTCAATAATCTATGTAAGTTAATGGATATTGGCTTTATCGAACTATTGTAGGCACCAGTAATATATCTGAATTTTATAGGATTTTTGTGGAATTTTGGTATCCCGTATATCTTTGGTAGAATTGGCTTTTCGGGGAGATTAATTTTAAACAAATGATGTGTATCAATATGCCTTTTGATTATTTCTGTTTGATTTTCAGTATTATAGGGGATGTAGGTGATGTTACCACTGGGTTGGCCGTTATGTATTCCCATCTCTTTATCAATGAATTGTTGATAAAGATAAGGGCATATTATCGCAAAGTTAGAAGTAGCTTTATCTACACTTGTTATGATAAAATTACTTTGTAACACACGTAACTCCTTCCAGTTTAATGTGGTAGTGACAGATTTTGAGCATTGAGAATAAATTTTCTCAATAATATCGCTACCTATAGTCTCGATAAACCGATTTTTGGTAATTTTAGCAATTTCTTTGGCAAAATTTTGGTTAATTTGATGGAATTCCCTATCAGATGGACAGATACTAGTTCCATTTACTAACTTTTATAGTTTATAGTTCCATTTACTAACTTTTAAGAAACGACATTAATCAAGGTTCAGCCGCCGAGTCGACATCTTTGTCTTAGAAGCATGGATGTTTCACGGCAATTTGTAGCTCGTTCGAGATCGTAGGCGTTAATCCACGCCTTTCCTTGGCTGGTATCTTGGCTCGCTTTTAAACTACGGCGTTGTTAAGGATATCAAAACGTTCGCTTTAACTTGGAGAACAAGAATACGACTGCGACATTTCGGTAAAATCTTCGAATAGGCCAGTTTACAAATTTCAAGCCAGAAACGGCAATCCGGCTTAAAGTATACAGTGAAAATTTTATGTTTCGTTGCCGTTTGAAGAGCGTGTTTAAAATCCTAGACGTTAATCGTGAAGATCTTCTCCATGAAGAACGCTTAGGACTTAAGGCATTACGGTATTAAAAATTTTATGAAATTGTCTCTGAAAATTTCATGTTTCACGCAATTTGGAGATCGTTTGAGGGCCTCGTTGCTGATTTTTTTGTGCCTTGTCGTATCTCCGCTAGCCTTTGAGCTCCAGCGTTGTTATGGATACCAAAATGTTCGCATTGATCTGGAGAACAAGCTTACGACATATTGCAGCAAAATCGTCGAATAATTGAAAATATATATTGTCCGTGAAAGAGTGTCAGTTCACCCGGTTCCCCACGTGCAAAAATTTTTCTTTTAAAACAATGTTTCATCGATTTTTGAAGAGCATTTTACCTCATAGGGAGTAATCTTTTGTTCCGCTTTTTCTTCTTCTCAATAGATCAACCAAATTTTTTATGCCGGTTTGGCCTGTGAGCCTTTAAGCTACTGGTCGGTAAACTGATGGAAAATCTACTACCCGCAATTGGAAAAAATTTGCCGCGAGATAAAAAAAGCCCAAAAAATTATTATACTATTTTTTGTAGAAATATTTAGAATCGTAAAAGGCAGAAAAGGTGCGCCATGCTACGCTCTACGAATTTTCATGATTTTTAGTGGCCCCAAAAATGCTAGTCCATCCCGTGCTGCCCTCTATCGACGGAATGGCCGAGTCGGTGCAACGCCAAAATATGGCTGATCAACAGCGGCTCGCCGGAAATGGTCAGTGAGAGTTATTTTCATTTAGTTTCTGAATAATCTAGAGCTAGAGTAAAAGCCTAGAAAAAAAGTGTGTTCCACGAAAAATATCTCAGACAATGAGAAGGAGGTCTTTAGTGGGCCGCAAATCGTCTTGAACCTGGGCGAAGTTCGGGATATCAACTCAATATGTCGAAACTTCATCATTTCAGAATTTTATAACTTCGAAATTTACATAAGCAAATCTCGAAGAAAACTTTAATACTCTGCCAAATTCCGACACTAAATTTCGACATTTTGGGTTTCGGCATTACTGAATTTCGAACTTATGATTTTCGCCATCTTGAATTTCGACAATATGAGATCTTTTGATATCCATGATCTAAATTCGACAAGATTTCGACATATTCGATATGCTCTCCATCCCCGTCATTTTAAAAAAAGTGAGTTTCGTGTAGGAAATGGCAGAAGGATAGAAATGTGGCATTCAATTTCCTCCCGAAAAATGCCGTTATCAAAATTTACTTTCATATGATTCAACATTAACTAAAAAATCTTATTAAGATTTAAAAAACGATGTGCTACTTGTTTCGTATTCTGGAAAGGCGAATTTTGCCACAATCCAGTGGCTTCAAAACTCGTCGTAAAATTTGCATAATTCGCTCCATTTTCGAATTTTCAGGCCTACTCGACGTGTCCACGCAATACCGTAACCTGTGGACGTCATTGGCGCAGAATTGGCATCAGGTCGAGACGAGCATGAAAAAATTAGAAAATTTAAGTTTCACAAATTGACGTTGCTGCGTGATTATTTCTTGGAATAATTCCTCCAACGAATCAACTCGAAAAATTCAAAGAGTATCTAATCAACTAAAGTCTTAATCCTCGCTTTTTAATAAACACACACTAATATTTAATACAGCCCTACTACCACTAAAATTATACTTTAATTTATACGATGCTAGTACCTTTAATAAAACCATCCAATTTCAGCTGAAACAGGCCATCCTCAGCAGTGGGCTCGACAGGGATTTGGCGCAGATTTGGGACCGTTTTCATAGTAAGCTTTTGAATGGTAATACAACCTTAGTACCACTAAATTTATAAATTATAATTTATAACTACATTTATAGCATTTTAATTTTAAAATTTGCTTTTTGAAAGTTTACGTGACGATACCATAATCAAATTCGAAAGAACAAAATTGCAGCCAAGCAAGCGTAAAGGATCCATTATCCCAACCACCCCCGCTTTACCATCAAGAGTATTTGAAACATTTCCAACGCCGAGGATGAATTTTATATGGGCTTTTGTCCTCAAAAAAATTGCGCTTTTCGAAAATTCCAAAAAATTCCAGCTATGTTTCTATAGTTTTTCAGTATTTTTCCATAGCTATTTCTATTTTTTGAGCTAAGATTTGTGGGTTGAGCGGTAGTTTAAGAAAACCTACTCTAAATAAATTCCAAGGTGCCGTCCGACCGTACATAAGCGATTTTGCGACGACGTTCGCGAGGGCGATAAAGTCAGCAGCGCGGAGACACCACAAACGATTGGCGGAGGTATTATAAAAATACGATATAAAATAAATATTTTTCGCATCAAATTTTAAAAAAATTGTTTAAAAAATTGTAAATTTTGTAAATTCAAGGTATTACATTTAAAATTATTTTTAAATTCGTTACAAAACTATCGAGGTAACATAATCTTTCATTCTGTTTTTAGAAAACAAACACGAAATTAGAAATAGTTATTTAGAAAACGATATTTTTAAATGAAAAACATACATTTCTGAAAATTCCAAAAACCCTTTTTTAGCCGACTCCTCTCAATGCGACAACGCCGGAGACGACGAGCTCGGAGAAGAATCTATAAAATCCATTTAATCTTTAAATTTTTATTTAATTATTGAAATCTATTCAGATATTCTTCTAAATTTAATTTATTCGCATTTCCGTGTTTTCCCCGCCTGCCATCCCTCTAGTCTTTCCGCAACGCTCCGCTCAACCCGCCGATTGTACATCCGGTTTTCTGGATAAGAAAGTCAATAAATTATTTTGCGATTGAAAGGTAGAAAAAAGCCTTTGAAACGGCGAGTTTGCAAAAATTTTTAAAATCGTGTCTTTTTATTTAAATGCGCGAATTTACAAGCCAGTTGTAAAATTTTGCGGTTTTTCGGGGTCGCGGACGAGCTAATGTGCCGCAATTTCCCCAAGCACAATGACCGGAAGTAGCCGTAAATTAGATGCAGAGGCCGTCCTTAAGGTCTTAAATCCATTGTAAAATTTGTATATTTTTTGCCGACCCCCGTTTGTATTATCTGTGTCACTTCCACCTTAACCAATAGTCATTAGGCGTGGGCGTACACTACACTGGTGATGAAAACGTAAACATTTCACCCTGGAAGCCGAAAGACCGTCTTCCCTCGCCTTATCTCCTAAAATGCTATTTCGACAAGACCGTCACGCGCCCACCACGAGGGCCCCTCGGCCTAAAATGGGAAATATTTGGCTATTTTTAGACGGCTCTCGTTAGCTGAATCACCCGAAGAATTTGGGAGCGCCCTCCGGAAGTAGCTATGAACTGTTTACAGGCCTCCGTGGGGCTCAAAATTTGACCGGTGGGTGGCCAGAGAGCGAAACTTTCATAATTAATGGAATTAAGAAAAAGGCATTCTAGAGGAGAAAAAGCAATAATTTCCCTTAAGGAATTTGTGGAAACTGTATTAAAACGGCCTGGCCATCGTTTTTCAATCAAAAACAGGAAATAGGGTCCTCATTCAGGCCAGAAAAGCTTTACTGAGCTGGTTCTTGAGATTTTAGCTACGGTCGGACCGGAGCATCTCTCGCTCTCTCTCCCTCTCTCTCCCTCTCTCTCTCGCCCTCACCCTCTCTCTCTCTTTCTCTCTCTCTCTCTCTATCGTTCTCAGAAGCTTTCCTTTGACATATGACAGAAATATGCATAGTGTTAGCCTTTTTCACTAATTGTAAGGTCGAAACATAACTGCCGCCTCTTTCCCTGACCCTCCATAGCAGCTCTCCCCTTCCCCTCTCCCGTCTCCCCATGGCCTATTGGACTGTGGTGCTTGCCCCAGACGAGCATCCCGGGTTCGGTTTTGCTCCGCGGCCTGCGCCTACCGTAACCCTGTTTGCTATCCCGCGGACGGTTACCGGCCGGTAACCAAAGCAACGAGACGTTAGTGTACCTTTAAGTTTGTTTCGTCTCGGTTTCTCTTGAATCCAGATAAAAAAACCACAATAGCTTTATGTTCGGTTCGGTATTCGGCAAAAATGTACTGAAAATAACCAAACAACTTCACTCAAACTGTCATGTTACTAACTGATTTCAACAGCAATTAACCTTGTGCATCGTACGCTCCTCAAAATATCGTAGCAGACCCCCGACTACCAATTTTCCAAATTTTTCCAGGCCCCTTCATCCTGTGATTCAACGACTCATACTTCATCTCGATCGCATTCCCTAGATACGCATCGCAACAATGTACAGAATCTATTAGTAATCGAGCAAATATCAAAAGATGACTCAAATATCAAGTTCACACTAGGCCGGCAGCTCTTATCGCTGTTTTTATGGCTGTGGGGGCTTCCCCAATTTCCGGATGCGTCACGGTCTTTGTATTGTAGCTTGTGACTGGTGGAGGGAAATCAGAAAAAGTATGTTTCGAATGTTTTACTAGTCGAAATCGTGGCCGAAGGGTTGTTAAATTTATAAATAATGTTAATAGTAAAAATAACCAGACTAAAAAAAAAGAATTAAATTAAATTTCCCTTTTTAGAGGCAACGTCGCTTCCGGATCTGGATTTGATTTAGTATATTTGATGTAGGTTGGGTTAAACAGGAAAAAAAGTATGTTGCACACTTGTCGCCCAGCAAAACTAGAGCGAAATTGCTAATTCGATCGTCCGCAAATAGGAAACGCTGTTGAGGCCCGCAATCAGCATTAAAAGCTATAAACTAGACAGTATCCATGCTTCCGGAAGCGTCAACCGTTGCATTGTAGCTTGTGACTGACATCGGAAAAAAACCAGGAAAAATATGTTGCAGATTTTTTCCTTGATCAGAAAGATCCAAAATTGGGAATAGGCGCTTGCGATGGGCCGCAACAAAACCGCCCAAATTCGATATCGGTTTACCATATTCGCTGATTCTCCGATACCCACGGTTAAAAACGTCAAATAAATTTTATTTATGGGTTAACTCGAAAACAACTGCAGCCCGTGGGCTGAAGGGTTTTGTGAAAATTTTAATTATCCTTCCCAACCGCTGTTCAGAATTTTGAAGGGATCAGGAAGGGCCATATAAATTAGCCAGAAAGCCGGGTTGAACACCAAAACTATCACAAATCGCCTCTGCTCCCTCTCGCATTGGCCAACTATCTCTCCACCCGTATTTGGGATTAGCCTATCTGGTTGGCAACGTGCCAAAAGTAGATGAGCCCTGATCAACGTGGGTGACCCTTCAAGTCGATCAGCCCAGAGATGGCGAAATGCCGGAGCGACCTTTTCATTGGGACACCAGTATGCACAAGAGTAAGGCAAGCCATAACACAATACAGAATTATCCTAGCAAAAGGTGTTGGTCCCCCCATCCGTTCGTAACATTTTTACCTCTACCGGAACCCATCCCTTCCCTTCACGTATCCGGGCCGTCATACCAAAAAAATGTTTCAGAGAAAAGTCTCACACGTGCCCCAGTCCAAACCTTAGCTAACTTTTCCAGGTTGAATTTTGTGTGGAGAAGGCTGGAAACACACACACACACTTCGAAGCCGTCTTTATCGAGTGCAGACAGAGCCTGCTGTGGCGAGTTGATCTCCGGCGCCCGCCAGTGCATCCCTAAAAATTCCGTAAAAAGTGGCGCCGCCGGTAAGGTACCGTAATCACGTGGCAATTACGTAACGCAACGCTGACTGAAGCTTACGTCATTTCTATTGAATTTTCTGGGCGCTGAAATTTGATGTCTTATCATTGGCTTGCAAAAGTCATTAGTCGAACGGGTAAGATTACGATAATTTAAAGGGGCGTGGAACGGTGGGGTCTGGCCACTGGCTTCGCCTTGATTTTTTGGCTCTAATGGATAGACAAGAAAATTTTAATATGCTTTGCCAACATTTTTTAGAATTGGAAAAACGCGTTTCAAGATTTTTCTAGGCTCAGAATGTGCTCGGGTTTAATTACTGATGCTGTCGCCTTCGCAAATGTTTCCTGGTTTGAAATTACGAAAAGTGTGTTTCAAACAAATTAAAACCCGATTATTCTCTGTTAAATTGACTTATAGCCAATTCGTATTCTAAAACATATTGAGGTACTCATTAAAAGCGCTATAAATCGATGATTTATAGGGCTTTCCGCCTCATTTTTTTACATTGTGCTATGTTCCGAATGAATATTCTTACCAATTAGACCAAGGTGTCTCGCCCTTTACAGAATTTACAAAAATCACCGGCTTTCTGCTTCCTTTAAGCGGAGGACGCGAGATTATCGGCGACCTCTAACAAATTCGCGGGAAGTGGACTTGCCTCAATTGATTACAGCGACACGATGCGCTAGATCAATAATAGAGGTTGAAACACTTGTTCCCAATAGCACACCAACAGTTTTCACATCCCCAACCTAAGCAACAGACGCGAAACATTGCGCATTCATACAGTTCTGCGGAGCTCGCGTGCTTGAGGCTTTGACAAGTCCGGGGGTTCTTTTACAAAATTTCTGTAGTTTGTTAGATAGTTTTGCATTTTAGTTGAGTCAATTTATAATTGAGAAGGCTTTTATTGTTTTAAATAGATTTACTCAGTTGCGCCAGATGTTCTTGATGCCGTCCGACCTGTTCTCCAACAAGTACTTCGCCAATACCTCGTCATGCACGAGGTTGCTTTTTATCAAATTTAAAGGCTGTTTAATTCTTTGTATTTCGTCGGTTTTTATTTGTTGTTTTGAGACGTTAATCGTGTTTTTACATTTCAAAGTGGAACTGGTAAGATGAGAATTGGCAGCCCGGGGGATTACGATAATTTAAAGGGGGCGTGAAAGGGTGTTGGCTACTGGCTCGGCCTTGTTTTTTGGTTTGGATGGATAAACGAAAAATTTAGTGCCGACAGCCGGCATTTCAAGGATTTTTCCAAAATTTCAAAAATTTTTTCAAGATTTTTCCAACCTCAAAATTCTACTCGGGCTTACGTTCTTCTTGGGCAACGTGTTTCGATCAAAATTTCTTTGTAAAATCTCGAAAATCGACAATATCTATTAAAAATGCGTTATGCCATCAGTTCATTTTAAAAGAATTGAGGCTCACGATAGCTTTAAAGCCCCCACGCTTGCCGAAAGTAAGTTTCGAAAACGCTAGAATTGCGAAGCGTTTGCTAGACTATAGTTCGCCACCGAACACGCTCGGAATGAACAAATAAAAGCAAGAAAAATAAAACTAGTCATGAGTCGAATTAATTAATAGTCTCCATCCTTACAGATCGTTATTCAATGCCATGTTGCCCACCAGTGATGGCCGAAAAATCAAACATATATTTTTACAAAGTTTTTCGTTTTTGCCGAAATTAACTGACGCAAAAACGGATGGTTAAAAAATATGATGTTATTGAATCCATGAAATAGCGTTTCTAGTGTTTGCTACTTTGCTATCAGCTTTTAGTAGCTTTCATTCCAATTTTGAAAAATAGATTTCACCGACGTCTCGCCGAGAAGGACTGACCATATCTTAATTCAATAATCCCGCTCATAAAGCTAAACATATAATTTCTACTAGATTCATAACCGAATACAAAATAGAGCTCTGCAAAACCAGAAGGTCTTCGAATCTATGCCCCGCATCTGTTAAATTTACAGAATCTCGAATTACAA